TTAAAATACTAGTAAACAATTTTACCAAGATGGCTTTAATAAAGTTATTCCTCTGTAATTTTGTACATTTTCTTTATTTCCCTTTTTTATGTAATGGTATTATACAACCTCTTGTCCAGATTTCGGGGAAAATGCCAGATTCTAAAATATTGTTAAATAGCTCTGTTATATGTCCAGACAAAATATCACTTGCTTCTATAAAAATATTCGTTTAAAAGATTATCTATCCCGGCCGCTTTATTTCGATTAAGCATAGAAATTGCCTTAAGTACTTCCTGTTAAAGTAATATTTCCATCTAATTCAGAAAAAAACAGGGTTAAAATCATTAAAATCATGGACATTGTTAAAATCTTCTGCTCTTTCATTCAAGGAAAAATTTACTTCAGAAAACATAGTTTCAAATAGATTTTAAAATCGTGCAAAGGTATTTTCACAATTATTGCGTCTCTGTTTCTTTTTAAAATAACGCCAAAAATCACGTGGCTTACTCTTTTTTTAAATTCTCAAAATTTTTAGTTTGTTGCCATTTAAAAGAACGACGTTTTTTTCTTAACAACATATTTATACCTAGCTTTACGTTGAACTAACTCTAATCTATCAGTCTCTGTGTGTGACATATTAAACTTTTTTTAATGCATTTTTGTACAATTGTTTTTGTTTCCCTACAATCAAATCAAACCATTTACAGGAATCATCAATTTCAGTTACATCAAATCTTGGAAATGTACAACCATGTTTTTAAAAATAGAGGATCTGCCACTTCTCTCACAGCACTTGTGAATAAATTCACCGTATTATTTACACTATTTACATCATTTACATTACAATTCAATAATATATCATTTAAAACAGGCAATTTTGCTATAAGCCCAGAACGATATAATTCTTTATCATTATCACTCCATTTAATATACTCGTAATCAAATACTTTTGAACCATTTGCGTTAACCGAGTTACACCAAAATATCAAAAATTTAAGGCAGCATGGTCGCTGAATTTCATTAAAATCACATACATGAAAATTGTTTATCATTTCAAATCTTTTTCACACAATAATAAATAATCTATTAAGCTAGCACCATTATAATTATAGCATGTATAAACACCTTTCCCGAAATCGTCACCTAAGCGGCCGTTTGCTATTCTAAGGGAGGTAGCTTTACACATGTCAATTAATCTATTACCATATGAGTTACTCCCCTTGTCCATTGAAAAATCTTGGCAAGGGTGTATCAATACTATAATCATCTGAGTCGATGTCGGGCACAAATTGATCACATAATATATAGTCATGTTTGCATTGATGTCCTTGCATTACAATCTCCTGAAACAAAACACCGTGCCTTTCGACTTAAAATGTTCTATATCATTTTGTAAACAGTCGAACAAATCTATATCTATCAAATTTGCAATAGGTGAATTTTCTCCCCATAAATAAACTGCAGCTAGGTAAATGTCAGAAGCATTATTAAAGAAATATTTATCAAATTTTTAACCAAATAATTGTGTCATGTATATTTTTTACTATTGAAAATACCATCTTTAACATTATTCCTAAGATACACAACAATACACCGCTATTTCTTTTAGCATTGCGGTGTCTGAATTTACGATATAAATTGTTACATGAAAACCCTTCTAAATCTATTTCACTCGATTTACTAGTCCATGATTCACTTAAGATGATGACGTCATTTTTGGTTAAAAAGTCAGTGAAGTTTTTGTCTGTTGTTTTATTAGAACTCAGTCCGTTACAGTTCCATATTAAGCATTTAAGCCCATCCGCGTTTTCCTACACATCTGTTACTATTTTCCCATTTACATAGAGTTTGTCGTATGACACCCATGCTGTATTTCCGGCTTCCTTTTCTTGCTTCATCTTTCTGAAAAGTGTCCTCCTCTTTGCTACTACTTCCGGGGGGAAACTGTTCCGATATGTAATAATTTGTGTCCTTTAATTTATTGCTGGATTTCCGGACAATTTCCCTGTCGGCGAACATATTGAATTTGCATACAATTCTTCGACTTCTGTTTTGAGCCTCGTTTTTGGGTCTCTTGATATGGCACCCATGCGATGCGCTCTTTCAATTTAATGTTCGACACGAAATCTTTTGCGATCTTTAACTTTTCCACCATGAAATTTCTTAAAAGGGCTTCCGTGTTTTCAGGCTTTTCATATCCTTCCTCTTTAATTCCACCAAAAATAAGATTATTTCGCATTGATTGCGACTGCATGTATAATAATGATTCTTTCATCTCTTCATTTTTCTTCTCAAGATTACCAATTATTTTAAACGCATTATACACGTAAATGATATATACACACTTACACTAACTAAACATACACTATTTATAAAAGTACCTTATCTACATCATTATATACACGTATCTACAAACTACTGTAGACTATAATTGACGGTCTCTCCCTGTTGACGGTCTTCGACGGTCTTAAATTAGACAATTGTGTGCAAACTTACAAATTAACAATTTTTCTGTTTAAATTATTCTGAGTATACTACTATTACTTATACAAATGATAATATTATCGATGAAGTTAATATTAAAAAAAATACAAATAAAAACCACTCATAAATACAAAAAGGGAAAATCTGGAAAAATAACAATGATCTATCAATTAATTGACAGTCATCAAAAAATCATATTAATTATATTATATCCTTTCTTAAGGAATATCTTATTTTCTTTTTTTACAAATCATCAAAAAAAATTGACACAAAAAAAACTATCGTCTTAGAAAAAATGCTTATTGGCTGGCAACATAGATTAATAACACGAGACCGTCGATTCGTATAGTAACCTACTAATCGACGGTCTTCTACAATCAACGGTCTATTAACTACAAATCGACGGTCTCTCACCATTGACGGTCTTCGACGGTCTTTAGAATATATACAACTCACAAATTTATGTATGTATTTTTTAAGCTTAAACATCGTAATTATATTACTGCTACTAATTACTACTATTACTTATGATATAAATAAAAAGATAAGACATTGATATTTTTTAATAAATTTAATAGCATTTTTATATTCCAATATATTTTATTGTCTTAAAAAATAAATAAATAAACAAAAATGGCATGTTACTTATCTTTTATCTTATTCATTTTTAAATCGTATTTGTTATTTTACAAATTATAAAAATTACTGAAATCAATAAATTATTATCTTAGAGAATTTGCTTATTGACCGGCTAAATTTATTATAATAACTATGTAATATCCATCAAATTAATGTATAATCACGAGACCGTCGATTTGTATAGTAACCTGCTAATCAACCGTCTACTACAATCGACGGCCTTTGTAGACATAAAACTATACCATGAGACCGTCTTTATCTATAAACTACAAATCGACGGTCTCTCCCCATTGACGGTCTTCGACGGTCTTTAGAATATATACAAATATGCATAAACTCACAAATTTATATGTATATAGTTTAAGCTCAAACTACTACTACTACTAACTACTACTACTACTACTACTACTACTAATATAGATCTAAATAAAAATATAAGACCTTGATATTTATTAATAAATTCAATAGCATTTTTATATTTCAATATATTTCATTGTTAATTTGTTTATCTAATTTGCTGCATATCAATATCTTATTTCCCCATATTTTTTTTTATATTTTTCCCTTTTTTATCTAATCATTTCTTACCCCATTAATATCCTTAAATATTGACATAAATAAAGTATCGTCGTAAAAGAAAAAAGATAATTGACCTATTATTAATTATTTCTAAATTATTCTTATCAATTCATCGCGAGACCGTCGATTTGTGTGATAACCTACTAATCGACGGTCTCCTACAATAGACGGTCTTCGACGGTCTTTGGAGACCGTCAAAGACCGTCGATTTTGTGGAGACCGTCGATTAGTATCCCCCCTTCTGATTCCTCCTTACTGATAAGCCTACAGGCTTTACCTGCAAAAATCATGTTCATTTATATCTTAAAGCATCCCCCATCAGCAAGGAACATTAATTGTAGCTTAAGTTTTGAGGGGTGATCTTGGTGTAAATTTTAACTTAATTCAAAGCATCCTTGGTGATAACTTCACTTTTTTACATGTTTCATGTATTTCAAATTTGATAGAATCATCTATGTAAAGCTCTGTGGGAATTAACATCATAAAGTGTATTGAAGGTAGTGATTTTATTGCTTGTTTACTGATAAAATACAAGATTTGATTGCCATGGTTTCTTAGTGTTTGAAATGCTGGAGATAGAAACAGGTGGTTATATTGGAACTTCCTGGTTGGAAATAGTGCCTTAATATTTCGGTGTAGGTTTCATAATATTTTGTTTTGTTTTGGATATTAATTGAGTTCATGTAAGTAAATTGTTATTCAAAATAATTTATTTTGATCTGGACAGCAAAATTGTAACAAAAAGGTCCTGTACTATACATTACTTTTTAAAGACTCTTACTTTATTATTCCACATTATAACTTTCTTAGCACCAGAATGTTTATTCAATAATGTGTTAAAACTTGGTTCCACTTCTTATGTACCTCATAAAAAATAATAAAGAAAATAAGACACTGTACAGATTAAAGACCAAAGATACAAAACTATGAGGGTTAACATATGAACTTGACTCATCAGAAATGATTGCTTCTCTGAACTCTTTCTGCTGTAGTCCGGGTAATAAAATAGTAGGGGTTCTGTTATATAAACACAGCATTTACTTTAAATGATACTAATTGGTTAATTTTCTTTTGCAATACATCTGGTGATTTATCCTTAGGAAGTTCATGTACTACTATCTTTGCTTACTTATTCTTTAGCAGATCTTGTATAGTCAATATTCTTTTACTTAATTAACAGTTTTATCATTTTTATCCTAGGAAAATTTATATTGAATACCTACAGTATATCAAAATGTAGAAATATAGCAAATGTAATAATCATATAGGTAATAGTAACTGACAGTAGATTATATTGTAAGTATTTGATATTTCAGTCTGGTTGGAGTATATCAATGGAGCTTGTGATAGGACCAGATGTTGGTATTAGCTACCTCACAGAGAAGGCCTCCACGGTAACTAGTTTAACCTTTATCCCACTTTGCCCTCTCTATCTCTCTCACCTTCCTCTCAGCTGATTCAGTGTATGAGCTTGTCATATTTTAAATTCTGAACTAACTGTCTCTGACTGTGAGGAAGAATCCAGGGTGGTTTTTATTGAAAAAGTTAATTATACCAGAAAGCAGTCACAAAAATCATTAAGTTTTGTATGCATTTAATAAAGATACAAGAAGTTGATTTTGTACTTGAAATCATATTGGTATGTTTTATTTAAAGGGGCTAATGACAGAGGTTTTCAAAAGGTCTTAGTTAAGTTCCTTACATTTCGGATAACAACAGTATTATGTCTTACAAAGTAATTCTAATATTTTTGAAAGACAAGATTGAAGCTACTTAGAAAGTGTATAAATATAAAAAAAGGCAGGTTATATCATTACATATTATCTCAATTCTCATTAGATTTTGATTATACTTTAATTTCCAAAAGTCATGTTATAAAGGTAGTTATAACAAACATGATTCACAAAACATGTGATTCACTGTGTATTGTTTTTGTTATATGGAAGATGGAATGATAATTCAGATGAAATGATGAGCTTAAATAATCACAGATGATATTCTTGTGAGATATGCCTGCTGAAAGATGAGTTGTCAGTCAGGGTTGAAATAAGATAAGAAAACATTAACCTTTTAATTGATTTCACATTTTGCGTCTGCTACAAGAGTTTTATCATGTTCCATCAATCAAAGAAACATTAGAGACACAGTCATATCTTATATAAATAGTGTTATCTCATTGTAGGGGAACACAATCTCTCTTCATTTGTGTTGCAAAAAAAAATGTATTAATGTTTGTGATGAAATCTCTGTCAGACTAGAAAAATATGGTTCGGTATGTTCACATCAGAATGTAATTATAATGTATTCAAAACTGTAGTCAAAAACCTTTGCTGAACTTGTTGATTATTTAATCTTGAATCATACTGTGGCATACTGCTGCTTTGATTCCACATTTACTCAGATATCATATACAGGAAAACTCTGTATTGATCAATTATGGTGTAAAACTATTTTCTCCAGAATTAAAAATATACATTAAAATATTAACAACATGAAATTGTTCACAGATGATGTTATCTTATTCTGAATATATAAACAAGATTAAATTTCTCTGTAATCTGTACATTCTGTTTATTTATTGGACATTTTCACATGTTTTATTTTCATAGTTACATTTTTAGCTCACCTGAGCAAAAAAATGCTTGGGGCAAGCTTTTGTGATTGTCCTCTGTCCATTGTTCATTGTTGTGCATTATAAGCAATTACTTTAAAACTAATTTCTGGATTTTGACCAATGTTCATGTGAATGATTCATGGGTAGTCCCATATTAAAGTAGTAAAAATACATACATCCTCTTGTCTGAAACCACATTGCCTCTTGGGTAAAACTTGTCTGCTCCTTGGGGGTCATAGGTTTCTCTTATATGTATATAGTAAAAATGTAAAAAATGTTCTGAAACCTCTATGACTTGAGCTTAGATATTTGGAAACATAGTCTAGTTGACCTCTACCAAGATTCTTCAGTGCATGATGCATTGACAAGTAGGCCCAGTTATAATTTGAGCCGCGTCACGCCAAAACCAACGTAATGCATTTGCGACCAGCATGGATCCAGACCAGCCTGCGCATCCACGCAGTCTGATCAGGATCAAGCTGTTCGCTTACAAACTATTACAAGTAGAGAAACTGATGGCGAACAGCATGGATCCTGATCAGACTGCGCGGATGTGCAGGCTGGTCTGGATCACGCTAGTCGCAAACGCATAACGTTGGTTTTGTCGTGACATGGCTCATTTACAGGTCTTCAGGTGAGCGACTAGGGTGCCATGATTATCTTGTCTCATTAAAATGATACTTCTAAATGTCTAAATGTATGTTCACCACACTTTCTATTCTAGAAATAGAAAGGGATAAAGAATCTTGATTACTTTGTTTAGAGATAAAAATGTTCCATTAGTGAGAATTTATTTCTAAGATTTATATATTGTGACAAGATAGTGCTTCTGTTTCTAGAAAGTTGGCAAAACATCTTTCAATATTGCATTGCTGAATAAATATTTCAGTCTCATACATTAATGTGTTAACAGTGCATTTAGTTACTTAAACACAAGTGATTTAAGTTTATCCTTGGAAGGATGTCAATAAATATATGTAACCAAAAGTACAGCATTAGATATAAACTAACACAGGAGAGTTATCTTTCCTGTCATTTTTTCCACTAGACAGAGCTTTCATTTTAATTAAGATGTTAAGTTTAAATAGCTCACCCTCACCATATTAGTTATATTCTGGAAAAAAAGTTGGTTTTCAGAAAGTTACTGAAGTTACCATTTTCAGTTTATGTTGCCAGTTAAAGAATTGGGAAAACAGTTCTGTGTTTTGCATGAGAATAAGTCTTCTTTTCCTATAAATATTATGTATTCTTCACTGAACATTGTTAAAATAATTTTCATAACAACTGTAGTCATGAAAACACAATTATTTCTGTCTGAATTTTTTTTCTGAAATTTGAATCTTCCCCTGTTTTGCTGTTTTGTTGCCAAGGAATATAAGAAATCAATAATGTGTCTCTAAGCATCAAGATGTAAGTTGTAATGTGCAGTGTGATACAGACAGGTAGTCTAGTAGTGAAGGGTGTGTTATAAAATATAATATTTCAAGTGCCAGCATTCATTTTACTACTCTAAGATGGTGATAGTTGTCTGTAAAATACAACACCCTGCAAGAACCGTGCATGTTATTTTTTTCTTATTTAGAAAGGCCATGGTTAATACACATTGTTTAAGATACTGTTAGTTTTCTCTGACATACAAATAAGAGTTAAAATTACTGTTATTTTAGGACGATAAAAATGATTAAAATAAAAATTACCATACAAAAAATGCTATGTCTGGACAAATATTGTATAGTAATTCATTTAGAAGTACAATAGAAATGGTAATATTGAGTTATCTATATTTATCGGAGCATCATTTATAGCTGAGTCATTTCAGGAGTCAGTTTGTCTAATATTTCCCCTCACATGCAGGCATAAATACAATCTATTATGTTTTATAGCACCAATATCAACATTGGTAAAAGTAAAAATATGACATGATATAAATTTGTAATAAAATGCAGATTGAGTCATCGATACATCTCTTGTATTACAGCCAACTCATATGGCCGACTTCTCTCAAGTTCAGTCAATACAGACATTGAGTTTGGAGGATGGTAAAGGGGTGTTACAGTTACGTATAGCTGGGGCCGCTGAACCTCTCACCATAACGTGTGCCTCGCTGGCCGAGGCCGAGGACATGGCTGACCTAATTGATGGATACTGCAGACTCGTTCATGACATTCAAGGTTCATTCTGGACCAAAAAAGGTAATTACATAAAAAATTGCTGAAACGGTTAATGCTAGAAAAGGAAGGCCAGAAACATGCTTTTTAATTGAATAGAGTTTCCCATATTCCTTCAAATAATGCTTGTAAATCAAAATATTCCTGACAAGTTTGTCAATTGTTTCCTATTCTGAAAGAAAATGCTTTTATGAGATCAAAACACTCATTTTGCTCTAATAATAAAACAATGCGGTTTATTCTGTTTTAGTGTATTTACTGTCATTAAATGCAGTAGGTAGTGAATAGATAAACGCTGCTAGAATATAGTATATAAAACTATATTTTACTGTGGGAAAATTCTGTATCAGTATATTAACTGAGTGCACACAGATGCTCTGGTGAATAAAATACAGGAGTATATGATGCCAGATTTACTCTAATCTGATTGGTTTATGATTTATGTTGGTGATAGGACATTTTATTATAAATTTTTACAACAGCATGCTGTATGCAGACATGTTCTGTGCCTCCACATTGACGTCTGCTGCACAATATTACAGACCAGCTGTGAAACATTTCTCTAAAATGACACTCTTAGTTAATCTTTTAATCTTAAGAATGCATGATTATAATATCTTTCTTTGTTTGAGGATGTTTTTTTTTATTGCATAATGTTCAACTTCCTCATCAGGTATGCACATTATCATAGATACAAATTGTGTGTATGTTTTTTACATGCATGGAAGGTAATCAAACAGAAATGAATCTGTTATATGTACACATGAAGGGGAATCATGATTAAAATACCTACAATATGATACAGTGTTATATAGAAATATCATGCTATAGGGTACCAGATGTAAGAAAATAGTTTCATAATGAATTATAGTTTTAGATAACTTAGCATTGTTGTTGATAGTCATGTTGCCTAGGACATAGGCAGTCAGTGATAACTAATAAGTGTGAAATTTGTGAAGATATAAACTTGGTACCTGAACAAGTTCATGTCAAGACTTTATATTACTAAGGATATCTGTACACCTATTTTCTTCATCAAGTGCAACTAGCGAAAAGATGTTGATTGTAATATATGTGTTAAAGATGACATGTAATGTGTTTACTTTTGACACTATATTAAAATCTTCACAAAAAATTGAGATGCATTAAATTTTGTTACTTTGGCATCGGCTTGATATGTTTGCAATAAAGACTGTTTAACATTGATATTGAAGTGGACAGTGTTTTCTAATAGTGTAATGTTTAATTTCTCCTCCAAAGTTTCTGGCAATGCAAAATCCCCTGTTATTGAGCTGAGAGAATCATCACCCAAAGGTTTGTTATGAGTGCATGTAAAATCCCTGGCACTACCTCAATTCAGGAACAGACAACTCTTGTTGGTTGGCTCTATGGTGCATGATCTCCCTTTGTTGATCACTCTTTTTAATGTTGTGTATGCTTCTCTACCAAAACAAAACTGTAAACTGTTCAATATTGTGGTTTGTCGCAACAAATTTAAACAATATATATCTGTGCGTAGTTACTATACTTACTATGTCTTGGTAAAAAGAGTTAGATATTTTAGAAAATAATCTGAATTAAGTATAAAGTAATGACATCAGATGCATGTGAGAGTACAGAGCAAAAAATTTATCCAATGTAAACAAGTTTGGTTTAATGTTTGGAAGGGTTGCATACACATTTCAAGTCCAACTGTTCATGGTTATAAAACTTGACTTGTAATTAAAAAAAGTATTTTGTCAGAAAATTTTTACTACTTTTTATAATTCCTGTAAAATGTAAAAGTATTATAACCATGTAACTATGACAACAGAATCTGTCTTGTGTTGGGACAAAGTTAAGTGTTGTTGTTGTTGTTTTCATATTTCAATCAGTATGGTACATAAGCACCCAGTTTCACTAATTTAACTTTCATGTTGTGTTGTTTATATTTATTCCTATATTAACACTCCCCATTTAAGACACTAACATATTGGAGTATGAATAGAACCTGATATTTCAAATGATTCTTCCATTTTATATTTTCATATAGTGTTAGTTTAATTGTAAAGTTATACATTTAAGATAATTTTAGACAGTTTTGTATTTTGTCTTTATTGTTTAGTAATTAGTAAAGTAAGCATGCTCAGTTTTAATTTTTTTATATAGTTTTTTACTAGTTGCACAAAGGGCAAAAGTTTTTCTTTGGTCACACATGTTCAGCACAATAAAATTATGTTATTGAAATACTATTCTTTGCTGTGTTTATACTGGTGCTTGAGTTTTGAATCATTGTTTAGAAATAAAAGGTATTGAGTCTGTTTGATTTTATTCTGCATCTACATAGTTAATTGTTGGGATTTTAATAGACAGTAATAAACCAGGCCTTTTTTAAAAATATATTCATGAACTTACTTCCATCATTAAATTTCATCCCTATTTTTGTCAACTTTACATCAGATATTTTATCAGTTGCAATTTAATGAATTGCATATTCAAAGAAGAGAAATATTAAAATGCTATGCTTAAAGGTTTTTTTTGTACTCACATCACATACTAGAATGTTAAAAATATATATTTTAGTGCAGTGTTTTGTTGTAATATATACTTTATTTGTACAATGAACATGTTTCAATGTAAAGATGAAAATACTAAACTGTTATATATTCATGTGATGTGTTTTTACTACATTTACCCAAGTCAAATACAGAATGATTTTTATAGTTATATATTTAAAACAATGTTCAATTGACTTTAGTTTTTGTTTCTGAATTATTGACATGCACTAAATGAAGTCTTTTCACTTACATATTCTTTTACAGCTTAATTCTACTTAAATTTGTCAAATTTGAGTGTTGATATATTTTGTAAATGTTTTTGCATTATGTTCTTGATAATACATGTGTATCAAAATACAAAACCTCCAAAACTGCTTTAAGTTGTGATGGAGATCTCTCCAAATTTGACCTGTGGTAGCATTTCACACCAAACTTTGCCCTGTTTGCTTTACTTGTTTGATGTAACAGTATATCAACCTACTTTTAGTTAACAAAAGAAGATGTTAAGATTTTTTTATACCAAAAGTTCGTAATAATTTTGTTTACATAATATATTTGAGAAAATAGCATTAACTCATTTGTTCACAAAAATTAATGGATTATTTCTTCCTTTTTGCTATGATAGAAGTTTCTGTAAATAAGTAAAACTATTAAAATACATTATGTTTCAGATGTCAGCATATGCTTGAATCCTTCCTATGGGTTGGGGGAACCTGCTAAACCAATTACTTTATGTATTACTATTCAGCAGTGTTTGATTTGTTTCAATGATACTTTTATTGAACTATTTACATAGTTCCAAGAGTTAAAATTGTATAGCGAGTTGATAAACAGTAGTCTTTAAAATGTTTGATTATTATATATTATGTTTGTTTTAGTTATATGAAGTTACTTTGTTACATGTCAAGTTGCATTATTGATAAAATATTTTATCTACTTTCAGAAGAAACAGTGCCTCCATCACCTAAGATCAGGTAAAATAAAATATTTCTTCTTGAATAATGTTTTCCATTGTAACTTCAGCAGTTTTAATGCCAATTGAAATTTGATGTTTTGGTGGCATTTAAGACAACAAATGTCATTTTGTGTAGTCATAGTTTCATGAACATTTAGAAATCTAAAAGAATGTTATTCTTTGAATTAAAAAAAAAGAAGATAAAAACGTTAGCATTTATTTCATTATGTTTAATTTAGATATGCATGTATTCTTATAATAGCTCAACTCTGGTCCATCTCCATACCTAATAATTGCCCAGGAATCAACTTCCTATATTTCTTTGTAGTATATAAGTAATAAAATTGATGAACAAATTTAAAATGAAGATATTTTTAACAGGTATATTTAATGTATATTTCAGCACAAATAAGAAAGATGGATTGAACAAGCTTGGGGAGCCACTTAGTCCTAATGAAAGTAAGTACATGTATATAACCACTGCTTACTGACTTACCTGCATTCCTGTGTTCTACTTCTTGACCTCGAGCATTTACATTTGTTGTGGTTTTCTTGTCTCCACTAACCTACAACAAAACAACATAGGTTATTGATTCTTACCATCTCATGATGTGTAATTGACTATTCAATATTATAACATCTGTAATCAACTGTAACCTACCTTGTGATTTGGTTTGACAGTAATAACTCTATATACATACACTAAATGATCTTCATGACTCTGCTGTTTAGGTTGCTGGTTAACATTTCTCACCCCATTCCATTTACAGTTTTAATTGAAGGTCCTATTCAGGATTGATTTTAAATTAAAGTTTGAAATAATTTAGAGCTATTTCTATCGAAGATAAGACAATACAGAAAAATAGTAAACAATATTTCTGGTAGTAACTCTTTAAAGTTATATTTTTCAACAAGACATTGTATGTGTTGTACAGACTTAAATTAGTGGTATATTTCAAAATGATAGCAGTACATTGACCATCATCTCTGCTAAACCTCTTCATTGTTGTCTAACTGGTTGATTACATTTTAAGAAGAAGTTTTTACCAATTTTGCCTTTAACCTTTATACTATGCCAAATCTGTTTAATGGGCTTGATGGTTTGTAATTGGACCTGTCCATCTGTAATTAAAAGGATTTTTATATCAAAATGATAAAATTAAGAAGCTGATAGTATAGACATAGTAGACAAGAGCAGGATAGGCAGGCTCTGTGCTGGTGACATAGGCAACTCTTTGTTACTGCTAAGGTCCAGAGATTGAAATAGTTTCATACAGACTTTACTTGTGTTGCCCCTTTGAGTGGTTCTGTTACAGTATAGGTTATTGTCTGATTGGGAACTGTAACTGTAACCCCCATGAACTTCTTGATGGACCTAGTTGTATGTTTCACTAATACATTTGATTGATATCTTTTGGCAATTTGTTTAGACTGTCTATATGTATATGTATTTGTTTAATTTTGGTTGTGGAATTAATTGGCTGAACATTTTGTACTTTGCTTCTTATTATGTTAATTCACTCATATATTTCTGTATATGTTGCAAGCTTTTAATATACATTGTATATACAATTATTATTATTATTTAACCTTCACCTAGATATACCAATTAAATTCTTTGTGAATAGAACATTTTAAAATTGCTTTCAAAATTCTAGTTCTGAAAACAATTGATAAAAGCAAGAAATGAAAATAAAAGTAAAGTACATCTAGTTTATGTATGATTTTTTAGGAATATCAGATTATGCAGAAATTGTCGAAGATGAGGGTGACTACAGCTCGCCTGATGGTAAATATGATTTCTGTTGCCAGGGTTACAAATTTATGAATAAAATTAATGAAAATCGACAGGAAAATTTTAACTAAATAATAGAAAAAATAGAATACAACAACAGAATATAAGTTTTCAATTTGTTATCCAAGAAAGAATAAAATTTTGCCTCAAGGTCAGAGGTCATGCAAAGGTCAAATGATTGTAATATATTTATAATGTTATAGTAATATTATCAAGTCAAAAAGAAAGTTTTGAGCTATCAATAACATGTTCTGACTGAAAAAAAAATCTTTCATAAAAAATTAATAGGACAAAAAAGAAAGGGGAAGAAAAAGAAAAGTGAGTTTGGCATGAGATTAGAGTGTAGATATAACTCAAGATCTGATTGAACTATAGATGTAACATGTCATTTGATTGGATAACGAGAGATCCCAAATAAAAATATATTGCATATCTACCTGAATGAATTTCTAATATTCTACTGAATGAAACAGAGCAATATTGTTGCCAATAGTTGAGAAATATTATTTCTGCTTTGTCAAAATAATTTTGAGGAAAGAAAGCATGGCAAAGTCAAATAGATTATAATCGCAAGAAGTAATGTTGCCGTCGATAGAGCATTTAACATTATTATTTTGTTATTTATTTCGCATTTAATTAGACTCAATTCTGCATGGAAGACTTCTAATATTTTGTTTTTATCGAATGTGTACTGGGAAATCCTTCCTTGTAGATTTTGAACATTATATTTGTGTGTATGCATGCTTGGTTATAAAGATACAGTATATATGTTTGCTGTCATGACCAAACATTTAATATTCAGTGTAATTTATATACATGTATACTAAATCTAACAAAGGTCATAGAATTAGCCCTGACCTCTGATGTATGCATGTTGAATGAAGATATATGTAACTTTACTATAAGTTACAAATGAATGTAAAATTTATAAAGTGTAAATATATCTTAGCATATCATTCAAGATATTAAATTTTAATGTAATTATTTTATAACAATCTGTATTTAAATTAATGATTATAAAAAGATAGTGTATATATATTGTTGGTTGTGGTAAAACTGGAATATATATGTTGTATTTTGTATAGGTAGATTTATATTTTGTACCCTTAAAGTAACTTTTATATTATTTTATGATCAGTTATATTGTATGTTTAATGATTTATTTTACAGCTAATGACTATGAGATACAAAGAGACAAGATTAAATTACTTGATATTCTTGGTAACGGCCAGTTTGGAGACGTCCATAAAGGTGTTTATAGAGAAAAGGTAAAACAAACAAAAAATCTTTACATAGATAAGTCTCCTATTATATAGTAAATTTATGAAAAAGAATTAACATTGATCATGCAGTCTAGAAAGCTTTTAAATGTTTGTAAAAAACAAAAACAAAATCGCTTTTGACCATTCAATTTATAAGGACATAAGTTATAAATCAGATATAAAACTACTGATGCAACAGGATGTTGGACTAGAGACAACACCTAAACAAATAATTAACTTCTTGTTGAAGTCATCTTGAAATCAAACATGTGAAAAATAAGTTGCGTTAATTTTAAGTGATAAATTCATAATAAATTCTTTATATTGTAATAAAACCCTCTTAAAATTGTAGTAACTATTATTTGTATAGTTTTATAAAGTTTCAAAGAAACAATAGTGATTTAAAGTAAAATAATGTTGTGCATTGTTGTAGAATAATGCACAATTTGAGTTCAAATGCATAGGAATATAATCTCGAAGACTGATAGGCCTGTGTGATAAAGTACGAAGCATTTGAACGGGAAAAAAGTGCATTATTATACTATAATGCATGAATATAATGATAATTAATATCTATTTCCATTCAAACATGCTTATAAAAAGAGAATTGATAAAAATGTTGAAATACATCGAGTGTAGAAGTAATTTTCCTGATGTTGTTTGGTTTATTGATGTCATATCTGATATCATATGACGTGTAGGCATTTCTTTTTTTTACGCTGTGCATATGTCTTGTAATAATGCACTCAATTCCCCTATCTTTTCAATGAGCATGTTAGAATATATTATGAAAATATAACAATAGTAATGTTATAAATAAGTTATATATGTAACCATGAAACAATGTTTATGTTAGTTACTATGAAACAAATGAATATTAACTTACGATAATATTTATGTACAGGATGGTAACGAGGTACCTGTTGCAGTGAAGACCTGTAAGGAGGATAATGAAGAATCTATGACAGAAAAATTCCTTGAAGAAGCTTGTGAGTTCTCTACTTACAAAATCTGATTTTATTGACATTATTGAGGCAAAGAAGGAAATTAAAACTAGTGCCGAAATTTTTTTGCATTATTGAGTTATCATAATTGAAATGAATTGATTGGAAAAAAATTGGGGTCATCTGAAATTTTGTGTTCTCTGCCCATAAAAGTGTGTTCAAATGTCTTGAAACAGACACAGTATTCCAGCAGTTATATTATCTCTCTACTAATCAAGTTATAGTAAGTTTGATGTACTTGTTAATCCAAATTAGAATAATAACAGTCTTGCAGATGTTACTTGAAAAACTTGTGTCCTTTGTAATGGTACTTTACACATTGCAAACTAAGCAACCTGTTTCATCTGGAATGAATCAGTTTTTGTACCAGTTTCATTATCCTCCCTAAAATATGAAATACAGGTCATCAACTAGAGTGTGTCACTCATGTGTGTTTACTATGGTGGAAACTATGATTAAATGTACCATTATGCATGAACAACTATCTCCATTGATAATTCTAGCTGACTAAATCTGCAAGGATTTTGTGCATGATTGTCCATTATTCTAACTAAAAATGAGAAGTACTGGTAGTTCTTTGCTTCAGACTTTATATGGAGGTTTTGCCCAGGCTGTGTATGCTTTATAGATAAATTATTTATGTTAGTTGTCATTGATGTTTGTACAAAAGCAGATGTCAGTTCAAATGAAAGAAAGGTTTATAATATGAGGTATTCTTTAAATTAATGTTTTAATACTATAAATAAAAGACAGGTCTTATTATTCATATTCAACTGTAAGACAAGGTTACTATTGCAGGTTGTAAAGTTATCCTGTCTGTACATTAAAGATGATAATTTTATATTACAGATATAATGCAGCAATTTGATCATCCTCATATAGTCAAACTTATAGGTATATGTTCTGCTGCTCGACCAGTATGGATCATTATGGAACTAGCTAGGCATGGTGAGGTAAGTAAACTACTGTATTGTAATTACAGTTTGAACTGGGATAAAACAAGGTTAACCCTTTACTTCTAATGATTTCTACAGTGTATTCAAAGTAAATCTCTAACCATGATTATTAATTTAAGTTTGGGCCTTCGTGGCTGAGTGGTTAAGGTTGTTGACTTCACACCACTTGCCCCTCACCGCTGTGGGTTTGAATCCTGACTGGAACTTTGGATTCTTTCACATGAGGGAGCTGTCCAGCTAGCTTACGGAACATCGTGGTTCTACTCAGGTGCCCGTTCGTGTCTGAAATAATGCATGTAAGTGCACCGGAGGTCTTGCTTTACTCCTCCACCAGTAAAGCTGGAACATTGCCATATGACCTATACTGTGTCGATGTGACGTAAAATCCAATCAAACCAACAAACAAATATAAATTTAAGTTATGTTTTTTCCTGTATAAATAATTTATTTCTGTTATTGTCTATTACACTGCAATATGTGATATGCCGGTAAATGTACCTAAATACATGTAAATAACTTAATTTTAAACACTAGAGCTTAACCCATTAAAACAAATGAACAAATTTTATAAATAGCTCTGATCTTTAAATTTGATGTAAATTTAATGTAAATGATAAAGTCCAAGGATATTTGATTCATTATAAATTGACGATATTTATGTTGCAGATGCGAGCATATTTACAGAACAATAAGCATCGGTTAGACCTGACCACACTGATCATGTATGCCTTCCAGCTTAGCACAGCTCTCTCATATCTTGAAAGTAAAAAGTTTGTTCATAGGTTAGTACTTCCTTAAATATTGTTTGATATAGGGAACCTATGAGATATTTGCTTTGTAAATATTCACACTGTTTTGCCATTGTCTGTTAAATGACTCATGATGTCGGCTGTTGTTTGATAAATGACTGTATATCAAACTTGAGTTTTGATATACTGAGTAGATACATTTATTGTACTAGTAATTGGTGTCAAAAAAGTCAACTATGTTGAACAACAAAGTTCAGTCTTCTAACAAGACACTACTGTTAAACGTTTTAACTCCACTTTTAAAAGAAAAGTGGGAGCTACTGTTATGACACACTCCTGCCATACCAGTTTAAGGTCAAATGGTGAAAGGTCAAAGTCATTTGAACCAGTAATTACTCATTATTATGACCTCAAATCTGGATCTGTGAATGAATGTTGATGGGTTATGCCTGCCACACCCATTTTCAGGTCAAGAGTCAAAGGTCAAAATCGATGTGACCTTTGATTTAAATTATTGCTTATAGTTAAATGTGTTTGTATCAGCAAGGGGCTAGTTATTCCTGATTTTAATTGACTCTTTTTGAAGGTAGAGTTTGATGTATGACTATAACTTTTATTGGATTGTTTTTATATAAGATAAATATTTTGTGTTTGTAGGGATATAGCAGCAAGGAATGTGCTAGTATCAGCCCATGACTGTGTTAAACTAGGAGATTTTGGTCTGTCTAGATGGGTGGAGGAACAAAGTTACTATAAAGGTTTGTCACAGAAATGATGAAGCAGTTTTATACTGTCCTTGTTAGTTAGACATTAATGTAACACTTAACATACATACATTGTTGTTTCATCATAATTGATCTTGATTTATTGTTGTTATTATAGAGTTTATGTTTCCTCATTGCATTGATTACATTAACTAGATTTCTTGTTAATTCATTTTAGTTTTGCAATTAAACAAGCATTTTAATGATTATGATAACAGTTTTTATTTAAATTCTTTCTGCATTCATTGACTGTATGTTTTTCAGCATCCAAAGGTAAACTACCGATAAAATGGATGGCTCCAGAATCTATCAACTTTAGGAGGTTTACCTCGGCAAGTGATGTTTGGATGTTTGGTAAGCTTTGTGTAAAGTACTCTATAAGAAGTAATGCATTATCTAGAAGTTCAAGATGACTTTGATATATGGTATAAAGGAATAATTCAAGTTCAGTAAAAAGACCCTTATAAGTATGACTGTGTTCTCATGGCAGAATTATTTATGAAATAAAAAAAGAAAGAAAAAAGAGAAGATATTGTGAAACAATTAATTGAAGAAAGTCAATACTTGTGCTGCGTGTATATTGTATAAGTATATTTTTCAGGTGTTTGTATATGGGAGATTTTGATGTACGGTATCAAGCCATTCCAAGGTGTGAAGAACAATGATGTGATAGGAAAGATAGAGAATGGGGAGAGGCTACCCCTACCCCCAGGATGTCCACCTTCCCTGTATAACCTCATGTGTGTATGTTGGTCATATGAACCTTCCAAGAGACCTTCATTTGCTGATCTGAAAACATGGCTTTAGTAAGTATAAAATTAATACATCAGTATTTTTTACTTGAATTATATGTACCCTATCAAGTTTTATTAAATATGGGTTATGTTTTATAGTAAGTTCAGTTCTGTTCTATGAACTACATAGATATGAAAATATATGTTTAAATTTTGTATACTTTAATTACAAAGTACCCTAGACAACTTGACCTTTTCTTGTTCTGACTTTTATAATGTATAATTTATGAAAATATTACAGTGAAATATTTGATGAGGAGAAATACAGACTGGAAGAGGAAATGCAGAGGGATAACAGGAGAGTTATATCCTGGGGTACGTAGTCCTATACATACCTTTACAGTTGATTACTGAAATACAATGTTACTTGTGGTTTTTTCCCAGAAACATCCAACTTTCATGATGTTTGCCCATTTTTTTTCTGCATTTGTTAAATTTGTAGATTGTCTGACTGTGTGTTTCTATGTGAATGAGGGTCCTTCATGACAGTAATGAAGTGTTTGTCTAATGAGTACAGTCTCACACCAAAAGAAAGCACTGCAGATAAAAAAAGCTCAAATGCATACTTTATTTTGCAATTTTTTTCTGTCACTTTTCAGTTCAAAATTTGGGATGAATTTGTATTGCACCATTTAATCTTCATATTTATTATTCATCATAATTAATGTTAAATTTTCCTTGCTAGGTTCCAATGGGTCAGAAGATGAACAGATCTTGCCACCACCTAAACCTGCCAGGCCACAATTCCCTAATATATCCCCAGCCACCTCTTCCAGAAATATTAGTCAACAGAGTATAGCCACTCCTCCAAATAATTGGAGCAACTCTTCCAATCTTCCAGTAGGGCAGAGTACCCCATGTGGGCCAAGCCCACAGCACCCAGTAGCAGGATCTCAAGCTGGCCCACCACCTTTACCTAGAGAGATTGATCTGTCACATTACTTTCCTTCATCCACTGGTTACACCCAAGTTAATCAGGTATCGAGAGGTTATAACCCTGCAGGTGTGTCGGCAGAAGGTTCACACTACAGTCAGGCCTCGGCAGCTGGACCAAGAGGTGGTACATTCCCTGGTAGGGCCATTGCCAGGAATCCCCAGGAATTATCTGAGATGGTAGGGGCAAGTGGAACTCAAACCAGGGGTTTCCAGAGTAATAGGCAACTTTATCAAGATCAGGTAATAACTTATGATTAGAAGAGGTAATGTTTAATAAGGCCAGTTTTCAAATAAATTATATAGCATTCATGACAGAAAAATGAGTTCCATTTTATCTATGAAAGAAAATGTTAACATTCAGTCCAAAAAGTCCCTGTCTAAGATCTTTTTAGAGGCCCTTTTTTACAAAATCTTTATATAATTTATACATTAACATTGTAAGTATGTACTCGTATCATATAGGAATGGTAATGATTATCCCACTAATTGTAATGGTATACATTATTTACTATATAACTAGGCTCTTGACTTCCGAGAACCATTGCCGGTGAATAATCATGTTACTAAGGATTTAGAGCCGGAGGAGATAGCAGAACGGTTACGGATACAACAAATGGAATCAGAGAAAGATGCTGAGTGGCTTATCTCAGAAGAGAGAAATCTTGTAAGTGATGTACAAAGCGTAATATACAGTTATGCCCCTTAAAATGATAAAATTATACTCTTGTTAATTATCCAAAAGACATAACAGACTTACATTTAACCATATTTCAAAAAAGTTAAAAAAATCTTATTCAGACAGAGTTTTAAGGTTTTATATGAGGAGTTGACCGCCTACAAATAATTGTTTAAATCATGACTACCTCACATTAACCTTGCCCTGGGGAACAAAGTTTTATGTAGAAATATATAAAACTAATAAGTGAAGTTTAATATTCTAAGTTTGATGTTACACTTACACTTTTTTATATAAGCTGGACAAAACATACAAAAAACAGCCATATAGAAGCAATAAACAAAGAATATTTGCAATATTTAAATTTGAGCTTAATTTCTTTGATGTAGAAACGAGATATTCCACGCCCACAACCAGCTGCAGGCCCGCCTCCAACTACCCACAATCCCTTACATATTGTTGAAGAAGGTGACATTGTAAAAGAGAACACACCTCCTAATACTCTTAGACAGACAGAAATTAGACCAACAGTTACAAGAACTACATCTGTCAACTCTAGAATGTCCAGTACAAGTAAGTTTACTTTACAATTTAAACATTATATTTGTATCTCCATCTGAATTATGTAAAATACAGTTCTGTTTTGTTATAACAATTTTATTTTGCAAAATATGAAACTGACACATATGCGCAATCCTACTAATGAAGATGTTGTCAGGTTTCTTTACATAGGGAAAAAATATTTTGTCAGTGATTCAAATTTTGGGCAATTTATTATTTATTGCAAGAGGATATTTGATTTGCATTCTTATTAAAAAAATAAGAAATTTCAAATAGTTTTACAAGCATGGCTCTGATTAACGATATTGGGCGTGTTTTTCTAGAAAGTAATTTGTGGTACATATTCTAGGAAAATATATTTCTTATGATAAAACAAAGAGCTTTGTTAAATGGCATGAATCACATGTCATTTACAAAAGTTTGTAGTTCCTAACCAGTGATTGCCATGAAATAAAGTAGTATTTTATGATGTATATTGTTTATAATTTTAATGTTTTATATTATATAATTTTAGTGTAGAATAGCATACTATAAGACATCCCAATCCACACAAAAATCGAAATACACATGTATTTCTCTTAATTTTAAAAAACATGATAAAATTTAAAATTAAAAAACAACCAAAAAGCACCTTTCTTTCTATTATGAAAGTTTTGTCAAGAACAACTGTGGCTTATATCATTTATTCCATCATTCTGTTAAATTACATTTTAACTTTCCTGTAAATGTGTTAAATCATACCACCCAAAATAATATTTAGATTGTAAAGCATTCATTTTCGTTTGTTTTAGGACAAGTTGATTCACTGAATTTCTTAACTACAATTTTATGAGGTACAACAATATTTGACATTATTACTGTTTTGTGCCAGACATGTTAAATACAAACAGTTATGAAATATTATCTGCTTGAAATTTTAGCCATTCCAGTCCATTCCAAGTACCCCAACAATGACAAAAGAAAGTTTAGATCGTAGTAATGATGGTGTGTATGAGAGTACAACAGCTGTTGTCAGATCTGTGATGTCATTAACACAAAAAGCTCCCTCATCACGGGCCGACGAACTTGTTGATCTTATCAAGGTATGATTACAAATTGAATTTTACCAGTAACTGGACTCTAGTGCTTACTTGTGCACCAGGGCATCTGAAGTCTTCTACATCAGTAAGCCTGGACAGTTGCTATACATTCTATATAGTGTATGTGCAACAAACTTAAAACCCCCAAAATAAACTGGTAAATTTCTTGCAGTTAATAGGTCCCTACTCTGTAAACAAATTTGTCAAATATGTTGTGGTGAATCAGGGATCTTTCAATAGATGCTTTTGTTGAACTTATCTTTCTAGCACTTTAGCAAAGTAAAGCAATAAATTGAAAGGTTATCTTCATGTTTTACAAATCTTAGTGTTTAAGAAACAATTTGAAATCAGTAGATATTTTTGTCTTAACTCCAAAGTTTAGCATATGAAATGTTGTTTTTCTCTGTAAATCCTCCAGTCTATATAAATGTTCGGCTGAAGTGATATTTGTGTTCATTAATTTGTTATTAAGAAAAAGTTGTGAACAGTGTAAACTTAAGCTGGTATGTTAAATTTATTTCTCTTTTTTCCAGGCTGTTGGACTAGAGTTACGTGGACTCTTAGCTAGTGTAGATGACTACTCCAAAAATTTTCCCCAGATCAATTTAAGGAAGTAAAAATAAAATTTTAATTTAAAATTGTTTTTTTTTAAAAAGAAAACTATGAAAAAAATTGAAACCCCTGTTCTTGGAAGGTTTTTAATTTCAAAATTTCACAGAGGGGTTTTATCAGACCCCATGCTTCGATTTTTGGGGATTTTTAAATAGCAAAAATATCATAAATGGTCTGAATTCACAGAAAAATTAAATATTTATTTTTTGTTCAGTAACAGGATATGAGTGTTCCAAGGACAGAATTTTCCTGAAGCAAAAGACAGATGTTTATTGTTGTTGTTATGCTAAAGTAAACAACAGTTGTTTTATTTTTCAGAAGATAGAAATGTCCCAGAAGGTATTGAGTACAGATATGGGGAATTTGATCAGTGCAATGAAGTTAGCGCAGCATTACAGTTCTACAGCAATGGATGGAGAGTATAGGAAAAATATGCTTAAAGCCGCACATGTTATTGCAATGGACTCTAAAAATCTTCTTGATGCTGTAGATAATTGAGAAAATTTCATTTTTCTCAAAAAAAATAAACCCAAGATGATCAAAATAGAAAAAATTAAAAAATTTGGGTGCTTTATTTGAAAAAAATTTTAAAAAATTAAAAAACGAGCATAACGGGGGTCCCTTTGTACTAAAAAAGGGGATAGATGACTGAAGGGGCCGGGACAGCTTTTAAAGGAAAATTTCCCTTTCCCACAAAAAATTAACACCGCAAAAAAAGAGGGCCTTTTAAAAACTGACTTGTTTTCCCACAGGGGGTTACAAAAATTTAAGATTAGGGGGCCCATTTTTTGTTGGGTAAAACCCTTTTATATTTTTTAGTGTATTTTTTTTACAACCCCGAAGACCCTCCCATAAAAAAATAAAGTTCAAAACCCTTGCAGGGAAAATTTTTGTTAAAAAAGCCCGCTTAAAAAATAAAGTAAACCTTTTTTGAACTCTTTGGGGGGTTTTTTCTTTTGGGTTCTGTCCCTTTTTAAATGGGACAAAAGAGTTTCCTGCCATAAATTTTGACAATGAAAAAAAAAATAATTTTTTAATTTAATGTTTTTAAACAGAGTTTGAAGGAAATTTTTTTACTTTAGAATTTTGGGGCAATTTTTTAAAAAAAAAAAATTTTTTAAAATTTTTTTGGATTAACCAGTTTTCCCTAAAATTTTTTGGCTATTGGAAAGGAAAAATAGTGTTTTAAAAAGGTTTTCAATTTTTACTTTAAAAATTTACTGTGTTTAAACATTGGGGAACTTTTGAACTTTAATTTGGGTTAGACGGGAAAATTTAATGAAAGATAGATTAAATGTTAAAAATTTTTTTATTGTCATTATGAGTTTTTCGGGTTTTAAGGGAAAATTTTGTATTTTAGGGAATATTTAAATCTCAGAAATTTTAACTTTTATTTAGTTTTACACAGATAAATTTTTAATTTTTTAAACGGGTTTGGTTTTTTTTTTTTAGTTGGACAGAAAAATTTTTTTAAAACCAAAAAGTTTTTTTTCCTGCTTTCCCCCTTACAATCAACTATACTACATAAATACATGGGGGAAAAAAAAGCGAGGAAAAATTGGGAATTAAATGGTTTATTTTTTTTTTAAAGCTATGAGCAATGCTTCAGGGGTTGAGCTTTGTGTTTCCAACCCTGTTTTTTCCGGGCCCCTCGTCGTTGCGGCGTGCGTCGTGGCGTCTTTTCAATTTTTCATATAAAAAACTCCTCTAAAACCCCAAATGACTGCATTAAAAACCAAATTTTTAACAGAAAGGGAATTCCTTGGGTTGCCCCCTTTCAAAGTTTTTCCAAAGGGTTTCCCGGGGGGTTTTGTTGCATATGTAGGTACAGGGCCAAAAAAAGGGATTTCAAAAAAAAAATTAAAAAATCTTTTTGTCTGAAAGAAAAAAGGGGGGCCAAAAAGCTTTGTTTTTTGGTTTTTTTTTGCTATTCATCTATGGTCCTCTCCCAAATTGTTTAAAAATTTTGTCCCTGTGCAAAATTGGCCCCCGCCCCGGGGGGGTATGGGTTTTTCCCCTTATTGTCTAATAGGTAAATCTAAAAAATCTTTTTCTCTGATTGGAAAGGCTACGTTGATATTTGGCATGAAACTTGTGTAGTAGATCTATAAAGATTGTTCAAATAATGGCCTGGGGTCAAAATTGGGCCCCGGCCCTGGGGGGTCATTGTTTTTCTTTAATAATATATAAAAACTTAAAAAATCTTCGGCTAAAATAAAGGGCCCTAGGCTTTGGATTTTGGTAATATGGTATCATCTATGGGTCCTCTCCCAAAATTGTTCAAATTTTGTCCCATGTCAAAAATTGGCCCCCCCGGGGGGTCTAGGTTTTTCCTTTGTGTTTATAAAATCTAAAAAAATTTCTCTCTGTTTTGGGCAAGGCTACGATTAGATATTTGGCATGAAACATTGTGTAGTAGCCTCTACAGATTGTTGAAATAATGGCCCTAGGGTAAAAATTGGGCCCGTCCCGGGGGGGTTTCATAGTTTCAAAATATGTAAAAGTAAAAAAAAAAAAATTTCTTCTAAATTTGGAAAGGGGAAAAAAAAATTTTTGGCAAAAATATTGTGTGTTTAAACTCTCCAAAGATTGTTCAAAAAATGGCCCCTGGGGTCAAATTGGCCCCGCCTGGGGGGTTTTGTTTTGTTTTAATTAGTGAAAACTTGAAAAATCTTTATGGTCTAAAAAGTAAAGGGCCCTGGGCTTTGATATTGGCCTTTGGGTTCACTATAGTCCAAACCAAAGTTGTTAAAAATTTTGTTCTAAAAATTAAAATCGGCCCCGCCCTGGGGGTCATTAAATTTTCCCTATATGTATATAGTAAAAAACTTAAAAAATCTTCTTTTTTAAAAAAAAACCCAAAGAAGCTAGAGCTAAATTTTAGCATTAAAACAATCTTCTAATGGTGTGCTACCCAAGTTTGTTCAAATAAAAGCCCTGGGGGGGTCAAAATTGGGCCCCCGCCAAGGGGGTCATTGATTTTTCCCTATATGAAATAATAGTAAAAAACTTAAAAAAAATTCTTTTGAAACAGAACCATAAGAGCTAGAGTACTAAGATATTTAGCATGAACCATTTTAATGGATGTCTACCATGGTCGTTCAAATAAGAGCCCTGGGTCAAAATTGCCCGCCCGGGGGTCATTCATTAGCTCGATTTTTTTGGTTAACGATATATAATATTATATATATACATATGTATGTATCTATATTGTATATATATATATCTTATATATATGTATGTATATATATTATTATGTATTACTTATTGTATATATGATATATAATATAATATATATACATACATACATACACACACACACACATATATATATATATATATATATCTTAATATATATGTATGTATATATAATATATGTATGTATCTAATTGTATATATATATATCTTACTATATCATCATATAGTATGTATCTATAATGTATATATATTTATCTTATATATATATGCATGTATATATATATGTATGTATCTATATTGTATATATATAATATATATATATATATTATATATATCATATAATATATATATATAATAATATATATATTATATATATTTATATACAATATATATATCTATATATGTCACACACAACACACTATAATATATATATATATTAGACATAAAAAATCTTCTTTTAGAAAACCCAATAAGCTAGACCTTAGTATGTGTAGGCAATGAAACATCTTTCTAATGGGTTCAAACCAAAGTTTGTTCAATAAAAGCCCTGGTTTAAACTGGCCCCCCTCCGGGGGCCTATATCAGGTGAGGATTGGCCCTCCATGGCCCTCTTTTTAATCAAAATTTTACCCCCGCAAATTTTGAATGAGTTAAATTTTTATGATGATTATTACAAGAAGTAGCTCAGTAACTCATTTACATTTTATAATTATGATGAAAATGTGCAGGCTTAATTTAGCAAACCCTTTTCTGACACCCAGCTTTTCTTTTAAAGGGAAATTAAAATTAAAATTTTATGTATTTTAGACTTTAAAAAACCAATGCAGAAGTGGTTGAAAAGGTTTCTGTTGTTAATTTATTTTAAAAAGATTATCTGTAGCCCGTAGTAGGAACTGAATCCCCCCGATGTGCCCCTGGGAGAGTTTAAAGGCAGCCCCTTTCATCCATGCCATTTTATCAAAGGTTACCTGTAGCTATTCAATCGTATTTTTTTTTAAATTCCCTAAAAAATGACAATTGATTTAGTCCAGATTGAAAGATGGATAAGTCCAATTAAAGTATTTGTGAGGTAAGGGTTTATAATAACTCTTAACTTATATATTATTCATGTCATACTCTGAACGTTTTGCCTCATATTGTTATAAATGAGTTTTTAAATTACTCAAACAGCCACCATCACTGTTCTTTTATTTGATTATAATATGATATTTAATATTCTGACATTCATTGTAGATCTTTTTAAATTCAATCTGGATTTTCCTTAAGATTTCTCGACGTGCTAATATTTCACAGCTATTTTGTGTATTCATTTTAAAATACACAAAATAGCTGTGAAATATTAGCACGTCGAGAAATCTTAAGGCAAAGATAGAAAAGTTTGTGTAGTAGATAATTATTAATTGTAGATCTTATTTTGTTATTTTTGTGATTCTTAGTATTAAGATACAAAAAACAACAAATTTACTGTTATTCATTTTATAACATAGCCTAGGATAGGTGAAGATTTTAATGGATTTTAAAACAAGGACTATTGCATGCAAATTAAAGAGGTTTTTGAATGGAATAAAATATGAAAGTCCTTTCATCCTGTAAATGATTTAGTAATTTTGGTAACATATGCAAGCTAGAACACTTATGATGATTATTTTATCAATATGCCTTGTATATAGATGTAATTTAGCTAATTACATAAATAAATGACTTAAATCATGTTTGACACAAATGTGGCATACATCTTCTGTCTTAAAATTGTGTTACTATGTGTTCTTAAGTATATGGTATGATGAGCAAAGACTTGTATCAAAATTATATTTGGTGTCTGTATTTTATAATGTATCAAAGAATATCAAATAGTTTAAACTATTCAGTATTACTCTTCTATGAACTTTTTTCACACATTTTGGTGTTTTATTGTGTCCGTAATTTTTGGTACTTTTAATATTTTCTTTCATTAAAGGTGATCAGTTGACACGTGAATTCCCCATATACACACCTTCCTAAATTTTTACTAGTGTTTTAATATTCTTTAAACTTTCTAATCACAATCTGCGGATATTAGTGTAAATTAGAACGTATTTTATGCTGTTGCTCAAATTATTCACCATGTATCGTGCATGTTATAGAAGATCATAACTAGTCATATATGTCTCCATTTATAGTGTGTGCTACCGTTATAAATTTAGCGTTTATTTAGCAGATAACCAACTAGTGTCCTTCGTTTATATTTAACAATTTCTGAAGTTATTGCTTACTTTTATATAAAATTAAAATAAGAGATTTTAAATATTCTGGTATGGATGTTTTAAAGAAACCTGCTTATATTTGAGTGTTGAAAAATGTATACAGTGGTTAAGAAAATGCTGTTGTTTTTATAAATGAAAACTGAGCACATCAACATGACATAGTAATAGTAGTTGTGCTAGCTTAGGAATGCTACATGACTACATCTGCCACATATTTTACTATTTCTTAGCACTATATTTATTAGATGTAAAAGAGGTAAAGTTTAAATAAGTCTCCATGTTTGGTGAGGGAGAAATTACTTTCACTACATTCGTAACTATTTTCTCCGTTGATTAATTCTGAAATCTTCTCAATGTGATATATTTACATTTTCCTCTATTTAAACATTCTGTCGTAGTAATCTAGTATTTTACGTTTATTTAAGTGTATATTTAGTACAGTCACATTTTTCTCCATTTATTATTGTAGTTTAAAGTAAAACTTTTGTGAATATTTTTATTGCTGTACATTATGTTGTATATTATATATAAATATGATCATGTCTTTTATCAGTAAAGCATTGCAAATTGTTGTTGAATTAAAATGCAATATTAAAACACTAAAACAAGAATGTTCAGTTTTACTTTCTGAAAGAGGTATTCCATTAGGTGCAGGTGTTTGCTAATTCCTTGTCCCTAATTGCTCTGGTCCAAATATTTACACTATACTAGGTGTTTAGTTAGGATTCTACACAAGTTCATATGTTTTGAATAAAGCAGTATTAACTTTTACTGTTCTGACTATATATTGGACTCCTCTTGCTGTGAAAATGGAGCTTTATTAGTTCAAGGGGGTTTCAACATCATAAAAGTAACAAGCCATCTTTATAGTCTGGTCAGACAACAGAGATATAATGTTAAATACTAATTGGAACCGTAGTCAATGTTTTCCAATATGAATGGTTAAAATAAACAATTTCCGGTTTTTCTTGTGCAAAACATTTAACCACATTTTTCCATTTCTTTTTGTAGTCACTGCTCACAAACGTATCAAAACAAAAAACATGTGTTTTTTTTGTGCAAACCAGGTCAACCAGTGACTATGTATTATCTCAGTGTAGCGACTGGATAACAAGTTAGCCAATTTACATTGAACTGTAAACACCGGAACGGTCCATACAGTAGATACATTAGGATGACAGTAAACCTCACTTATAGAGCACAATCAGATATTGCACACTCACTAGGCCCTAGCCTTAAAGAACGATAACTACAAACTAGTTTCAAGTTAAACACAAAACAAGTATAATGAAATAGCGCATATGTAACGAATAAGCAAAAAAATTTTATTTTATGAGTAAAATCTTGTCAAACTGTTACTCCAAACTCCAACGCAAATATATTATAACATAGTTAACCTTGGAGATAAAATATTTTATTACAGGAAAAACACATGCCATTTTATTGCAGAATGAATTCAGTTATAGCCATCGGCTATTACACATGCAAAGAGAATACAAACATAAACCCATTAATTATTTGCACATATCACTGGTGTAGGAATTTCATTAGCACTCAATATTAGACACTAAATGTTTCACTTTCTTCAGTGGATTTGCTGATTTACAGAGTCAAATAAGTTAGTTTTATGATCAGCAACATTTGGAGAGCTTTCATATGTGCATATTGTAACTTCATGTCTGTGAGCCTGAAAAATAATAAGAGATAATAATAACAGACTGTTGTACTTCCTACAGGAAGTTTTGTTTGTTTGATTGGGTTTTACGTCACACCGACACAGCATAGGTCATATGGCAACTTTCCAGCTTTACTGTTGGAGGAAGACCTCAGGTGCCACTCTGGAAGTTACTGTAAACAATTTTTCCCAATGTTTCTATTAGAATACTAAAATTTATAAAATGTTTTCATCATTATTATAATGTGAAGTAGCAATGTATAAGGTTCCTACAATAATTCTCGCATCTTTACTTACAAACAAATATCCTACTATAAACACACATTACATTCCAAGTTAATAATAAAACTGGTGGATACTAATGTACCTTGATTCTGTGTGTGACAATTTACCTTTTTCTACATAAATACCTGCAACTACCTCTACATGAATCATTATCATACAGCAATGGAGACCAATTAATGGAAGTTTATATATAACTCACCATACATAATACTAGATCTAGTTGCTAGGGTTATAGAGGCTCATAGGGAAGACTGGGCTTGCCTAACTATGTTGCCTCTTTAAATAAAGTCTTTATTATTATTATTATTACTTTCAACCATTCGTACAAGGCCATAATTATTACTTGTCAAATGACGTATACACTCATTACTGAGTTAAAGATGCAGGCAAAATCACTAAAAAAACAACACAAATAGATTATTGTACCTGTGTAAAATCTCCTTTCAATCCAATATAATACACCTTAGACGTCTCACCACCAAAATTAGAGGGGAAATGTAAAGATATACACTCACACTGGTTAAACCTGGCTGCTCTGAAATCACAAACGTATTACAAATGTAAATTAAACTATTCAATCAATGTTTCATAGTTGATTTTTTTTCAGGCAAATATAATTGCCAACAGTATTTCAGTCATAAACAAACAACTATCAAATACAAATCCATTATCTTGTTTTTAGCTTGACTATTCGCAGAATAATCAACTAATGCAGTCACCCATTTGTCAGCGTCGACGTTGGCGTCCCTGTGGTTAAGTTTTTGCATGTAAGCTGGTATCTCCATAACTACTGAAGGGAATGGATTGAAACTTCACACACTTGTTCTCTGTGATTATCTTAGATGATTGGCACAAGTCCCATAACTCTGATTTGCTTTTTTACATAATTATGCCCCTTTTTCGACTTAGAAATTCTTGGTTAAGTTTTTGCGTGTAAGCTGGTATCTCCATAACTACTGAAGGGAATGGATTGAAACTTCACACACTTGTTCTCTGTGATTATCTAAGATGATTGGCACAAGTCCCATAACTCTGATTTGCTTTTTTACATAATTATGCCCCTTTTTGACTTAGAAATTCTTGGTTAAGTTTTTGCGTGTAAGCTGGTATCTCCATAACTACTGAAGGGAATGGATTGAAACTTCACACACTTGTTCTCTGTGATTATCTAAGATGATTGGCACAAGTCCCATAACTCTGATTTGCTTTTTTACATAATTATGTCCCTTTTTCGACTTAGAAATTCTTGGTTAAGTTTTTGCGTGTAAGCTGGCATCTCCACAACTACTGTAGGGTTTGTACCTTTTCGGACAATTTTATGTATTCATATAGGTAAGCATTATTATACTCAATGAAACACCCTTGTGACAACTTTTCGAATAGTCGAGCGTTACTGTCCTCCGACAGTTCTTGTTATATATGTTATTTTTTTTATTTATAACTGTGTTCAAAATTGTTTCTGGTTTATTCTGGCTGGCTTTAAATTTAAATATGAAGGTCCACAAGACAATGCTGTATGGCAAAAATCTAAGATCTAGGCATTGTAGTTTTACTCAACATAACTTAAATGTGTTTTCCTACTTAAGTTTATGTAGTGACCCTTGGGGCAAAGCCAATTTTGACCCTAGGGACATGATTTATATGTCTTTTGTAGAGGACTACAAGCTAAATTACTAGGTTCTTTAAATTCAGTTTCTGAGGAGATAATTTTGAAGATTTCACTTGAAAAGTTTATTTTTAGTTCTTGTGACTTACTTACACAGTGCATCACACTGGATCCATTTACATATTTGTAGAGGGTATCCTTAGGATCATTCCTGTGAAGTCTGGTCAAAATCCACCAAGAGGTTTAAAAGGACATGTTGTTCAAAGAAACTGTGGACAAACGACAGACATATTGCCATCACAAAAGCTCACCTCTGAGCACTGCTCACTTGCAACCGGCAGTGCCAACTGATCTAATCAGTAAAGGTTTTCTCTTTAAGAATCTATATAGACTTACTTTGTAGTGTATTCTATTTCCCCATTGCGATCTATAGCCAGCTCAAATTCTTGTTCAGGTTTACTAGCTGCATCATCAAATGTCATATTTGGTCGATTCTTAAACCTGTAATAGTCAAATAAAAGTTTGAACACATCTGTGAATGTTTCCAAATTCATAGAGTACCGGTATATTGAATGAGTGTAGGTCCAATACTGTATCAAATTTATTGAATGTGTTGAATAAAATAATATTATGCGAGCCTCTGGCAAGCATCAAATTGTTTTATTCAACAAGTTCAATATATTCAGTAATAAACCTACACCAATAAAATATTCTCTTTATGGCATACCCAAAATGAAGACTGTATAATGTGAAAAAGAATCATTTTTCACTGACATGCCTATAGTGTAACATTAACATTTAGTGCATCTTTATACTATGTTTGTATAATGAAAATGACGTCATGTTAAAGAATATGCACGGCCTTGCAGTACCATTTTTATGTAGTTGCAAAAGTGGTAAGGGTATATGATAATTTTCCAATTTCACCATTTTCCTGTTTAATGTAAAATACTGCTTACATCTGTGCTAGACATGAATGGTATTTTGCACAAATACAGTCCATGAACACGCTCCATTTAACTGAGCCTGCAACATTTTGCAGTTTTGGAATCCCTTTTCTGTTTTACAACTCTTAAAATTGATAATAAACCATTTTATTTACAAAATACAAAATCATGCAAAGAAATACTGATGTGTTTTGTTTTTCACATCATGGATAGTGGTTGGCCTCTCAGAGAAGGGGAACTAATTGAAATTAATAGACACCAGGAAATTCATATATGTCAAATATGTAAGATTTTAATGACTCAATCCTAAAAGATACAATTGACAATTCCTATTAACAATTAGTGAAATGTTGTAGCAGATATTTTGTAGCATATAAATTACTTACACTCTCATTTTATTAGGATGTGTGTCTTCTTCACCACCGATGATTATTATTCCTTTTAACTTTACACTACCAGTAAATCTATTGATAATAAAGAAAATATTTTAATAAATAAACATTTTATACTTTTGTTTATAAAGATTTTATCAGTCAATTAACTTCAATTTTATCATTTTAATGACCTACATTTCTTATACAAAAGCTCAAAGGAGCTAAAGAGATAAATAAACAACACAGAATGATAATTATGGTAAGGTTTTTTTTTTTTTTTTTTTTTTTTTTTTTTACTTCTCAATGTCATTTAAAGGCTTATGTCACTTTTGGTTGACAAAACAATTTATATTTTTGGCATTTTGAAAATTTTGTTTTTACATTTTACTTCTCAATGTCATTTTAAGGCTTATGTCACTTTTGGTTGACAAATAACAATTTATTTTTTTGGCATTTTGAAAATTTTGTTTTGAAGGTCAATGTTATTTGTGAGCCTGTACATGCTGGCTCAATTGTAAAGCTGTTTTTATCGTAACTGTAAACAAAGAGACAGGCTGACAGAAAAAATATGTCTGATTATCAGTGAAGTCAGGGGCATAAACAGTGTATACAGTAATATACATAATAATCAGAAATAGTTATAACATTAAACTTACGGAATATTAAATAATAACTCTTCATCACAGTCACTCTCGACAAACTGAAAAAATTAACCCAATTTTCTTTATTAATCATAGTTGAAGCATACATTTTTCTCAAGGTTTATTTTTAAAGCAAACATGTGCATTTCAATTCAATAAAATAATGTATATAGTAATTGGTAACAAATGTACTTTAAAACACGTTTGCCATTTTTAAACCTTAAAACAGTATTTTGCAAACATTTAAAAATAGTTCTCATTTATAGTTTCATTTATTCTTTAGTGATTTACTGACAAATTGAAGCTCTTTTGTTATTCTTATAACAGTTACCTTTTCCTTGTCCATGCGTTGATCCCAAGCTTTGAAAACCAGTTTTCCAGACCCGTCATCAGCTTCATTCAGACATTGAACTTTCTCTGTATCTATTTTCAGATATAAACTGTAGGCTGCTGCTCTATCAGCATCAGTCACATGATCATGGTCATGATCATGACCTCCACAACCACCATGACTGTGACCATGACCAGACATGATGTACCTGGATTAAGTATAAATAAATATTTCATATTAAAGCAGTGTCAAAAAATTTATTTCAAAACTTTTAATTAAGGACAATTTATGCTGCAATTTACAATTAGTTAATATTGATGACAATGTCAGTGTAATGGATAGTGCATGACCATAATAATATATGAGGATTGATTTCTTGGATAGATGGCCCTATTTTGTATCAAATATCTGACCAAGGCAATGTGTGGTTCACTTGTTCTAATTTTTACTTAGTAATTAATTGGACAGAAGAGAATAAGCACCAATTTTCAATAGTAAATGAAATGACAGGTGTTTAAACTCACTAAGATCCAGTATGATGAGAAGCTGTTTACTATATAATAATCTACAGAGCAACAGATAAGCTTTAAAAGTGAATTGGGTATTACTGAATACTCCATCATTTCCTTTGGAATTGGGTATTGGCTCCATTTAATTGGGTATTCCAAAACTCGATACCCTATGATTTCAAGATCAATTGGGTACTAGTATTCAATTATGAAGATATGAATTTTATGGTTTATAAAGAAAATAGAATAGAACAATTTACTAGAACTTTTCACAATTGTTTTATTTTTTTATATAAAATGCTCATGTTATATTTCATAATATTTTTAACATGTTCGTTTTCTGACTGATTTTTGGTTATTTATGACTGTTTTGTTTCAAATCATTTTCCCTTTTGTACGACGCCATATTGCCCTCAAAGCGTCTATTGATACAGCTGGGACCTACTTAATGACGGTCTCCGCAAAATCAACGGTCTCTGCCGGTTTGTTAAGACCGTCGACCTGAGTAGACAAATTGACGGTCTTAGCTTAATTGATATGGCTTACGGTCTTTGGATACCGGGACCGTCGAAGACCGGAGACCGTTGATTAGTTAGCATTGATTCGGAAATATTCGGATAGCATGCATATCGATATAATTTGTCCAAAACTACGAGCGAACGACAGATTAATTTTGCGGTGGTGAAAATGACAATACGCACGGGTTTTTAAGACAATTGCGTATTTTATTTTTTTCAATGGGTTTTGATACGCATTCTTAAAAAATCAATTGCGTATTTTATAAAATTAATTGCGTAAATACGCAAATACGCACCTTATCTGTTGCTCTGATCTAAACAAGGGATATAACTTGAAGAGCCTTCCGATTAGCTCAACAATTAGAGCGTTGGACTGTGAATTGATGACCAAGGTTCAATTCCGGGTAGTGCAGGTCACTTTCGTTGTGATTGATTTGCACTGAACCTTTGCTCTGGCATGAACAGAACTTATCAGTTCCTTGCAAAAATGAAGGCAACTAGTACTGGTTAACTGCTTGACAGCATGCCAAAGAAGGATGAGGTGGCTATAAACTGTGCTGTGGTAAATTCAATGTGGTTTATCCGCAATTACATTTCTGCTTAAGCAACTTTTTAACTTCATACCCTTTCATTTTCATAATATATAAGTACAAACGTAGCAAAATGGATATATATTTCATTCATGGGAAATTCATTATTTTGAGTTACATGCCTTATATATACTACATAAGAATAATGGGTGTTTGATAGTAAATTTGTTCAAAGGAGATAAATTACATTTATGATAAATGACTGTTCAACAAAAAATAACCATAAGTGGTAAGACAAATGAGCCCAATGCCTGTGTTGAAACTTAGACAATTTACAATATTTGAAAATGAATGAAACATAAATTTGGTGATTTTAATAAACGATTTACAGACAATCCGAATAATTTGTATCCGAAATTTTCAATCTTATTACTATGCTTGATACACTAAATTAATAAGATGACAGTGTTCAAAAAACAATCATGTCAGAAGGAAATAATTGTCTTTATCTTAAATTATATGTTCTATAGACCTACAGTAAGTAAATTTCGGAAAAGATCCTTTTTCTTAAATTCAATTCTCTACAAGAAAATTTCGGTGCGTCGTGATAATAACTTTCTGTAAGAATGAAAATTTTCATGATTGAACGAATTAAAAGGATTCTGTTAACTCTTTTTCATTTCTAAACATTACAAATTGTATTACTTTAAGGTTTACTTTCCTGGCCTACAAAATCGCGTCGTATTAATTTCATAGTAGATCTACGTGACTTAATTATTTTGAGAAGACCCCTTTGATTGCAGGTGCGCGTCTCGAATACAGTATCATTTCCGGTGATGCGAATGTTGACATCTTCTACTAGGAATGAAATAGTATAATCGAAATTTTAGATAACTATTGATTTTGTGGACTTATGTTGTGATTGTTTTATTTTCATATTGATAAGGTAAAAATTATACAATATTAATTAATACATGACACATTAAATCATCTACCATGGTTGTAAATAACTACCAATAAACATGTGTTGCTAACCACGCTCTAAGGTTTAAAAAGTGGGCGGGGAATTATTATACGTTATATGTATAACAACAGATACAATGTAATAAGGATATAAATTAATTAATTAATTTGACCATATCATCTTGTTATCAAGATTATAAGTGAACAGAAGGCAATAGATTCACAACAGTAAGTAATGACATTTATGTTCATTGTTGGATGCACTTTGATGTATAAAAAAGCCCATAGGGCCTACAGTATGTTTTTACATAAACAGAAATTATGTTGACTCTAGGATAGTTGGACTGAAGAATGAATTTGGGAAAAGAGCATTATTTCAGTCTTCGAGATAAGCACTGGTTCGCGGCCCAATGCCGCTGAAACTTAAACACAGTTTTGGTGATTATTGCAAGGTTGATGGTCTGATGGATTTCGAGACGTTTCGGCCCCAAGACGTATCGGCCCCAAACTACCCAAGACGTTTCGGCCCCGGACGTTTCGGCCCTTTACCAAATCGGCCCCAGAATAAGTACTGTATTTTAAACCGATATATTAATAGCATTTCAATAAATAAATGAATCAATTAATATATATATTTAATCATTTTGTATAAAAACTAGATTATAATAGTAGTAGGGTTCCAAAAGTAATCAATACAAACAGAACAGAACATTAACTTTATTTGAAAAAATATAATACACAAACAAACAATTATTTACAACATATATAGATGATATTTAATTTGAAAGATTAAGAAGCAAGACACAAAACAATACACGAGACAGACATTAAATTATCATCAACAACTATTTAACAGTGACGAGTTTGATGAAACGAAAACAATAACAAATGAACTATCGGTGCAATATATAAATTTTTGGGAAATCCTTTCTAAATCAATATATTCAAAACTGACCTACCTGTATCGCATACCTATATCGGACATTTCATAATATTTACACTTAAAATCCGATTGTAAGTATTAAATCACAGTTAATATCCAGCAAATAATTTCTCTAATTTAATTTTATATATAATGCAATTATTCCAACAATTATACGCACAAACACTTTATTTTCGAAAGTTATAACTTATCTATAGCAGGTACATAGCATGTTAATATAATTTGGTTTCAATTTTTCAATCAGTTTTATATTACATCTAGCATCTATCATTATCTAAAAAACAATAATAATTAAAAATATTATCATGAGATGATTGCAAACCGTTTTTCTTAACATATCAAGCAATATACTAAAGTGGGGCCGAAACGTCTCGCGGAAAAGGGCCGAAACGTCCAGGGGCCGATTTTTCGACAGGGGCCGATTTGGTTTGGGGCCGAAACGTCCTGTTTGCGTCTGATGGGCCATATTATATTTTTTGGCCATAAAATATATTAAGAAACAAATAATAAAAATAATAAGCCAAGGTTTATTAAACAATCTTTTTTTTTCTGTCATTTTTTTTTAAATGCAACCCATCAATTTCAGTCCCAAATGACCAAAAACAGTTCGAGAGATGGCCATACAGTTTGTGTTGAGTAGAAGCAGTTATAATTTTCATACTGTATGTGCCCTGTAATGTTAAAGATTTCTTACTGTATGTTATTGTTCTAAACCTTGTTATATCTACATGTTTTTGATAGAGAAAAAAGTATTTGGACTATTTAAATTGAACTAATTTAATCATTTATATGTGGTGGTGATTTTTCGTAAAGGCACTTAAAGAGTTCTTTGGCTATAGTTTTCATTCTTGATAAATGTACTGTAGAGAAGACATATTTACATGTACTTTTTTTAATAGTGTGTTATATTTAGAGTTAAAATCATTGAAAACTGTTCTTAGATAGATACATTTATGCTGAAGTTTTTCAAACTTTTCTGCGTTTTGACAGTTATGTATAATTCAGCTTAAATGTATAACTATATTCTATCATGACTTCATCCATCCATTTATCAAACAATAGATTCATTTGGTAACAATAGATAAATGGTCATTGCCCTTTAGTCACTATAATAAGTGATTAGATTTTTAAAATAAAATTATTTGTATTTCTTTGGAAATCATGTAATATTGCTGTTTAGAAATTTGAATTTTCAAATCTCGTAACATTTTAATGACTATCATTCTGAATAGTTTATAGTGAATGGCTATATAAACATTCTTATTAGGTACATGTGTTTCCTATCTTTGTTGAACTATAGTTCAACTGACAATGCCTCAAATATCACAATGTTGTCAATTTTTGATTGCATTACATACATTAACACTCAAGTTTCAAGTTCAATGTAAATAGTGACAGGAAAACTGGCAGCTCATTTAGGATCTTCAATATCATCTCTAGTCTAATGACAGTACATGGCAAAATTTGATGTCTACTTGTAATGTTTGTATTTTTAAGTGGCTCTCATAAAAGTATATTATTTTTTAAGACTTTTAAGAAAAGGGCACTTGATTATTAATGATATTTATAAGATTTCAGGTTTTTGAATAATCCTGCAATACATGACAAATTTGAACATTGTTAAAGTAGTTCAGTTGAATGGAATGTTTATTTAAGAGTTGTTTGTTATTTGAATAAGTAAATGTAATCTTCCTAAACAATATAGTTACATTGAATTAATGCATAAGATTGAGTCTATTTTTTCATGGATTCTAATTGACAAATTTTGTATTTTAATTGAAGGTGGACATTTGTTTTTTCTTTTGTAAAAAGTTTTTTTTCCCCGGCATTAAGTAAATTTTTTCCTCTGTCCAAACCCCTGCCAAATTTTTCCTTTAAAAAAGCAAAATTTTGGGTGTTTTTTTATTCCTGTATTTTCCCATTTTAAAAGGGTTTTTTTAAAAAAAGACCCCCTTTTTTGGTTATTTTAAAAATATTGGCCAGGGTTTAATTTTAAAACCCGAGTTTTTCCCTACCAATTGGGGTTTTTCAATTAAAAACACAAATTACAATACAAAATACATGATTTAGTGAGTTACAAAGTTTTTTGGCCAAATTTTTTTTCCCCCTTTTTTTTCCTTTTGTATCCCCTTTGAAAAAAAGGAAACCCAGCATGGGTTTTAAACCTTTCAAAAATTTTAAAATCTTTTTTTTAAGTTTCTCCCGGGAACTTTAATTTTTTTCAGGGAATATCTTTTATTTTTAACCCGTAGATACTTTCAAAAGTCCCCCTTTAAAATTTCCCAAAGGGGTGATCATTTTGGGGACCAAAACTAAAAAAATTTTTATTTCTTTTCCCCATACAGCCTTTTGTTGTAGAAAAACGGGGGTAATCTCTTTTCGATGATTTTTGGGGTCACTGGATTCAAGGTCATAAAGTCATGAGTGCTAAAATAAATGTTTATACTTTTGCTTTTATCGCCCAATGTCTTCCATATTTTTTATGAATTCACCTTTGGCAGTCCCCTAATTAGGGTGGTCTTAGGGATTACTGGGGTCGACTCAAGGTCACTGTTGATAAATTTAGGTTTTTACCATTTTGCTCATGTAGCCTTTTTAGCTCACCTGTCACAAAGTGACAGGGTGAGCTTTTGTGATTGCTTTTCGTCCGTCGTCTGTCCGTCCTTTGTCCGTAAACTTTTACTTTAAATGACATCTCCTCATAAACCACTAAGCCAATTTCATCCAAACTTCACAGGAATGTTTTCCTTTGGTGGTCAACCTTTAAAAAATTGTTCAAAGAATTTAATTCCATGCAGACTCTGGTTGCCATGGCAACCAAAAGAAAAAAACTTTAAATATCTTCTTTTAAAAACCCAAAGAGCTAGAGCTTAGATATTTGGCATAAAACATCTTCTTAGTGAGTGTCTACCAAGTTTGTTCAAATAAAAAAGCCCTGGGTCAAAATTGGCCCCGCCCCAGGGGGTCATTGATTTTCCCCTATATGCATATAGTAAAAACTTAAAAATCTTCTTTGTAAAGAACCCATAGAGCTAGAGCTAAGATATTTAGCATGAAACATGTTCTAATGGGTGTCTACCAAGTTTGTTCAAATAAAAGCCCTGGGGTCAAAATTGGCCCCGCCCCAGGGGGTCCATTGATTTGTCCGTATATGCATATAGTAAAAACTTAAAAAATCTTCCTTTAAAGAACCCAAAGAGCTAGAGCTAAGATATTTAGCATGAAACATGTTCTAATGGGTGTCTACAAAGTTTGTTCAAATAAAAGCCCGGGGGTCAAAAATTGGCCCCGCCCGGGGGTCATTGATTTTCCTTATATGTGTATAGCAAAAACTTAAAAACTTCTTTTGAAAAACCATATAGCTAGAGTTTAGATATTAAGCATGAAACATCTTCTAGCTGAGTGTCTACAAGTTTGTTCAAATAAAAGCCCGGGGTCAAAATTGGCCCCGCCCCAGGGGGGCTATGATTTTCCCTATATGCATATAGTAAAAACTTAAAAAATCTTCTTTTAAAGAACACAAAGAGCTAGAGCTAAGATATTTAGCATGAAACATGTTCTAATGGTTGTCTACAAAGTTTGTTTCAAATAAAGCTCTGGGGTCAAAATTGGCCCCGCCCCAGGGGGGCTATGATTTTCCCTATATGCATATAGTAAAAACTTAAAAAATCTTCTTTTAAAGAACACAAAGAGCTAGAGCTAAGATATTTAGCATGAAACATGTTCTAATGGTTGTCTACAAAGTTTGTTCAAATAAAAGCTCTGGGGTCAAAATTGGCCCCGCCCCGGGGGTCATTGATTTTCCTTATATGTGTATAGCAAAAACTTAAAAATCTTCTTTAAAAAAACCCCAAATAGCTAGAGTTTAGATATTAAGCATGAAACATCTTCTAGTGAGTGTCTACCAAGTTTGTTCAAATAAAAGCCCTGGGGTTAAAACTGGCCCCGCCCCAGAGGTGTCATTGTTTTTAACTATATGTGTATAGTAAAAACTTAAAAAATTTTCTTTTAAAAAATCCAATGAGCTAGAGGTTAGATTTTAAGCAGGAAACATCTTTTTGTTGGTGTCTACCAAGTTTGTCCAAATAAAAGCCCTTGAGTTTAAATTGGCCCTGCCAAAGAGGGGGGGGGGGGGGCAGGTCATTGTTTTTCATTATATGCGTGTAGTAAAAACTTAACATCATGAAACATCTTCTAATGGGTGTCTTCCAAGTTTGCTCAAATAAAAGCCCTGGGGTTTAAACTCAGGGCCCGCTCCAGGGGCCTATATACAGGTGAGCGACCTCAGGGCCATCATGGCCCTCTTGTTTATTGACCAATCTTTCATATTTGGTAAGAAAATAGATTGAATGGTCCTCTACCTTAAGATTGACTTAAGGATCAGTTTGTCAATGTCACTGTGGTCACTCATATAAAAAATATAGTTTTACATATTTTTTGATACAGCCTTTAGTTATTTACTCATGTCTTTTATATTTAGTAGGTACGCACCTTAAGTAAACTTCACTACTTTAAGTTAAAGTTGGGTCACTGGGTAAAAGGGTGTTAAAACTAGAATTTTACACTTTCGCCTTTACAGCCTTTATTCATTGACCAATGCCTTTCATATTTGGCAGGAACATACCTGGGCTGGTCCTGTAACTTTAAATTGAGTTTGAATAAGGTCAAGGTTGTCCTTGCTTAAATAATTTTCATGCTTTTCTTCGTACAGCCAATACTAATTTACCTATATAGATGTCTTTAATATTTCGTAGTTAGATACCTTGGACTTTTCTCTTAATTTGGGTGTAGTTTAGGGTCACTGGGTTCAAGGTCAAGTATTTTTTATGCCCCCCTTCGAAGAAGAAGGGGTATATTGTTTTGCTAATGTCGGTCTATCGTCTGTCTGTCGGTCTGTCCATCGGTAGACCACATGGTTTCTGCTGATTACCTTAAAAACTATTTATCACAAAGTCTTCATAATTCACATAGTGATTGGTCATAACTAGTAGATGGCCCCTTTTGATTTTGGGTTCACAATGTCAAAGGTCATGGTCACAGGGGTCTTTAATGTCAGAATGGTTTCCGCTTATTATCTTGAAAACTATGCATCAATAAGTCTTTATATTTCACATAATGATTGGTCATAACTAGTAGATGACCCCTATTGATTTTGGGGTCAAAGGTCAAGGTCATAGAGACCTTATATGTCAGAATGGTTTTCGCTGATTATCTTGAAAAGTATTTATCACAAAGTTTTCATATTTCACATAGTGATTAGTCATAACTTGTAGATGACCCCTATTGGTTTTGGGGTCACTAGGCAAAGGTCAAGGTCACAGGTGCCTTAAATGTTAGAATGGTAGTATGTTTTTAACTTATTATCTTGGTTACTATGCATCACTAAGTCTTCATATTTCACATACTGATTGGTCATAACTAGTAAGTGACCCCATTTGATTTTGGGGTCAAAGTCACAGGGTCCTTGAATGTTAGTATGGTTTCCACTCATTATCTTGAAAGCTATTTATCACAAAGTCTTCATATTTTTCTTTTTTCCATAACTGAACACTTCCATGTACCCGTTTATGGCAAGTTTCTATAACAAAATAACCAATAATGTGAGTCAAGGGCTAGAAAGGGGGGCATATGTGTCGTTGGACATTTCTTGTTTATGTATACTTGATTAACCTTTATTTGCATGTAAAATATTTTTCAAGTTTATTAAATATTACAATGACATGCCAATATTCATCCAAAGGTCATGACTCTGTCAAGTTGATACTTAAACTGTTAACAATTTTTCATGAGCAATCTCCTCTTTCATAATAGAGTTTGGTTAATACCTTTTCTGACAAGTATCTTGATCTGCCTGCTTACCAAACACACATTTTTTGCTGTTTATGTTTTAGGTTTATATCATTCCTTTCTTTATGTGTATTTACAAATATTTAATTTTATGATTTCTTTTTATTTAATGGAAATAGAGAGTGGTAAACTTGGTACAACCCATAAAATTTAAATTTCAAATTTCTGTTTAAGTAGGGACATGTAAATATCTATATAGTTCTTTAAGTTAGGCACTGTATGTTAGAGGAGGTGAAAGGGTTTACTGTAAAGATTAGGAGTAGATTTAACAACTGAGATCACAAGTACAAGGGTAAACAGTGGAAGATCCATGCAGGATTTACCTATCATTGACTTTAGACATCAAAGACTCATCTAGGATTTGTTGCCATGACAATGTCTTTTAAATCTAATGTAAATAAACATGTAAACTCTTGACAAATTCAAGTTAATTGACTTGTGCTAGAGTTAATTTTATTGGCTATATACTGGTATATTAAACTTAGTGATTACTATTATCTATAAGGTATGATATTTATAAATAATTTCATTTTATAACTGAAAATGCTGTTTCTTTAACTTAAATTAAGTATCATTGAAATCGATTCAAATAACGTTTCAATTATTTTAATATGAAATTCATTAATTTTGTCATATTATGTTTTGTCGTATTAACTTTATGTGTCAGTGACATAGATTGTGAACATTTATACATTCCTTATAACATATTTTAAGTTTGGTTTGAATTTTTGAAAATATATTTACTTATCTGGAGGCAGTCTGATTTAATATTATGGCTTTAGACGACGTAAGAATAAACCAGTAACATCACATTTTGCACTCTTAACTTTAAGTTATGAATTTTATTCTTTCATTATTCAAAGATTTTAATATGGATATTTCTGTCATGAATCTAAGAAAAAAATCTTAGAATATGGACATTATATAGTAAATGCTTGATTATTGGCTGTATTAATTGCTTTATCATGTTTGTACCCTCATAAATTCAAGTCATGACTTCTTGTGAAACTTGATCTCTTTAGTTAACACAAATTTATAGTATATAATGTAAAAACAATACAGCTGGAAAAATAAACAATAACTTTGATGAACTGATAGTAACTATCTTGTGTTTGATCAAAGATTCCTTTTTTACATAGTAATTATTAGGATAAAGGTTAACTTATTTTATTGTTTATTTTTACTTCTGCACATATAAATAACCAATGCCAAATTTAGTTCTTTTAATAGGCAACATGGGATAAATTTGTAATGTTGACTTAATAAACCATTTTTTTAATGATTTATATACACCTTTTTGAAGTGCCTGAAATAGTTGTGTGTTTTTTTTTTCAGTAGGTGAGAATATGTTTTCAGAGTGTGTAAACCCTTTCATACAGCTTATAATTTTTTTTTTTAAATTTATGTGGATATACATCAATTTTGTATTGACAAGAAAGACTGGAATTATTTATGATATTCAACATTTTTGAATAGATGAGATACATGTTTAATTGGATACAAGATTTTATACTCCAATATTTACTGCATTGCTTGTGAGATTTGTTTTCCTATTCCTTTAAAATGGATGAAAAAGATAATTAAATGGTTATTTCAATTACAAATTATGATACACATCAATATACAAGTGGATATTTGATCTGTACTGAAATATTAATCAATTGATCTGAGTCAAAATCATAGACGTTAAAGTACTGTTTATCAATTTCCAATTGAATCAGTGGTGGTATTTATTTACTCCTAATTGTTAAATAATGAATTGATTTTATATTTAGATGATATTAAAATATTTGATTTGCTGCCAATAAGGTTAAGCCAGTTGTAGGCAGTTATAATACTCTCAAAACATTGCAGTATATTGTAAACACTTAAAGCTCTTGTATAGCATAATAATATACTGGTAGCTGAGGAAATATTAATACTGTATTTAATTTCAATGTCTTACCATTTGTTTGCACTGAAAAAATAGTTTAAGTAATCTGGACCAATCACCAAAGAAATTCTTACCAAAAGCTGGAAGTTTTTAAAATCAAATATTTCAAGCTCTTGTTCATAAATAATATAATAGTTGTACAATTTATGAAACAGCTTTGGTGGCGAAAAGGGTTGTTAACTCCTAGTTCTGTTTATCTAGCATATGAATTTTTAAAACAATTCCCTTTACCCAATAGCTTTCTTTTGTTGGTGCCTGTTAACACAATCTTGTTTGCTTTCTGTATATAAATAATATTCCTGTGTAAATCATTGCTGGTTTTCTGTTGTTGTATTTTTTTTCCAAAAAGACGAAATTTTAATGTTATAATACAGTGGTAATACAGTCAAAAGACAGACGGCTACTGATGTGTTCAGTCTGTGTCAAAGAGATGGAGACATTTAGTTTATATTGTGTGATGTTTAAGCTCTTGTTTACAAAATTTAGTGAAAAACGTGCTGATGACTTACAACTTGCAAGACACAAGGCCTGGACTGTGCCTCTTTGTAGAATTTCACAGATTTTATACTCCAACATTGACTGCATTGCTTTCCTGTTCCTTTAAAACTATGGATGAAAAAGATTATCAAATGGTTATTTCAGTTACGAACTAATTGATACACATCAATATATAAGTGGATATTTGATCTGTACTGAAATAGAAGGTTATACCAGTCCAGGGTAAACATGTTGAGTTGGTTAAGTTCCTTTGAAAATAGTATGGGGCAAACATCTGGGCGTTGACTCTGCCTGGGTGAAAAGAAGCAAAACACGGCAGGACTGATGGATAACACAAACTCTCTGAGGAAATATATCAAATTAATCAAATTTTCTTTGTTAATTTTTTATGGTCAGTTTTTGTGATAAAACACTACAAACAGTGTTTTAGCAAAAAAGTACTTCACATATGCAGGACTTAATGACTTAGTATGTAATGTCATTTGTATTTCAGGTGAAAGATGGCAATGACGTTAGCAATGGACCGGGAACCAGAAGTTGCCCGATTTATAGATACATACAAGTTTGACCAGGACATGGCCACTAAACGTGACAGATTTGGAGGTGGAACTGTAAGAATGATATGCAATATTTGTACATGTATTAACTAATATATCATATATATGATCTTTCATTTCTTTTATCATTATAATAAGTGCTGGTGTTGACAGGTAAGATGTAATAACAGACTTTACAATCAACCTTTAATAAAAAAGACAAACAATACAAAAAATCTGAGCAAAGTGTTAGTTTATCATCACTACACTTTGTTTTTATATTAATATCGCACCTGGCTTTTTTATGTCAGGAAAATATAAAAGTAAAAATACTGTAGTCAATTGAACATCATTTTTTTTGTTAATTTTGAAATCCCAGTATTGCTTTAATGCTCTATGAAATGTCACAGATTTAGAAAGAATTGGCAATTGAGAATATGAAGCTCAATTGTTTAGATCTTTGCCAGCACAATTAAAGATAAAAGTACATTGTTTAGGTACAAATTGCAATCTAGGGACATCATTGTTATCTAGAATAGAAATTTCATTTATTAAAGTGTCATAGTTTTGAAGAATAACAAAGGAAAACAACATAACAAATGATTTCTTTTTACATGTATTTAACTTTGTTTTTATATTAATATCACACTTGGCTTTTTTATGTCAGGAAAATTAGCTGTGAGGTAATTGTCTTACTTTAAATGTTGTACGATTTTAACTACTTTTGTAAAACAATTTCATATTTTTTTTTATAAAATCACATTTGAAACACAAGCCAATTGAATGTTGTTCTTTTCTGCATGTTTTTTATTTAATATGACACATATCTTGCAAGAGTCACAACTTTTTTTGCCATAATTCCAGGAATGTTAATTAATACCTTTAAATACAACCTGTCTGTGATAAAGCACCTTAATTTCTTCTTTTGCATTGTGCTTAATTACCAAAAATTGATTTACTACACTACTTTATAATATATTATCATGATAAGCATGTAGATATTTTGATTATTAAGCATTTTTAATTCTTGTCTGCAAAAAGTTAATATTCAACGTAGTTGTTAAATAGTGACAGTGCTTGTGGTTTAAAAACATAAGTCAAATTAATACTTATTTTCAGGTAAAATTATAACAAGTCCTGTTAACATAAGCTATGTACATGTTTATGTTTAACTTATATTTTGCTTAGTTTTAGTCTTCATTCGATCAACACATCAATTTGAGGCTTATAAATGTTTAGTCATTTATACATTCAAGAAATCAATTTACTATAATAATTCTAATTGTTTAATTATTACAATTTGTTACTTACTGTATGATATTTTACCGAGAATTTCACCTTGTTACATTATGAGTATTTTTCTCAGACTTTGTAAATTACATGGTATTTTTACAGTGTATGATACCTTATATTATTTCATTGCAGAGTTTACCTTTAAATAGTGATGGTTACGAGGATAAACAAAGAGCTCTGCGTGATGAACGCCACAAAGATTGGCTTGTCCAACAAGACAAGGTACGCTTATATTTTTTCTTCTATTTGATTATTCTCACAAAGTTCTTTTTCCTTATATACAGTCCAAGTATTTTTATTTATAACTTAAGAATGTTTTATTCAGCATCAGTATACCTTTAACCATAATTGTTGTCAAATATTGAAATAGAAATAAGATCATCAATTAAGTTTGAATTAAAGGAAAGTCACCTTGATAATGTTGGTATGGCATAACCACTACCAAAAATAAGAAATCTATGACTCTTTTTTATTTTCAATAAAGTTTCTCACAGACTGATGCATATTATTCTATTACTTTTAAGGTGACAAAGGTCTGTATTTTCGAATAAAGAATAGACATTTATATTTAAAAAAAATCATAATGTAGCTTTGAAAAACATGGAATGCTTTTGCCATTTTTGCAAGTTTTGACATGTTTTTCTTAAACACAACTGTAAATGATTAAAACTTGTAGGGTGTGGACCGCCCATATACTATAGCAAAGCATATAGTCCCGCCCCCTTATGGTCCTCAAAGAGGGGCTGATTACGAGGAGGAGATTCAGAAAATGACTGATAGATATCATAGTCAATATAATGAGGTGATATTTAATGCACATAAAGAGGTGATCTTAAAATAGATTTAGATAAAAGGTGCACATTTCAGTTCTCAAGGTTACTGTTAATTTGAAGTGCACATTTATTGGTTTGGTAGTTGATGCACAAAGAATTTTGGTGAAGTTTTGTTTCCTAGAATGTTTTCTGGTATTGTTAAATGGGAGCTTATATCATTTGGTTTCAGCAACAGAATTTAGAATATCTTAACTAAGATGGCCTTAATCCTTACCATGCTAAATATCTGGACTTGCCCATTTTTCAATCTGGACAAAATCATTTATCATTTTTAGGGGAAAATTCTAAAATAAGTACTGACTAAATAGCCAACAGTGCAGACCATGAGTAGATACACATCTAGGGATGTGCCGCTGATCTTGGTCTGCACTGATTGCATGGATTATATTAGTTGCTGCCTACAGGCTAAAGATTATACATGACTTTATTTATCATTTGATGATATTTGAAGTGTTCATTTCTATATCTTTTATAAACTTTGAAACTATTATATAAATTAAGCTATATTTCTTTAAATCAGCCTAGAATCCTGAGAAATGCTCTCTATGAGGAGGTATAGTTTGAGCTGTTTAATTATAACTGACTGTGTAATTGATATGCTGCATGAAATAATATATATAATTTCAAATCTAACATATTTGGGGAATTCATTAAAAAAGAAATGAAAAATAACTGTTATATCATTTCAAGCAATTGAAGAATAATTTATTTAAATGCATCTGGAATAATTTGATTCTCTTTGTTTTGTCAAAAAATCTTTTCTCTTGGAAAAAACCATAGTTACATATATTTCCTTTATTTCCCCTATAAAACTCACATGTATTTTGCATGACTGAACTAAACAGGTAATATTGTGCATGTATTGTAGATGTTTACACTGTTTTTTTGTGCATGATAAAATAGATAACCTGGAAAGTTTGGCTTTATAAAATAACCAGTTCCTAGGATATTGTAAGATAGAGTAGATATCATGTAAATACATTGGTGTATTATTGGTAGGTAATGTAATTTGATGTCATATATCATTCATAACTTTCTTACACTATTTTCCTCTCTGTAATATCAGTATGGTAGATATCATTGTGTTAGTGAAATATCCTAAATTTAATTTTAGTGTCCAAGATTGTGTTAATGAAATATCCAAAATATAATCTTAGTGTACAATATTGTGTTAGTGAAATATCCAAAATATATTCTTAGTGTCCAAGAATGTGTTAGTAAAAAATTTAAAATGTCCCAGTCTGTGTAACTAAAATATCCAAAATAAAATCTTAGTGTCTAGGATTGTGATAGAGAACTTTCCAAAATCCGAGATTGTGATATTGAAATATCAATAATAGAATCTTACTGTCCAAGTTTGTGTAAATATCCAAACTATAATCTTAGGGTCTAAGATTGTGTTAGTGAAATATCCAAACTATAATCTTAGTATCTAAGATTGTGTTAGTGAAATATCCAAACTATAATCTTAGTATCTAAGATTGTGTTAGCAAAATATCAAAACTATAATCTTAGTATCTAAGATTGTGTTAGTGAAATATCCAAACTATAATCTTAGTATCTAAGATTGTGTTGGGGGCGTCTGTGGCCCGAGTGAAGGTCGTTGAATATCAAAACTATGTGGGTTTAAATCTTAGTATCTAAGATTGTGTTAGTCGAGGGATCTACTCAGGTTCGTGCCTGAAATATAGCCAGAAGGGCACCTGAGTCTTCTCACAGAAGCTTGTAGAACGTCGCCATAGGATATACTGTGTCGGTGTGACATAAAACCCAATCAAAGAAAGAAACAAACAAATAAGATTGTGTTAGTGAAATATCCAAACTATAATCTTAGTATCTAAGATTGTGTTAGTGAAATATTCAAACTATAATCTTGTAAGTGTCTTCATTCCCAAAAGGTCTTTTCAGAGGAAATTTAACATACTGATTTCCACGTCTCAATTTTAAGTTCACTGATTGAACTTTCAATCTCTGTTTTAATCAGAGACTATTGAATCAGATATAAGATATCAAAACTTTAATGGGCTTGAAAAGGACAGTGTCATAAGATTTCTATCATTGCATTTACAGCATTCTTTAGATTCTTAGCATGACCTTCATATCAATCATTAACTACCATAATGAAATTCAGAAAACATTTAATTTTTAGCCCTCCCTCTTTGATATCTTTAAAGTACTGTGTTTGTCTATTTAAGACTGAAACATATTGTCATTTTGATTACTAGTATGTAGAATATAATCATTTAATTTAATTATCATATGTTTTATTATACCATCATAGTTGTTATTAGAATTCTGTAACCATATACATGTACAACTTCAATCATTTGGTGTTTAGGTATTATTGTATTTAGTTGAGTATTACAATATTAGTGTTATATTGACATGTATTTTTGTCCCCAGCCTAAGGAGCCTGTATATTATAGAGTTGGGACACCCGAACAGGGCTTCCCAGGTTTAGGAGAGTATGAGAGACAACGGCAAGACAAAAATATTGCCAGACAAAAAGAGTATAATGAAATGCTTAAAAAGGTATAGATTGTAGATTTTCCCTTCTATTCTACCTTGCTTAGATACTAGAATATGTAATACAAGATTTGTTGTAATAATTTACTTGTTTGATACCTCTATTGTATTCCCATGATTAATTTATACATAAATTGACTTTATGTTGATAGATTTGAATCATGATAAAAGAAGAATTAGGAATGTAAAGGACCAGATATTTACTTACTGGGATTTATTAAAATCAATTTTTTGGGAAAAATAGACAAAATGTTTGCTTATTATTACAATTATTCTTGCATAAAAACTGTGCATGCAGGTATATATTAACGAAGAAGAAAGCATAATTATGTTATCAGATAAAATCATGCAAGAACAGTTTATTGAATGTTTTTTGATATGCATGACTTTGGGTGCCATGTAATAAAGATAGGGATAATTTACACTTGCTAAATTCCCTGCTGTATTATAACTGATAGAGGAATCAAACAAAAAATTACAAAAACATGGGGAGTTATTAGTCTTGCTTTTATAAACACTGGCACAATCTATAGCAAAATACATGGTTCAGAATACTATATTCACTGTTTAGGCAATAACTGTATAATATGTTTAGTGTTTTTCTACCAGATGAAATGAATGAGCATTAATATCAATCTTCCATTTTAACATTATAAAATTCTTGTATATTGTTGAGAAGTAGACATAACACCTTGACTGTGTCTATGTGACTTAAAACCTAACCAAAGTTAATTGCTGAAGGTTTTGTCAGTGTTATGTCAGTGTTATGTCAGTATGATATGTCTAATATGTCAGGTAAAGTCATTAGAATTTATTGGGTAATTCAGACTGACTTTACCAATCACTAACAGATAATCAGTTTGGTTTGCTGTGTATATTTATTATATTAATTTATTTACATGAGTGGTTATTTATTTTTGCTTGTGCTGTATTAATAACTTGTGTGAAAAATGTATTGCTGCTTGAACTAATGTTTACAAATGTGAAAGTATGGTAAAAATTTATCCCTTGAATTTCAAAAGTATGTTAAACACAATTTGGAGTTATATTATGTACAATTTTCTTTGGGTTGGGGATGGGAGTGGTATTCTGCCAGAATCAGTTATAAATAAATTTGTTACAGTTTGTGATTATTTGATGTAATTTTTACCTACTAGTTACACATATTTCACTGTCGAATGTGTTGAGCTTTCAATATATATTATAGTTATGTCTGTATGTTACTTTTGCAAATTTTAAATTAATGATATTATATACATGTATTTGACATTTATGTGACATTCATCAAGATAGTTATGTTGGATTTAAGAAGCTTTGAGCTCTCACAGTTTATTTTTTAGCTTGTTTTATAGAAACATATGGCTCAGTGGTTAAGGTCTTTGTCGTCTTCAAACCACTTGTGTCTAATCGCTGTTGGTTCTTTCATGTGATGGCCTTACAACCTTCACTGTTTTAGTGTGACATAAAAACCCAACCAAAAAAAGAAGAAAACATTTTTTTTTAGAAACTCATTCTCATTTGTGTTAAGTATTTTAGTCTTGTCATTAATTAGAGATGTAATAAGACAAGCCAATCAATTGTATGCATTATGCTACAGTAGATGATGTATTTTATTTTGTAAATAATAACACCTGTATACCAAAGTTAATATCATTAGAGAATTGAATAACTAAGAGGAGGCAGCAAGACCAAAAGCCATAGTTTAAACACCATTCTTCTGTGTCTTTATTTCACTAGAGAAAAAATCAATTGAATCAAGAAAGTTTGAGTTTAAGTCAAAGCAGGACTGTATAATTCTACTGTGCATCATTGAGCAACTCAAACCCTTAACCTACCTAATATCTAACATAGACTTGTTCATCTTCCATTCCTTGATATCAAGATAAAATGTTGACATTAGTCAGCCAACAATATAGAGCCTGATCAGAACAACCAGTTGCCAAGGCAAATCTTATTTGGCTCCAGCAGGTTAAGGATTAATGAACTATTACATGAATGAATATTGAGAAAGGCAAAAGAATGAATATACAGGTAGTCATTGAACACATTCATTTATTCATGGGTTTGATATAAAAAGTTCAAACTTTGCTGTCTTCTCTATATAGCCTCAACATATTTCTAGTTAAGTTTCAGTTGCTTCAAAAATATTCATTCTGCATTTTAATAGATTACTAAAAGCATCATTCTATTTTTTTTTATTCTACACACATTCTTAACACCATAATTTAGATTTTACTTTAGATTTTCTATATTCAAAATAAAGAATATAATAAGAAAGTACATGTATATATAAATAATGTAATAAAAGCAACCAATATAGATGATAATGTTAAAATTGATTTGAAAATAATTGTACATTGTATTTGTTTAGCTCAAGAAATTATTTACTCAGACTACATAATGTGCTCTTTAAATGCTTATTGTTTATACCTTATATTGCATGACAGTATTCTGTTTTACAACCTTTAGGGAATGTTTGTTCAAAATACCAAATACATGTTCAATACTGATTTAAGAGAAAATTAAATTTGATGAAGCTGCGTATAATATTCTTTTTTTTTGATTTCAGCTGTTTCTCAAATTTTAGAGACTAGACATGACTTTTCCATGTATAAGAACTCTTATTAAAAAGATATAATACCTTTGACATAATGATTTGATATCATATTAACCTTTACTTAATTCGTGATGTAACAGAATGTTCAGAAGAACACAGTGATATACTAGTAGTACATGTATTTTGAACAATGAGAACCCAAACTTGGTACAAATGTATGTATTCCATATCTTATTCTAAAATTGTCAGGTTTTATCTTCAGCAAAGACATGCAGAGCAACAAAAGCAGGAGGCCCGTCGTTACGCCCCTCAGGCCCGACCTGCCCAGCCTTTGGGACCACAGATGGATTATAATGCAGCAGGAGAGCTGGCAAAAGCTGAAGAGAAAAAGGCATATCAAGATTACATGGTAAATTTTTCATACCTTTATATCCCATATAAGGTTTGCTAGATTATCATATATATATGTATATATAAGTAGCTTGTATTAAATGGAAACCTTTAGGACTCTATTTAAAAAAAAAATACATGCATTTCACTGGGATAATACCTTAAGTTTAATATAAGTTTTTTTTGTTGCAAATTCAAAATCTTTTTTTTTGTGCCTTTTGTGGTAAATTTCTTTATCATTATTTATTACATGAAAAACTAATAAGAATGTTTGAATGAATATTGATCTATTTAAGAGATAATCAATTTATCATACCTTGATATTAAACCTTTTTAAAGAATATATATAAGAAGATCGGGGATGTAAAGAGTTTGAGTGACATGCATGCTATATAAAAATGCTCTATTTCCACCCATTTTTGTAACTCACCTGGCACAAAATGCCAGAGTGAGTTATTTTTAGGATTGCTCATTGTCCGATGTACAGAATTACAATGTATGTTACATAATGCTTCAAACAACTCCTCCATTACCACTGGGCCAATGTTGATGAAATCTGGCAGAAGTATTCATAAAGCTTTGTCAAGTTGAACAGATAAATCCATTCCATACAGAATTCTGGTTACCATGGTGATCAAAAAACAAAACCTTTACAGAAAAAAATCTGTCAAAAACTAAAGTTCACAGCTTTGGTAATTGGATTATGGCATCACCTAGTGGTCTTCTTCAAATGTTGTTCAAATAATGTCACTGGAGTAAAAAGTGGCCATACTCTATGGATCACCACTTGTATATGTACATAGACCTCTTTCAAAAATTTATTGTTGGAAACCATAAGGCCTGGTGGCTGGTTATTTTATATAAAGCATTGCTTAATGGTTTTGTTTAAATAATCCCCCCTTGGGACAAAATTTGCCTAACCATTGGAGTCACTTGGTTTATGTAGACTTGTATAGGAAAAGATATTTAAATTTTTGTTTGAGAAATAACATGGTCGAGAAGTTAAATATTTATTATGTGGCTTAGAATTGATCTCTCCAAAAGTTTTGTGATAAATCATTCCCCGAGGTGAAAATAGCTCAGCCCTGGGATTACTTTTGTAACATTGACTTAAATAGCAGCTTGACTTTAAAGATCTTTTCAGAAACAGTTGTCTACCTTTGACGAACAAATTGATGACATAGGAACTTTTTTAGCTTCATTTGTCAAATTTGAACCAAGCATTCCTTTAAGTATATGAAATCAAAGTTTGACCATAAGTGACCTTGAATGTGACTTACTTATGCATTGAAGAAAGTATTTTTAACCGTGGATCTCAGGTGAACGGTCTAGGGTCATGGCTCACTTTTATTCTGTATTTATTCAAAATATTGTATTTTCCCTGTTCCCTATATTACTTAGAATACAAAATTATTTTATTAATATATTTTGTAGAACATTTTGCATGAACTTGATTTATTATATATGTAAAAAACCTTTCTATCCTGCCCATGAAAGGGAACATATCAGGCAGAGCATATACCCCCAAAACTAACGTTAGATTATGAAGAGAGTCAAAAAATACTGAATCAACAACGTAGAAAAGAATATAATGACAGGCTTGAGGAGGTATTGTCTAGGCACAAGTGGTGATAGTGTTAACTTGTAGTTTGGTTGTGGTGGATATGTTCTAGATTATTATGTCTCCCCACCTCGGGGGGAGACATATTGTTTTTGCCCTGTCCGTCCGTCCGTCAGTCAGTCCGTCCGTCCATTCTTCGTTTCCGGACGATAACTAGAGTTCCTTTTGACCTACAGCTCTCAAACTTCATAGGATGAATGGTCTTATTGAGCAGATGATCCCTATTGTTTTTGGGGTCAGTAGTTCAAAGGTCAAGGTCACAGTGACCGTTGGTCAATTTCTCGTTTCCGGATGATAACTAGAGTTCCTTTTGACCTACAGCCCTCAAACTTCATAGGATGATTGGTCTTATAGAGCTGATGATCCCTATTGTTTTTGGGGTCAGTAGGTCAAAGGTCAAGGTCACACTGACCGTTGGTCAATTTCTCGTTTCCGGATGATAACTAGAGTTCCTTTAGACCTACAGACCTCAAACTTCATAGGATGATTGGTCTTATTGAGCAGATGATCCCTATTGTTTTTGGGTCAGTAGTTCAAAGGTCAAGGTCACAGTGACCGTTGGTCAATTTCTCGTTTCCGGATGATAACTAGAGTTCCTTTTGACCTACAGCCCTCAAACTTCATAGGATGATTGGTCTTATAGAGCAGATGATCCCTATTGTTTTTGGGGTCAGTAGGTCAAAGGTCAAGGTCACAGTGACCGTTGGTCAATTTCTCATTTCCGGATGATAACTAGAGTTCCTTTTGACCTACAACCCTCAAACTTCATAGGATGATTGGTCTTATTAATCAAATGATCCCTATTGTTTTAATGGTCAGTAGGTCAAAGGTCAAGGTCACAGCGACCGTTGGTTAATTTCTCCTTTCCGGATGATAACTAGAGTTCCTTTAGACCTACAACCCTCAAACTTCATAGGATGATTCTTATCTCCATTTCCATTCCTGTTTCCATTCACAGTTATTCTCAGCAGTGGGGGAGACATGCGCTTTTTTACAAAAGCATCCTCTAGTTTACTTTTGGGATTCTTCTTGAAATTACTTGCACATGACCCAAATTGTTATCTACCTTTTCTAGGAACTTTATCACTATTGCCATACAAGGAAAACTTTCAATGATCTTTATCCAGTATTAATACATAAACTACTGATGACTGGTTACTTTAATTGTCATGGTTAAGTGACTTTAATGAATTCTGTGTAGCTGAGAATATCACAACAAATGGTTAAATGACTTTAAGCTGAATTTCTCTTGAAAGTTCAATGCAACTTTATGGGATATAATACTTAAGTTTTGTCAAAAGTTGTCAAACATTTAAGCACCTGATATTATTCATAGCAATTGTGTTGTTATGATTGCATAATATATATTTCTAGCCAAAGAATTATCCTATAAAATCTTTCTATGCAAAAAAAAAAATGAATTTTGTCAAGTTTTATACATAATTTTGATTTAGTACATTGTAGTTTTAATTCTAAGTCAAAAATTATTGTTCATATTCTTCTTGGGTAATATCTGATAAAATTCTTGAATCATGTAGACCATTATTAAAATAAATTACCAGAGAGACAGAGAGAGAGAGAGATATATGCTCCAAATGGATTCTTAGAGTAATTGTCTTTTTTTGGAAGATAAGATGATTACAAATTGGTTATAATTTAATATTACTGTCTACTATTTTCCATTTAATGATTGAATTTAATCTTTCATTTTATATAAATTATATAGAGGTGGGAAATTAATCGTATGTAAATTGTATATTTACTATAAAAGGGAAATTGGCGCACTGATCAAATTAATGCCCCTCATAAACCATATATGGATTATTGGGAGAATCAGAGATTCCTAAAAGAGGAACGTAGACGAGAATATAATGAATTGTTGGAGAAGGTAAAATGTAGGCACACATTTTTATACTCCACACACCTATTTATTATCTTTATATCTTTGTTATTATTATTATCTTCAAGCATAGTTTCATTTTTTCTATGCACATTTTTAATATTTACTAATTTAGTATATCTAGTGTTATACTATTGCATTGCTTCAGTATAGAGCTAATCTTAAAGTTTAATGTTATTGACTTTATCGCTGTACTTTTCTGCATTTCTATTCTCAGTTATAATACTTATTTGAACAGTTCTACACCTATATTTATTGATGTCTTTGTCTGCAAATGGTTCTCAGCTTGTAGTGAAAGAAATAAGAGAGAAGTTCAAGCAAGCAAAATAAATAGATTGAAAGTCAATGTATTTATTATCTGGATTAAAATTTATGTACAAATATTGAGCATAACAGCTACATGGCTGTAAAATACTATTTCTTTAATTTGCATAGGGAAATGTGCCTAAAATATCTATTTACTGTAACTGTAATTAACAATATATTGGTGAAATAGAATGCTGATTAAATTACATAAAGCGCTAAGTATATTCCTGAGTCCTTAAAAGGTACAATTTCTTGATTTATGAATTATTTTATAAGACACTTAGCTGGGGAAGTGCCTGTCATAAAGAAAAGTTTGAAATACCAACTCATAATGTATACTGTATAATTCTTCATATTGATTAACATATCGCTGTTTCCTAAAAAAGGGAAAGAACTTATACCCAATAAATGCTCCTCTAAAAACGCCCATGGACTACAAGAAGAACAGACAGATGTTGAACGAGGAACGTAAACAGGACTATAATAAGATGATAGAGAGGGTAAACATGTCACAGTATATCAGTTGTTTACCCACACATCCAAAACTAATCAAGTTTTTGTTCATGCCTAATTCAAACCTTGTTTTAATGCCGTTCCTCATTTCCCCGCTAATTTTTTTTTACCCAGGGTTGACTTGTCAATGAGTGTTTGACAATATATGATTGTGTATGTATTGTTTTCTTCATGAAAATTTTGGTAAGAAAATATTAAAGTTTAGCAGCTGTAGTAGAGTCTTGTGTGTCACTGTTACACACACAAGTGACATTGCTCAATTGATAACCTGCATCTATATTTACTAAACCAGCTTCCTCTTAATAATTTGTACCTTTATAACTGTCACCCTAATTAATACAACAAATGAAAATCTCATCTTTTAAAGAACCTGAAAATTTCATAAATTGTCTTCTTTATACTCCAACAAATAAAGTTTAAAGGAGATTATATAGAAGTGAGCTTGTCTGTCATTTGGTCAGTTTTATGATATCAGGACGCTTACATGAGACAATGGATTGTTGTGATTTATGGGACATAGATGTAGCATAAAAAGTACAGGCTAATATTCGGCTTCAGACCACTAATGTTTATTCTAGGGCAGTCAGCGAGAACAGTACTTCGATTTCAGTACTTGAGTACCCGGTCATTCTTCTGATTAGTACGGAGTATTAACAATTTTATTAACCGATATTTGGAGGTTCAATCAAGTACTGATTAACCAGTAACTAGTTGCCATCCCTAATTTCTACATAGATATGAGATTACTTTGATAAGGAAATGAATTGTAATATTTTTTTCAGACCACTAATTGGCATAGTTATCACCCCTTTTTTTCTTATTTTTTTACAAAAGAAGCAGTTTCAAGATAATGATACATGTGTAAAAGCATGGTATTTTTTTTTAACTAAAAAAACCACACACATGATTATTTGATGATAAATATTGTAATAACTTTAAATTTAGTACACAAATGAAACATCATAAAGTACAGGTTTAGCTCAGATTTGGCTTCAGACCACTAACTTTTCACATAGTTAAGGTGACAGGTGGGGTTTTAAATCACATGTAGTGATACATGTAGCTCTATTTTTCTTTCCACTTTTTGTCTACAATGAACTACTCTTGCTTATTCATATATTTTATAATGTTAACCTTTTAGTACCTTGTTACACTGATGTTTGTCTAATTATTTAAGTATTGTAAATCAAAAGTTGAATACTCTCATCCTGATAAAGTTAATTGATAAATATTAACTTGATTGTTTGTTACTGAACACGATTCATGTTTTTGATTGCTACATTAATTGTGATGTAGCCATGACAGTATTGATTTGTATCCTGTAGATAGATTACTAGAGGAATTTGTTTTTGTTTTTAAAGTTACTACATGGAACTGTGAACACCAAAAAACTGTAATTAATATCCCGTGTTAATTATTATTGATTACTTATAAAGCACTGTCAATATTTGAGGCCTCATTACTAAACATGTTTTGTTTGTCCTGGTTTTGTAATTACAGCTAGGAAGATAACATTTAGATCAGTCGGAAAATTGTGGCAAATTCTAGTGATCAATACAATGTAATTATAGAGCTGTTAATGAAGAATTATCAAAATCATAGCAGGTTCCCCTCATAAAATATTAAACCATACCATACTCTAACTGTGCAGTGGACATATCCATGTTTGAATTGTCCATTGTGTTAATTGGTGAGATTTTAGGAGAACACAGCAGCCACTAGTGTAACATCTTGTCTGACTACTGGTACAAGCTATAGGTTTCAAACGCTTAATTTTCAGTAACACCGCACTAGATGTCAAAGAACCATTGACCCGATATGTAACTTGATATCACTATAATTATATATCTATATTTAGAAGTTAAAGTATATATCTTTAGTCTTTACTATTAGTTAACAAGGTACACAATTCTGTTTCTTTAATTGTTATGTTTCTCAAGATGTGGATTTTGCAAGGTTACTTTTTATTGATATCTTCAAAAAATATTTATTTTTGTTAGCTTAAAGCTCTATCACTTCTACAAAATCTTTAGTTATTTTCATAAAACTTTTTCTTTTCATTGTAATCACTCATAAGAAAAATGAAAAATAAGAATGAGCTTTAATTTTCTTATGTTTTATATTTACATTATACTCATTTAGGTTATTCAATATTGGACAAAGTCTTTAATTGTTTTACTTGTATTTCTGATTTATTATGTAAGAAAAATTTCAGACACAGATTTGATAGAAACAAAACTGATTTATAAGTTAATTATATACATTGCTTATATTAAAAAGGAGGATAATTGGTGGTAAAAGAGTAGAAGGATATTGTTGACGTAAATTTTGTTAAAAATTTGGACTATATGATCATAAAACATTGTTTATGTTGTCTGAATATGTTTGTATAAAGGATCTGTATCTGACTCTAAATGTTACTATAATAGTCAATGTACTATGATTTGTTTTAGAATTATCTTTTACAATTTTATTTCTTAGATACCAAGAGACATTTTTTTATAAGAAGGATGTTTAGATTTCTGTGACAATATTATGATATTTTTACAATTTTTACAATTTTCAGAAAGCTAAAGAGGAACGTTACTGGGCATTACGAGGGAGACCTGTGACTCCCCCTGGTGGGTTAAATATCGGTCAGTACGATAGACAAGTAAAAGAACAAGCACCACAGAAAAAACAGGAATATAAACGAATGTTGGATGAGGTTAGTCAACTAGATTGATTGTTAATTAATATTGTTAACTGGCATGCTGTTTGATGCACATTGTTACACTATGCACAATGGATAAATGAAAAATAAGTTAGGTCTTGAATAAGTTTGGTTTGGCAGTGTAATAGGTTTTAATTTATTCACAGTGCAATTAATTCATTATTTCCATGTATAACAAATAAAGGATGAAAATGGTAAAAATTCAAAATAAGTGATTTTGTCCTTGTCCTGGATAATTGCATTTTACACAATATATTGAAAATGTATGTTTCTTTTCTAACACAACATTGATATTTCATCACTGGTGTTTTAATTTGATATCCAAGCACTGGTGTTTTAATTTGATATCCAAGCACTGATGGTTTAATTTGATATCAAAGCACTGGTGTTTTAATTTGATATCCAAGCACTGGTGTTTTAATTTGATATCAAAGTACTGGTGTTTCAATTTGATATCCAAGCACTGATGTTTTAATTTGACATCCTAGCACTGGTGTTTTAATTGATATCCCATACCTGGTGGATTAATTTAATATTCTATCAGTTGATAGCACTGGTGTTTGTATCTCAATAGACTAGTTCCAGTGTTTTCATTGATTAACATGCCTAACTCAATAGGGTGATTATTGTATTTGTAATACAGAGGTCCCAGGTTTGATCTTCGGGCAAGGTGAAATATCTCTATAAAAACTGATCTCAGACATAAAGTCTAATGGTCTCTTGTCTCTCTCCCCTGAAGAAAGAAATCATGTAGAATTAGTAGTGAGTCACTTGAGGTAAGTTATCCAGGAAAGCCTGTTAGGTTGGTTGACCTCTGGGATATGACCAAAAAAGTGTTGAAATCAATCTAAAAACCACAAAATTTAAAACAAACAAAAAATTGATTCAACTTATTAATTTTATTATACTTTACATTGATAGTTTGTATCATGCATGTATAAATATTCAAATTTTACCTATTTCTTTGAAATGGAGGATTTATATGTAACAGTTGTATCCCCACTAAATTTTTTAGTTACTACACTATTGTAACACCTCGATTTTCATGTAAAGTCTTGCAACAATATAGTTGTGGCAACTGTACAAGAAATCTGGTGGAACGGTCATAATTTCTTTCTCCTCATACATCAGCTGTTTTATTTGGGAAGCTAAAAACATTAATCAATTAAAACTGACTGTGATATATTAAATCATTTTAGCAAAAATATACACAACTCAAATTGAGAGCAATGGATCATGCGGCTGATTTATCATCAAAATATGTGAGATATCGAGAAGAGGAGCGCCCCCTAGTGGGATCTCCGCGCGATATAAATCCTTACATGCAGGAGGTGAGAGTAGCTGCTAGATGTTACGCTGTGTTGAAATTAGCTGTCATTCTTCTATATTCATTTTACACCTGGCACATACGATTGTCTCTTTGAATTCAGATACATATATATTGATACGCACTTATAACAAATGAAAACCTATCTAGTTTTTACCCACTCTTTTATTATTTTTTTGTCTATTTGATATAGTTTATTGCAAATATAAATTAAACATAATACTACACTGGAGCCCTGTTATAGCGCTCATGTTGGTGTCCATTGTCTCAAGGCTGCATTATAACTGGTAACTGTTTATAAGGCTCATTGTATAATTACCGCAAAATTATCACATAACCCCACCCACCGCCGAAACTTATAACACTTATTAGCGGTAATGATGTTTACTTATCTATCAATGGATATCAGTATATTTTCTAAACATTGTTAATGTAATTTCATATTAATTTGTGAAGTGTTACTGAGTATGTTCAAAAGAAACAGGAAATTTACAAATTAAAGACATAAACCACAAATGTATATAAATTTCCGTATAAGGACAGTGATGTGATGTGAGTACTGTGTAATCATGAAAATAATTAAAATTAATTGTACGCTTGTGTGATTTACTGAATTTATTGGTTTTTGCTGTCACAGCTACATTTTTGAGATTTTTAAAATAGTTTGATACCTTACTGATCAACAGTTCAAAATGATCAAAAGAGCGGATTAATGCTAACCTGTGTATGATTTCACACCTTCTGCGCTCGCGAGGGACCTAATTACAACTGTTTATTGCACTTGACTGACACTGCGGATTAGGGGCGATATCAATATACATGAACAAAAATTATGATCGGTGAAATATTTGTTTTGTTTTTTTGGGAGCCAAGGTCTATGAGAGTTATACGAGATTAGCCTTATATTGGAGAGCGTTATAACACGGCTGCAGTATATTACAGATTCTACTTATGGTCTCTTAAGTAACATTTGAAGTAAGGAAGCATTAGAATTGAAACATGTAGCGCATTAGACATATAGTTTTAAAACAAATAATTAAAAAAACCTATTTTATTTTCTAAAATTATTGCATACAGAAAGAAAGCAAGGACAAATTTCGAAGAGATTTAAAGAATATACCTGTACAAAATCACTCCCCATCCTCTCAAAATGTAAATGAAACCTCCAGGGATGATCCTAATTATAAAGCTTTCATGGAGGTAGAAAAAGACAAAGCAAGAGATAAAAGGAAATATGCTGAAGAGTTGTTGAAGGTATCAAGTTATATGTAGAAAGCTTGATATAGTACTGGTTTCCTTTATGTATCTACCATTCATTGCTAGATAAATAGTGTTGTTGTTTTTTTTCTGTGAGAAAGGGATTTCAAGGTTGAATTGTATAACTGTGTCAGAGACCTATATGAAGATGTTTTAGTTATGAAACCTGTCTTAATACTGGGCACGCAGCTTTATGTATTGTAGTTGCTTTCACCTAGAATATGTTTTGGATTCTAATGGGTGTCAAGATGATGTTCAACATTTTTAGATATTTAACCTTTGTCTTGAAATGGTTGGTAACTTTTATAGCTGAAATTCATTAATAAGATTTTATTTTAAAGATGTCAATGGGATGTTAGTTGGTGAGGGACAGACATCCTTACATGGCAATGTTTATAATCTGTACTGGTTGGAGACCACCAAAACCTAGACGGCCCCGAAAATGCCTTTTTAATTTGTTCAGTGGTTGGTGATCTATCAGTTGCTTTTATATTAACAATAACTGCATGTTTGTTCTATAATTAAGTTATTAAATTTATTTCAATTTTCGTAAACGGTAATCAGAAAAAAATAAAGTAGTCCCTTGTTTGGAGAAGACCCTAGCTATAGTGTGTAAAATTGTCAGATCTCTAGCTTTAAAATTATAAAATCTGTATGGAAAAATGTTCAAAAAGTGTCCGGTTGGTGGTCCCCGACCAGTAGCTACTATGTTTCTAAACTTATATGTCTGTCACATGATAAGTTTGATAACAAACCAAATCTAATCTAGTATCTTCATATGTCTGTATGATTTTGATACATGTCTCCAAAACAAGTAAATACCTCTCATTGTAAGAGTGAAAAGAGCAAGTTTTAAATTTGAAAGTTGACTTGAACAATATAATTATTATACACAGAAAAGAATATGTTGAGGTATTGCATATTATTTTTTAAAATCTTCGCAGGTTTTTAGTCTGATATTGCTTCATGAAAGCATAATAAATAAAGGTGTTTATTATAAGAGTTGTGATACTATTATCATGTTATTATCTTAAGTATATATGCCATTGTCTCATGTTATCATCAGTTTAGGGCATTTTGAAACTCTCCATTAACTTGTTCTGCAAGTTTACTGTGTTTAGCAAGTCACTGTTGTATTAAACCTTTATGTAGGTGTTTCTGAAAATTCATTATTGGACCCACGTTAAATGGTTGTTATATAAAGCAATGTTTAGTATCAATTCCTTTTACAAATTTAAGCTTTATATAGAGCACACTCTACTTTAAAAAGTAATCAGTCAAATCTCATAATTTCTGTATTTGTATTCCCCTGTTATAAATTTCCAATTAAGGAAAAACATGAATTTCTTTTCAAATGTTTTATGTTTCTTTACAAACACAGCTAGAGTCAATTAATTATTTATCAAAACATATTTGCCATGACATTATTGTAACAATTTGTCATTCGTGCTAAATAGTTTTATCTTTAAACATTAAAGTACTTTACGAAGATTAAAGATTGTCTTTGTTTAGAATTGACATTTAAAAGCAATTGAAAAACAAATAATTTGTTTCTTCAGAGAGTTTTACCTGATTAGTCCTTATTAGTTTTCCAGCACCTCAAGCTTTTAGAAAACATTTAGCTGTATTTAACTACTGATAGATGTTTTTCATTTTTCAGCTTCCAAGTTTCATTCTGTGTAACATTATACACACTATAAAATACAAGAAATCAATGATAAAAAGTTTTATAAAATCATTGTGCATGACTATCAGCTTTTATAATGAGTACATTATTCATTTCAGTCAGTATTTGGTACCATACATTATTTGAGGATATTTAGAATACTATAAATTATCTCGACAACATTTTGTAATAAATTATCAATAACACTTTCAGAGAGGGAAAAAATACAAGTTATTACTACAGTTTTGTCTTGTTTATGTATTATCTCTCAGTAAAGATGCACACTAGTCATTCTTCAAATGCTTTATTAGGATGGATAGACTGTCATTTAGTAAAAACTGTTATGTTATATTGCAGCAACAAAAAGAGCACATGTTTTTGAGAGCACGTCAAGAACCTGAGATGGCAGTTATAGATAGAAATGCTCAGTCCTCACAGTTTCTTGCCAACAAACCACCACCTGGTCCCAGCTATGGTAGAGGCAGGGATGAGGTAAAAGTTCACTATTGTGTTAATATATTGTTTGATGTGAGTTTGTTTTGTTTTTTGTTTTGTTAAAGTACTTAAAGGTCACATACCCTTACTGTACTGGCTGTTTGGTTGCAGAAGCATACCATTCTGTGCTCTCCAGACAAGGTTTGGCATTCTCTTGTTTAAATAACAAGGTTATATATATTATGATGCTTCACATTTTTGCTGTTTAGATTTAACAACCTTTTAAATCCCTTCAAACTGCATGTTTGCTCACTTGTAACCTGGTAATGGAAGCACGTTGAATAACAACTTTTAAATCATCATTATCATTATTTTCTTCATATCTATGCATTTGTTTGTGGCGGGAAATCTTAATTCTTGTTGTAAGTAAAGAGACCAATGTACATATACCATAATTGCAATCTTCAGTCAAGCAGACAAACCCCAGCATTCTGGAATGAAGGAAAGCAAGCACAAGGTCCAACCTCCCTCAGTTCTGTGGCATCCAGATCAAATCAATCTAGTGCTTATGTTCCTATGGTAACATTATTTCTGTTTCTGCACCTGTGTACCTAGCTTACCTGTGATATAGCTACCACAAGCTGCTTCCTGTAGTTCTTCAGTCCTTCTCTCTGCTTCTGTATGAAGTTTCATACTAAATATTTGAACATATTTCTCTGTTGACAGACTTTGATGCTGATCTACTTGATTACGATGTGTTTGTGATCTGTGTTCTAGAAGTAGAGGCCAAAATCTGTTCTTTAATTTTGGTTAATTTTAGACTACTAGCATATAATAGGTCTGCTTTTTAGCTAATGCATTTCTCCTTTAGTTTAAACTTGTGTAATGTTTGGAAAAAGTTTATAACAGGAGAGACTGTTTCAATAATATCTGGTGTGAGACGACTTTAATGGTAGATATTTGTATTAGTGTTTTCATGACTGAATCTTTCTGTGTTTCTTGGTTACTGTTGTTTGACTTCCAGCTGTTTCTTCATGTTGGTAGATAGAGGATTGATGTCATTTATCAAACAGAGTCTGGCATGTTTCTATTCTTTACAACTGACAATATCTTACATTTTTAATAGGGTTCTAAGAGTATTGGGTGATAAAAAATTTACTATTAGCACATTATATATAAACTTTTTTGTTAAAGGGTATATAAAAACTATTTAGATTATACATACATTGTATATAGGCAGAAAATTATTTTGCATAACTTGTATAGATGATGTAGGGCATTAATCTTCTTATTTAGGATTTTTCTAATTGGCACCATAAGTATCTCAATAAAATATGAAAGTGTTTTATTCATAACTTTTGATTTTTTGTCATAATATCTCAGTTGAATAAAAACAATGTAACAATATTACACTGTTTAAACATCAAATGAGTTTTGTTTTTTTTTACCATGAAACTAGCATTTGTTTAATTTTTCACAGTATCTGGTCATTCTTACACTCTTATCATCATTTTCCACTCCTTTTTATTTATATTCTTGTCATTTTAATTGTGTGACATCAAACTCTGTTTTTAATATCTTCTGGAGGAATTTTTTTCCTAGGTCTAACTTTACTTATATAACTTTACTTACAAGAATTTCCTGAATTTTGTTTGAACTCACCTTACAGACTAACTCATACTCACGACCTATACCTGAGCGACCATCACATGGACAACCACCCTATCCTGGAAGGACCATCATTCAAAATGATGATCAGTATAACCTAGCTATACCAAATAGAAATTACAAACCAGTGTCTCCTGAAAAGCCAGTAGACCGTGAATTGCTTAAGATACCACCAAAAGATACTGAAAGACCAAATGAAATGGGCACACCGATGGTAAAGGATCACATTCTCTAATGCTGTATTGTTAAACATTTAAAAACCAGACTATTTGTTTTGAAAAATTTCATACAACCTTTGTCACTTCACTTTAATTTCTATGTCATTTATTTGTTTTCTCAAAGCTTCACAGTTAGCTAAACTTTTAAAATTGTTTCGTCATTGATCTGAATATTTTGTATCAATAGTTTATATTAAAATGGTTTTGGTTTTTTTTTCAAACAAAACTTGAAGCCTTTAGCATAATTTGTATGAATGAAGGACACCTTTCTTGGCATTTGCACAAACCAGATTTTTCATAGACTTGTGCATTTTTAAGGTACCGTATATGAAGTTGATATTTAAAAGAAATATTTTCATAATTCTTTGAGAAAACAAAGCATTAAAGCATATTCCTTTGCCAGTAACATGTTTAAATATCCTTACAATAATTCTAACTTTCACAATAGGCCTTTAAGACTGACTCACTTTCACAAACTTTACCTGAGCAATCAAGAAATGGGCAGCAGTTTTCTCAAGGTGAAGAGATGGTAGGTAGGCCACAGTCCCCAGCTAATCTACCTCCAATGTCACCAGAAAAGCCGATCAATCCAGAATGGCTTAAAAGACCTGTGATGGATGATGAATTACCACCTGGTGTAGGCACCCCCTTGGTAATAAGATTTCGTACTCCTACAGATCATTAGTTCATCTGACAAGTTTGTTGCTTCAGCATTGTTTTCATGTCAGTAATGTATTTTGTAAGGCTAAATGTTCTAATAAATGCTCATTTTTACTAAGTACTAATTGTTGGTTCCAGACCTTGCACACTGACATGATTTAGATAAATAGAAACAAGGAATATTCAAAAAGTATTCAATGGACTATTTTTCATTTAGTATATTCTTAAAGACTGATCTCTTTTCTCTTACACATCACTGTGTGAATATTTTATTTGATTTTCACAATTTCTGTTCACATATATTATTTTCCAAGTCTTGCACTTCCTCTATTCACCTTATTTAATTTTGGTTTGTGTGTTTCTACTATTTTAATAACTTACACAGGCGTTCAAAACCAACTCGTATGCTAATCAACCACCTCCAGTACCGGAGCAAGGGTACCAGCGTCAGCCTGACTATGCTCCAGCAGATGATTACATGCGTCAACCCCAGTCCCCACTGCAAAAACGAGATTTTCAAGGGCCTCCTTTCTCCAGTGATGCTCACAGATCCTATAGAAGACGTGAGGATGGTCTTGATGGAACATACGGAAGACCTGACCAGTCAGAAAGACCAAGGTCAAGAAGGTCATTGGATGCTGATAGGAAACAATCTCCCAGTAAAAGGGATAATGCAGCAAAACAAAACAAGGTATCTCCCAGAAGAATGAAACAACAGCTCTATACAGATTCTGAAGAAGTTAGTTTAAAACGTAGAGAAGCTAGTAAAGAAAGACAAAAAGAATATAATGATTTTCTTAAGCTGAAGGTTGGTGAACCTTTCACTCTAGAAATATTGTGAACTCATTCTTGTACTTTGGTAAATGCAATGCTCTGGTTTTACAGTAAAAAGATAAAAATAGAAATTTACCTGTTTTATTTAAGATCACATATGAGAAATGCATTCTTAGCTTCTTAGATAAAAATGGGTTGTCTGGACGTATTTGTGAACCTATATTTTATTAAAATTAATTTCAAAATACCTGTTGAAATGTGTACATGTACATTGTATAAGTGCATATACATGTGTACAGGAAAGTTTATGGGAAGTATAGTGTTTATCATTGACATGATGGAGCCAAAAAGTATATTTGATATGTAAATTTAAAAGTGTCTAGACAAGAATGAATTCACAATTTTTATGTATTATTATCAAAATGGTCTCCACTCAATAGACCCTTTCAAGTGATCACTTGATTAATTTATGCAGGAATTCATTTGGCATATCTGTTGAAAATATATCACTAAACTATAGTTGGTGAATTTGAAAATGAACATTTTTTGAAAATTTATGAATCCTATTTCTTTTTTAATAATTATTAATTTTTCTGTCAACTTGCCATTTTTCTAGAGATTGTAAAACTCTGTATTGGAGACCATTGATGATAGTACCTTACTAATAGTGCACATTTGATTTGTTTTCATCTTGGTGATGGCTTTTAATGCAAATGAAACTATTTAAACAGATTTAAAAGCAATAAAAGATAAAAGCTTAAATAAATGATATTAGATTATTAGATGCTATAATTGAAATACATGTATATAACTGTGTATAATAGTCACTCCATCAACTTTTAATTATAATCTAATAGAACAAATGCACATTATGGACCTAGGTCTTGCATAAAAACTTAAATACACAAATTTGTGTAATTACATTTTTTTATTAGTTTTTTTATGCCCCCACAATGTGGGAGCATATAGCGTTGCACTTGTCCGTCCGTCCGTCAGTCCCGAAATCTTGTGAACGCAACTCCTCTTAAACCGGATGGCAGATTTTGCTTAAACTTACAGGGATGAACAACCTTAATGTGTAGATGGTAGTAAAGGAAGGAATTTTTGCTGCGACCAAATTTAACAGAATTATGGCCCTTTGTTGATTTTTTCACTGTATACTATGTAGAAATTTTGTGAATGCAACTCCTCTTAAACCGGATGGCAGATTTTGCTTGAACTTCCAGGGGTGAACAACCCTAATGTGTAGATGGTAGTAAAGAAAGGAATTTTTGCTGCAACCAAATTTAACAGAATTATGGCCCTTTGTTGATTTTTTCACTGTATACTATGTAGAAATTTTGTGAATGCAACTCCTCTTAAACCGGATGGCAGATTTTGCTTGAACTTCCAGGGGTGAACAACCCTAATGTGTAGATGGTAGTAAAGAAAGGAATTTTTGCTGCAACCAAATTTAATAGAATTATGGCCCTTTTTTTATTTTTTCATTATATACTATGTAGAAATTTTGTGAACGCAACTCCTCTTAAACCGGATGACAGATTTTGCTTAAACTTCCAGGGATTAACAACCTTAATGTGTAGATGGTAGTAAAGGAAGGAATTTTTGCTGCAACCAAATTTAACAGCATTATGGCCCTTTGTTGATTTTTAGTTTTCAACTTGTGGCACATGTAGTCCAAAAAATATTTGACCTAGAGTCATAAGATTGACAGAACAGTGGCGTGTGGGGGCATCCGTGTCCTATGGACACATTTCTAGTTTTTTATGAATTACAATCATTATACACAGTTATATGCAGCCAGAAGATTAAATTAGTTTTACTTGCTTCATAGTAGCTTTATTCAATGAATATTTGAAGTTTGTAATAAGTTTATGAAGGAAATGCATGTTTCATCATACTAAATTTAACTAATTCATTAATTATACCCCATGCACAACAAATTTGTAAAAGGGTTATACTGAATATACTGAAATCAGCCTATCCATCTTTACAACCTTTTGATTTGTTTGTCAACTCAAAAAAATATTGGAGGTAACAACTTGAAAAATCATAGATAGATAGGTATCAGTCAGGAAAAGTGCAATAACACTCTTTTGCATAAGTTATTGCCCTATGAAATAGTTCATACTTTTTGTCCAGGACCTAATTCATAAGGTATTTTATGTTCAAACAAAATTGTTAAAGTTTTTTTTCTTTACTGTTATAGAGTTGTACAAATTGTTTGGAGGCTAAGATATGAATATTAACCTTGAATGCTGCTATTTCAAAAGTTTTAGATGCTATGTTAGGAATTTTATTGTGATAGTATTCATAGAGCTTTCTAGTTGATGTTATATGACAACTAAAAGAATTTACAATATATCATTTTGAATATAGAAATATGAGATATTTAAGTGTTTATTTTACCTAGTGATCTTTCTATACACTTTGCCAGTCATCATGAAAATCCCCAGGTTGAGCAATTTATATCCTTTACAGCTTTGAACCATTTCAAAGTAGGTAAAAGTGGTAATGTTTCCTGAAGAACTAGACAATAAGTATGGTATGCTTTTTTAGCTCACCTGAGCACAACGTGCTCATGGTGAGCTATTGTGATCCCCCATCGTCCTCATTGTGTGTCGTCAACAATTTCTTTAAACAACATCTCCTCAAAAAACAATGACTGCACAGTAACCAAACTTTACAGGAATGATCCTTGGGTGGTCCCCTGCCAAAGTTGTTGAAATGGTTCCGGTTTGTTGCATAAGTAGGTCACGGGGCTAGAAAAGGAGTTTAAAAAATGCAAACTTAAAAAAACTTCTTGTCTGAAAGTACAAGGCCTAGAGCTTTGATATTTGGTATATGATATCACCTATAGGTCCTCTACCACAGTTGTTCAAATTATAGTCCTGTGGTCAAAATTGGCCCCGTCCCAGGGGGTCATAGGTTTTCCTTTTATGTATATAGTAAAAACTTTAAAAATCTTCTTGTCTGAAGGTACAAGGCCTAGAGTTTAGATATTTGGTATGGTATATCACCTATAGGTCCTCTACCAAAGTTGTTCAAATTTAACCCTTGGGGGTCAAAATTGGCCCGGCCCCAGGGGGTCATAGGTTGTCCTTATATGTATATAGTAAAAACTTAAAAATCTTTTTGTTTGAAGGTACAAGGCTTAGAGCTTAGATATTTGGTATATAATATCATCTATAGGTCCTCTTCCAAAGTTGTTCAAATTATAGCCCTGGGGTCAAAATTGGCCCCACCCTGGGGGTCATAGATTTTCCTTATATGTATATAGTAAAAATTTAAAAACTTCTCCTCTGAATTGACAAAGGCTAGAGGTTAGATATTTGGCATGAAGCATTGTGTTGTGAAACTCTACCAAGATTGTTCAAATTATAGCCCTAGGGTCAAAATTGGCCCCGCCCCAGGGTCATAGGTTTTCCTTATATGTATATTGTAAAAACTGTTCCCATCCACAAACTTTAACCTTAATCATAACTTTAAAGTTCTTGATGTATTGTTGTAAAACTTTAACTTCTTACCTACACAAAAAAATTAACCCTGTTTTGTATATTTTTAAGACCTGGTAACTTCACTTTCGTATATCAATTGCATTTAGTACTCAGGTGAGCGCATTGGAGCCAATGGCCCCCTTGTTTACTAATGTTTTATCTATCCATAAAAGAATTGTTTTTATATTTTACTCTTTTGTACAAATTTGAATACCTTGGTTATAATTTGAATACCTTGTTTATAATTTGAATACCTTGTTTATTTGCTTGAACTAGGGCACTATGTTGACAACAATTTTTTTAAATTGTTTGAAATATTTATTAGGATGAAAAAAGAAAACATGAATCAGAAGTATTCCAGCAACAACACGGTGGTAAGCCTGCTGAAATTGTGAAAAATCCATTCTACAGCTCCGATGACTACGAAAAATTCCAGAAAGAACTGAAGAAAAAACAGGAAAAAGAGTACTCCGAGTTTTTATCCAAGGTAATTTACACACAAATTTATCTTCTTATTTCAAGTGTTGTAGATTAAATTACTTTGTTTTATTGGTATCAAATTACTGTAAAGTAGATTTTAGAAAATTAGAAATTTCTGTGAAGTTTTTAATTTTCTAATTCCCAGTTCTGTGAATCTTAGTCTGTGATACTAGCAAAGAAAAAGTTCCTTATTTTCATGGATAAATGCAACCATGGAAATCTTTAGATTTCCAAGTAATATTGCAATTATGCATGAGAGGAGCATGTATATGTTTTATTGTATGTCAAACATTTCTACTGATGTTATACTATTTATTTAAGTTGAAAGAGTAAAGTAATTTACTTAGTCTTCAAAGCACTTGCTCTCACTGCTGTGGGTTTGAATCCCCGACAGCAATCTTATGGAATGGTGCTACTCAGGTGCCTGTTTATGCCTGAAATAATGAACAGAAGGGCATCTGAGATCTTTCTCTGCCAGTAAAGCTAGAAAGTTGCTATATGACCTATACTGTATTTATGTGATGTAAACCCCAACCAAATAAATATGTAGATTGTATTAAGTTTAGCTTGTATAGTTTCAAATATGGTTTCATTTGTCAAACGTAAAAATGATACAGGTAAATTGGTAGATAATAAAACAACGTATCAACTCCAGTTTAGTTATCTTACAGTTTCAGTTCAAAGCAGAGAATTTGTTAGTATAAATATAGTGAAACATTTCAAGCTTATAAACTTTGAATGTTTGTTTTGTAACTAAAATATTTTGTGCCATGTTTAATTAGCTGCTGTACCTTTATTTAATATGTTATAAAATCTTAGAAAAATTTGATAATTTCAGGATTTCCTGATATCAAATTAGTTTTTTATTTGATTTGTATAGTTAAGATTATTTTATGTAAGGATGTATTTACACGCAGCGTTTCATGCCACCAAAAAATAGCATCGGGCTCCCTATAGGACAATACAAATATGAGCCTAGGAGATTGCTATTGGAAGTGGAGAGAAATAATGAATGGAATGAAATTGCAAAGGAGGTACTTGGCAGAGTATATGAATTCTGATAATGATTAAAATGTTCACTTAATTTTTTCTGTGCATTTTGATTTAGGGACAGTTTATTCATCTGGTGGCAGAAATCTCTATAGCTTTCTTTAATTTCAGCTTTCCTGCTAAAAATATGGACATACTACATAATGAATTTCTTAAGTTTTTATCTTAAATAAATATGTTTTCAGTAAATTTGTATATTGTAGAATTAAAGCAGTACTGCACAGTGTGAAAAAAATATTTTGAATCTTGTACATAATGACTTTTAAAATACAAGTCAGATATATATATAAGAATACTTTGTTTTTATTATAAAAATATTTTTCAAGCATATATAATTTTATGTTGATTATCTATCAGATTTGCCCTTTTTATTTGTAACATATAAGTTGTAGTTGTATCCTTTCATACTGACAATATTTCTTAATAGCTTCTCTAATATTATAAAATCTTAATCATCAATTATATATTAACTTGTCTTATTTAAGGCAAAATGTTGTGAAAACATTTGAACTTTTCCATAAGCACTTTTAATTATATGAAACAGATGTTTGTTAATTTAAAGCTGAAAGGTTATGGTAGCTTGTAGTTATGCATATTTTCAAAACACTATCTTAAGTTGATTATGCACTGTACTGGATTGTGAGGTCTATGTTTATCACTTATGTGTTTATATCTGTTAATCTGTTAACTCACCCAGCAATACCAGCCTAACAAGGATGCACAGGGCCTACCTCTTGGACAGTATAAATATGAACCAATGCGTCTTCACCTTGAAGCAGAAAGAAATAAAGAATACAATGAATTATTGGAGAAGGTAGCACTTTGCCAACTTATATGCAAAGCGTTATATAGTGTGTTTGGCCAAATATTTCTCTTTTTTGAAGCTAAACACTGAATGCCTAAAGTTATAGCAATTATTTACAAGGTATAAGGTTGTTTTGGATTGTCATTCATTATTGTCAACAGCTTTGCATTCTGTATCTGACTTTCATAAAAAAAGAAATATCATACTTGAAATTAGAGTTACATTCTTATTATCTGTGTGCTTGCATTTTGCATAGACACCTTTATTGTTTTAATAGCTTCATGCCAGGCAACTATACTATAGCAAGAAAAGTGTTGTATCTTCTATGGGCTATTCCATCCTAGATGCTATGAATTTTTGACTTTTCAATAGTTAAATGTTAAAAGTAAATGGTACACCTTATAGTGCCATAGAAAGTTGAGATAAATACCTATTTTGATCGATGAAACCTTATTTCTTTAAGCATCAATCATTCAGTCAATGGCAATACAACTTCAGTGTTTGGCTTCATACTGACTCACGTTTTGGCTTAGTTCATTATGCACATCCTGCATATAGTGTCATCTATACAGCTTAATTCCAAATTCCAGGTAATCAACATATAATGACAATCTGATTTCTTTTCATTTACCTGCTTTCAATAAGATTGTTGATGCTGATAACAATTATATTGTACGGTTGTAAAAAGATATGTTGAAATGCTTTCCCACGCCAGTTGTCATTATTAAAGAATTACCGTAACTGTCTTCATCATCTAATATGCCATACATTAATGATGTATTGATTGCAATTGTCTAGTAGTTATTGTTTGTAGCATTGATGGGGTGTTTTCTTTTCTTCATTTACTATATCTCACTCACTATTCCTTGATCAGTTTTTAGAGCCTTGCAGTATAAATTCATCATGAAGGTTGTCATCTTCTAATGTAGATTGTACTTTTCTTATCAATATTTTGTTGCTACTAGTTGCTTAGATTGTTGCCATGCAATTGTACTTAACTATGATTTAATTGATTTGGTTAACTTTTCATTAGATGTCAAAGTTTTCAATGTAAAACAAGTATATTACTTTGATAAATAATTGTGTATTTTGAAATAGTATAAGTTTGTCCAAATAATTTGTGTGTGTCTTATTTTTGTGAGAGAACTGTTAAAGATATTACTTTTCTCTTTGCCATAGCAAAACTCACCCAGAGTACCAAAACAGGTGGATGGCCCACAAGGTCTTAATATTGATGTTAGTTATCATCGAGAAAAACAAGAGTGGTTAGAAAAACAAAGAAATAAAGATTATAATGAATATTTAAAGAAGGTAATTTCACCCAATATCCCACAGGAGTATAACAGTGCTTCATGTAACAATCACATTCCAAACCACAAAACATTATATACATCCATCTTTTTCTGGCATTATATAAAGCATTGAGCCATTTTTGTTGTAATAAATAGTATAATTAAATATGTGAATGAAAATGGTATCTGGAAAAATTAGGCTTAGCATAAATCCATTTGATGCCCATGTTGTCAAAATGATTTATTTACATCATGTGAACTGCCACTGAGATGTATGGAAGTTGATGTTTGATTTATAAAATATCTTAAGTAGTGGTCCAATTTTGGAGATCTTAACGAGATTTGCTACAAGATTGGAACTTTGTTATATTGTTAATTTCTAAATATATGTTATCACAAATTTGGCTCAGTTGCAAATAGGCATCATTTAACTGTTACTTTCATTAGTAAACATTTTCTAAGGTCACCCTGTTTCTGTCAATTGCTTTGCTTTTTCCGTTTTAATTGTTTCTCCAGTACCCTCACAGTTTTCTTATGGCAGTTTAGTGGTTTTTAAAAGTTATTCTGAAAATTCAATAAATACAAGATAAACATAGGTTAAGCCTCTGTGAAATTCCTTTTGTTGGTGCTTGTTCACATTCATTTTTGTTGCTGTTATTTTTACGTTCTGGGTGTCCTAAGATTAAGGTGTGACTATTAATTTGTCATGTTAATATATGGATCATGTAGGTCATTAGAATTCATTCATTTATCACTAAACATGCATTTTTACCATTTTCCACCTGCATCGATACATGTTTCTTTTACACAAAGTGATGGGATCAATGATGCTATATACTCTATAGAAGTAAGTCATTATTTCAGGCATTTTTTGCTCTATTTATGATGATTGTCTAACCTTTCATGTTTACAGATATGAAAACTTTCAGGAATCTCTCAATCAAAAAGAATGTCAGTGGTTTAAGTTATTTGGTATTAATGTTACTGCAGCTATGCGTTTCTTTTCCTTATGAAGGAAGAAGAACAAAGAAGATTTTCAAGAGATGGTAACTCAGCACCAAAAACAACATGTGGTTCAACATTTCAACCACCTTCTAGCCCATTTAGAAATGTCCGTCAAACACCAAGTCCGGTTAGGGTAAGGCAACAGCACAGATCTGACCAGATGAGTCATGTACTATCTCGAGAGGACACGCCAAACCAAAGAAGAGAGCCAAATATTCAGGGAAGATTATCAAATCATGAGCAATTGCCAAACCATACCCAAACAAAAGGTTTCGAAGAACACAATGGTCATCCACCATATGGGAGTGACCATGAATATCATAATCAAGAACCTATGCATCACCAGATGGCAGCACCATATCCCAAGGCTTCATCAGTTCCCCTCCGGTCTCCACCAGCTACACCAAGCAAACTGTCATTACCTGTAGGCCAGTATGATGAGATGCGACCTTTCCTTGTCAAACAAAGAAATAAGGAATACAACAGTGTGAAGGAAAAGGTACAAGTGTTTACTGTCATGTAGCAGATAGTTTTATGGTTGTTTGGTTTACACAAGAAGATATTTGGTTATACATTGTCTGCTTTTTTTACTTATTTTTTTTTTGGTATATTGTCACTTTTTTCTTTGGTATATTGTTACTTCTTTTTTGATAAATGTTTTAAATTTGTAAATTTAACGTTTTACAAAGCAAATAATTCATTTGAAAAGCTGCTCTGGCTATGGAAATAGTTACACATTTTTATTTGATTTTAGTTTGCACTATTGGTTCTTTGTACACAGTTTAAAATGTATTCATACACAAAATTCATGTCAAAAATTTTATGGGGGTATTTTGGACTTACAGTCAATCAATCTGATATATGAAATATTGATATCAATGATATAATGTAATGTTTAAGATCTAAAACTCCATTCTTAGCTAGACTACCTAAATATTAATTGGAAGATCCTTCTTATTCCCTGCGGTCTGCGGTCCGGAGACCGCAGGGTATTGGTACGCGTTTAACTTTTGAGGCATGGAGGAGCACTTGACCTGTTTCGGTGCATGGAGGAGCATGTGATCTGTAAACCGTACATGATTGGTTAATTGACCTTTTCGAAAACCTAGCTAAATACCGTTTGCCGGTACGTTACGGATTTACCTGTAGGGAATTAGTCCGAATTACACATAATTAAGAATAAAAAAATATTACGTGATATTTATAATTTTCTATAATTATTTTACCGTTTAAGGTGGAAAAACTTGAATGATGTGTTTGAAAATTATCAATGTTTCTTTAATATCTATCTCAAATTTTACAAACAATAAATTGTTTATACTGAAAATCTACAAAATTAAAATATTCGTAGTGGCATCTGCCATAATAAATAGAGATATTTTTTGCGTGAAGTTGTGTGTTTACTTTATTTATTTTTTGCTCGGAATTATTCATAAAATGGTAGGCCTATTAAATCATTTTCTTAAAAAGAAATAATTGTTTTATAGTCTTCAACGGTCACCAGTCTCCCAAGACCTAGCTTCATCTATATTGATCGTTTATTCAATTGTCAACTATATTCCTGATACAAACGTTTATCTACCCCCCGAAATATATTTATATCATTAAAATGTTCACCGCAGGAAACCATTTTACTTGTAGTGATACTGGTTTTGATATAAGACTTTGTATGAAATTCATGTATAACTACCTAAATCTCCTTAACTGCTTGAAATATTTCTCTGAAACTTAAAATGTTTCCTCCAGGTTATACTTGTAGTAACTGTCCAGGACTTATAGGGACTTATAGCTCTTGCTTTATGACTTCCTTGAACTATTTGTGAAAATACAAATGTTGGCTAGGGGTTGCACAAAGTTCAGTTTATATGAATCTTAATATTTTTTATGTTTTTAGAGTCATTATTGTAGGTCACATTCAAGGCATTAACTGAGGCATGTGTTTTTACTGTGTTATTCTATATTGCTATGTGGATATTGTTTTACTACCTAGAGCTGAAAATTGTGAGACAGACTGTACATCGGACAGTTCTTTTTTTCCGTGATTTACCTTGATATCAATTACATTAACTAACATGTTATTACTTTGGTATAGATTGTTGGAGGTTGACATATCAGACAGTAACATTTTCTCTTTAACAATTTAATTTGTTAGCAGATTCTTAATTTGTCATCTCCTGTCGTTGTCAAAGAGATTTGTCGTTTATGATAATTTGTGTTAAACACTGCCATCCATGAACAGGTTCTGTAAAACCAAACAATTTAGCCATGTTGTATCTCACTACAGATACAAAAGGTGATCAATATATTTTCCGGATATAAGACTCGTGTATCTTTTTCTGAAAATAAATGAAAAGTCAAAGTAAAAGTTATTAAAAAGTAAAACCTTTTTCAAACACATTTTGTGTGTTTTTCATCTGCTGTGAAGTGCTTCTGTTATACTTGTGGTTTTCTCTCTGAAACATTTGAAAAATGGTTGCTAGAATTTACTTCTCTCTATAGGAAGCTTATCATGTATGAGTAATTTCTATCCAATAGTTGCCTCCCTTAAAGAAAACTGGCATTACACCTCGAGCTACCAAAGTTAGTCTTCCAGTTGGGCAATATGACGAAGAAAGGCCATTTTTTGAAAAACAAAGAAATGCTGAATATAATGAACTTCTTGAAAAAGGAAAATTAGGAAAGGTACGAAAACCGGGTTTCACAATAGCATCATTGCTTCCTTATCATTTTGTGTCCCACTTCTGTCATTTGTCATTGTTTTTCATTCTTTTGTCCATTTCATTTTCATCAGATACCATCATTTTTCAAATGCAATAGCAAATAACTATTTTTATAATAATCTATTGAAGTAATATATACCTGTCAATTCATCATTGTTACCAGTACTCTAAATTCAGATTGTTTTGTTCATGATTACTGGTTATTTAAGTTTGTGAACAATAGCAGCCTTAGGACCATTGTTGAAATGATCATGTGTTACAACGTTTTCAGCATACATTTCGTACAAAAGTTGCAACACCTCCAAGTTTACAAGGTTTACCTATAGGACAACAACATTATGACCCTATGTATAGAGCAATGGAGCATCAGAGAAATAGAGAATACAATGATTTCTTACAGAAGGTACAACACGTTGATGCACAACTATTGCTAGGGATCATTGGTGATTTTGACATTACAGCACCTTTTCTGTTTTCATAGGTTTTTTCTTTTGTTGGTTGTTGCTAGAGACGTTTCAGATAGGACACAATTTTGATTTATGCTGTCAAGCAGATGTTTGTCAGCCATTTGAGTAGACAACAGTGTGTGTGTGTGTGTTGTGTGTGTTACTACTTTTGTATACAGATACAAAGGTCAGATTGGGTTGTTTTGATGTTGTTAGGGTTTTCTTGTTATGATTTTAAAATTAGATTTTATTCTGCCGATCATTGTCACAATTTTGTATAAACTCATTGTGCACTTACTACTAATTATATTTTTACTAAAATTATTGACGTTATTCATTAAAGGACGATATGTTGGTTAAAGGTGATATTTCAAATATTTAACCAGTATAACAAAATTATCGTTAAGTGACAATTTAAGTTCATTTGATAATGATAATGGAAATTTATATTTGTAACAATAGTGGTTTCATAAAAAATAATGTGTAAACAATGTGATTGAAGACTTATTCATTTTATTCAAACTAGACTATTGAATTAAAGCTGTTGTATAATCAGCATGTAGAGGTGTTTCTTTATTTTTTTGGAATGGGTTATGATCTATTTTCTTTCTTTTTGTTGTTGAGTTACAAAATAGTTCTCAGACTATATCCTTTTGAAATGTGCATCTATATATTTGTGCCTATTGTTTGGGATAGTTCAATATCAAACGAATAGGAAACTTGAAAACATTAGTATTAATGTTTAGTAACTACTACTATATATTGTACATATATAGAAATACGGTGGGAACAAGACATTTAGAAGTTCCAGGAGTCAACCAGAAAAACCAACACAACCAAAGTCTTCATTTTACTATGGAAACGAATTGGAGCATGAAGAGAAAAGAAAAATGTTAGACGACGAGAGAAGAAATGATTACCATCAGTTTATGAAGGAGGTAAACAATACTGATGTGAAGCCTGGAAATTACAACCCTCAAATTGTGAGAGAAAAAACTGATGCCATATATGTAGTATCCTGTTCTTTTAATGAATGAGTAAAATTTTTAGTTTAATGTAATAGATATGTTACATTTTCGGAAGTGTGAGTGAAAAAAATCTGGATATAGGATGATCCCTCGGAAACAATAACCACAATAAAATTATATGAAAATTGCAAACTCGGTTTGATTGAGTCCTTATATATCTTTAACTTAATTTATATTTAAAAATATCAATATTAATACATTTTCACCCCAAGGAATTGCTAAGATTTCAGTGTTTTCAGTTTCCTTCCAATATTATACAGCTGTTTATGTCTTAGATTTTTTCTGGGCTTTGTTCTTAATTGAAGTTTGTCCTTCGATACTGGTACTCTTAACTTCGGAACATAGATCTTTATTTATGTTTTAACAACAGTAAAAATTAAGGAAATATTTACGTGTTGTTTCTAGCATATACCACTCTAATATATTTCTTTTCTCAAACAGCAAGAACCTCCCCGTTCAAAGTCTATAGATATACCAACTGATGCCGATTCCGGTTTGCCAATAGGGCAACATCATCATGAAGCTTGGAGAAAATTTCTGCGTGAGCAGAGAAATTCGGAATATAACCAACTTAGAGAAACGGTAATTCATGTCACCGTATTGCGCGAATTTTTTATTTCTACGGATAAGGGTTCGTTTTTCCTTAGCTGTATAAAGGTTTTCCTATGTCACTCTTGCCTTTTCAGCCATACTAACAAAACACAAAGAGTTTGTTTGTGTTTTATTTTTTTTTGAATTTATTGCACATATATATCAAATTAACAAAATTTATAATATTTTTCCAAATAATTTTTTATTGTATAATGTTTACTTGTTTACCTTAGCAGTTATTTTTCCTTTTCATGTATGGGGAGTTACTAACATTACACTTGGTTGAATGTCTTTACTTTCAATCTTTAATAGATCTTAGATCTGTTTTTCTTTCAGGTTTTCATAAAGTAGTAATAGAGATGCTTCTTGCAATCTTTTTGTGTTGTTTTCTTTGCAGACATTGTTATTTTATACATATATATTTAATGCTTTATGAAATAAGATTGTCTTGTTTTCAGATTGAAGATATATTTAGCAAAAGTGTAATAAATAATGTTATTAAAGAGTGTTCCCAAAAGAAATGTTTACTTTATGGGTACTTCAGAAACAATCAGAGAAGCGTAATAGAAACTGGAATTTTGATGAGACCGGAGTTCTTGAATTAAAAGGAGATGATGAAGTACAGTTAAAAAAGCGTGAACTACGTGCAGAAAGAAGGGAAGATTATAATCAATATATAAGTCAGGTACAGCCTGTTGCTGTGTTAATACATTGTTTGATGGGCAAAACTAAAGTCATCTATATGCATCTATACAGTTTTTGCACGTAGATATCTTTTTTCTTCCTGCCCTTGTGTTGCTGTTTCCTACCTTTTTCATCAGTTTGTGTTGGTTAAGGTTAACATTGCATGACGCAGATCATCAGTTATAGTAATAATATATATACATTAATACCTTAATTAGAGGCAAGGTGCTTATTATTTTTTTAACCTGGTATATTTTTGTATGATTATTTATGTAATATTGCTTTGGTTATATTGTCATTTATGTTGTTTTGTCAATGAGATGCTTTCTTTTTTCTTCAAGACTTTAAAATGTTCATATTAGGAGAACTTATGCATTCATGTTAAACATTTATTTTAAGAGTATGTTTACAAGTAAGGAAAGATATATCATTGATTTATTTCTTTAAAAAAAATTACCTGTTAATGCGGAATTTGTAAGAATTTATTTTATGCATTGCGTCTTGGTATTCAAAATGATAAAGTGTCATTATGAAAAAATATTTTTACAGAGAATTTCTTAAACTTTTAAGTTTTAATATTTTGTAACATTCTATTAGATAAAAGCTCCAACTAGGCGTAATTGGCCTGAGCCTGAAGGCCAAGATGGTTTATTAGTAAGAAACGGGGAATATGATAATGTACGACAAATGTATGATGAGGAAAGAAAAAGAGATTACAATGATACAATGAGGAAGAGGCGAGAGGTAACAGGGCCTGGCATCAAGTTAGAGCATAACTTAGCATAGTTCTTAAATTAACTTACGATTTTAACTTTGTTTTTGTTTTAGCTATTAGCTATGAAAGCATGCAGCTATCAGCACATTATTTTAAGCATCTCATCTGACCATGTATTATTCGATTTAGTTACTTAGAAATAACAAAAGGTAATTGGTGTAAATATATTTTATTAAGTTAAACCAAATGTAAATTGTAACAATGTTTATTTTAGTTTTTGATTGTTTTGTCTATGCTGGAATAACCCATTAAAATAATGCTAATATTTTGTTTTTCTGCTAAAGTAACAATAATGTATTGTAAAGCTTAAATATATTTTAGCATGCATATAGAAAGTTATGATGTTTTTAAAACATATATATTGCATTCATTTTTATACAAATAACATAGATGTATTTTTGAAAATCTCTTTGGTGAAATTGTTACATGTTTAAAAATTAGTCATATAAATCAAGCTATCGATCCATTTAAAAAATGTTGTTTTGTCATTCAATTAAATTAAAATGATAATTGTTGAACTTATTTGTTAAGCATATTCTTCACTACTTATTCATTTTGTTGACGTTTTATTTTGTTGTTGTTGTTTATTATTTTTGAACTCTATGTGTTGCGTCTATATTTACATACATCATATTTAAAAAGATTGTGATACATTCTCGTTTTAACACATTTAACAAAAGATGGGTCTTGACTTGACCCCACCTAGTGCACCTGCTGAACCTTTGCAAAGTAGATATGAATATTTCAATCCTATGATCAACGTTCTTGGAAGATATGAAGATTACAGAAAAAAGCTAAAAGACGACAGGAGGAAGGATTTCCGTCATCATATGGACCAGGTATATGAAATGATATACGCTTGACATAAAAGCTTTAACATGAATTTTATACTGTTAAGTGCATGCTCACAGTCATCAGAAATATGTATTTTTTTAAGTAGACATGAATGAAATATTGATTACTACACAAAGAAAATAGATTTTTTTGAAAGGTGCTTTGTCCGCAGGTACAATAGTAGTATTATAGTTCTGTAATATATCGTTAACGCAAATGCCATTAGGTAAAAGCAGAAGATACTCACAGAAGAACCTATGTAAACACTGCTCCAACCATTGCGAGAGAAGAAACCCCGATAGTTAATTCGCTTGGATTGTATGAAACAGAAACAAAGAATAAAATGAGGGCACAAAGAAAAAAGGATATGGAAGAACAAGTTCATGAACAGGTACTAGGACTGTATGAACGAATCAAAACATTACATGTAAAACTATCACATCATTTTTGTACTCATTGATGCTTTGCCTAAGTGTTTTATTGCCAGACCCTGTTACCTTATTTTGTCAAATTTTATTAAATTATAAAAAATGTCAACAATTTTTCTGATATTATTTGTTAATATAATGTAAAACTTTGAAAATGATGAATCTGAATAAAATGTTTTGTGAAAGTAATAATTTTGTCATACTTTGTGGTATTTTGGGTTTGTTCAGGAGAAACATTGGACACCACGTGTTACTGTGAAAGAGAATTTGATGCCTCATGTAGCAGACTCTGAGACACCTCTTGTTAACTATATGGGACAATATGACAAAGATAGATTAAAGTTTAGGTTGGAAAGAAATAAAGAATTACGTGATTTTTCAGAGAAGGTACCATATATGCATGGTGTTGTTACATTAGACAAGTATCTATTAACTTGTAAATCTTGTAAAGATTAATTTCTTCATCAGATATTAATTTCCTCATCAGATATTTGGATCGTGCATGGTTAACTATCACTATATATATGTTAAGTGGTAATATTATAATACTCTAATATATCTTGTTTGGTACATAAGTGAATAAACGTGCATGAATTAGTGTTTCATTTGCTTTATTTTCAGGGCTACTTAATTTTGCATGGTAACATTGGTTGGTTTCTTTTTTCAGTCGTTTAATATTTCTGCATGCTAAAATATATGCTGGAAATATATGTTGTAATTTTAAACATTAAAAATTTATATACTGAGGGACAAAAGTTTTGAGTTGTGAATAATTTGTCAAAACCTTGGGTTTTGTTTTAAATACAACTTGAGCATTACGACTTTAACATTTGTAATGTATCAAATTTCAAAGTTGAAAAAAAAACTTATTATATAAACAATTTTATTGTTTATGATAATAATGTTATAATCTTTATAATGTTGTCTAATCAGAACTAATGTCCTTTGGTTGAATGTGTGGGGTGACTAAAAATTGTTAATGCTTTATGAAAAAACTATTGTTCCATAATTAAATTTCAATGAAATTATTATATGAATTGTCACTTTCTGTAGGTATGAGTTACAAATGTATATATTATATATACATGCTTACATACTGACTTCTGAGGTATCTTTTGTATATTTTATTTTATTTTTCCGGAATGTTGTAATGTTTTTTGGTTGTTATTTAAATCTATATTGATATGTTCGTTATAGACGCACACATTTAATGCATGCAAATTGTTCTTGTTGTTTAGGTTTCTATGATTTACAATTGTAACAATAAAAAGTTGATCTTCTTGTTTATATAGGTAATACACACTTCATAATTATTTTACCGAAAATGGCGAGAACTTACATCATGGAATAAAGCATTGTAACCGACAACCTGCCAATGAAATTTACTTTTCAATTCTCAAATTAATTGTATTCTCTAAATGGGTTTAAAGCTATAACAGGCAAAATATGTTGAAACAATTTTATAATCTTTCAAATAACATTGTTTTCATATTCTTAAGGTCATTTCAAAATGTAAAGTTTCAATTATTGAAAACAATTATATAAGAAGACAAAAAAAAACGTCCTAAATAACATTTTTTTCCAAAAATTAAAAAAAAACGGAATACAGACATACTTAATATAGCTTTAAATCTGCTCAGTTTCTACTGGTTTTCTTTAGGTAAAAATTGTTAACTACAGCACAGGGTTTAAAAAATGACATATAACCAGCAAACTATATACAATTTTTAGAAAAAGCATGAGCTCCGAAATCCTTATGATCATTTCGTGTATCCAACTGTTGCGGTGGCAGAGAAGCCAATTGTTGAATATATGGGAGGTGAAGTAGAACGACGAAAACATGATCTCCGCGAGGAACGCAAAAAAGAATACGAACTGTTCAAGAAGCAGGTAGCCTCGAATAACGTAAGCGCCATGCATGAAGCTTGAGTGATGCTAACTGTTCAGTAATATTCCTTTACAGAAGTAGATTATAATCCAGCATGGTCATATATCAGTAGAGTAAATAGTCTACACTATTTTTATGGCATGACAGCTTGACTAATTACAGTATGATCTGTAAAAATACAGTAGATATATAGTCGTTGATCATGTGTGCTTTTAGCTGATGTATTTTCCCTTGGTTAAGTTGATGCATTTTTCCCTGATAAAAGCAAATTATGTTTTGAATTTCGTACATACCTGTGATCAGCTGCTTGTGTAGTTATTTTTTCCATATAATAGTAGATATGCTTATTAATGTTTGCATGATGCAATAATGTTTGTTAGAATTAGTATAATGGTTTATGTTGTTCATATAATTATGCAATATTCCATACGTGGAGACATATCCTGTATATTTTAGTAATGGGATATTTACTTTCCTCTTCAGGTATAAATGTATTTCTGCTGTTTATGGCATTTTTTAACTTTAACAATGATAAACATGTATTGCTTATTAACACACAATTATAAACTAACATGTTATTTTATTTTAGGCAATTTTATAGTATATGAAGACATTTACATTTGATAGGGATGTGTAAAACAGTGTTGATATTAAAATGTAAAAACGAGTTTCGTAAGGATTTTTTTTTTAAATTTTTTTTATTTATTTATTTACTTTTTTGCATTTTGCAAGTTTTCAGGTGAAAAGGAGCATGGTGACATTCATCTCATCTTCACTCTCTATCTTTAGAATTACGTTACATAAATAATTAAAGATCTATTGAACAAATACTAAAATCTGAGTAAACTAACAATGTTACACTAATGAGTGTATGTGGCTTTGGTGCTTTTGGTTACTGTTACTAACAATTTCTTGTATCTGTCACATTTATAGGTATACAGGGATTCATTTCAGATGTATTCAAAAATATGTGTCTATTTTTCTAACCTTCAATTATTTTCAACAGGATTTAAATGAAATATTTATTTGAGTAATGTAATGGAATTTGTAGGAAACATGTTGGTATTGTCTTGCTATACCTGTTGCTATATTATTTTCCGGCTTCATTAAAAGATATTTGTGTTTAACTTACTGATTTAAATTTGATTAAAATCTTAAAATGTGATATATGTATTTCTTTTGATAAATGTTTAAAGTTTGTCTTTTACTTTTAATTGATTTATACGAAACCATCATTGTTGATCATCATTGTAGCAAAAGGTAGCACATCCAGGCCGGCGTCATGAGTTTGTTGATTCTGCGAATGGACCATATGGTGGTTTGTTTCATGGACTAGGAGAACATGGTAACAGAAGCGATGATCTTAACAGGGAAAGACATAGGGAATATAATGAAAAACTAGAACAGGTAGTTGCCATAGATTAAATGTTATGAGTGAAAATGGGCTTTAATTGTTTTTGTTTTTTGTAAGCGTTACAGAAATATTGTGTCCTTGTTTGGTGGATTTTAATATTGAAGAACATTTTGGTAATCGTTTTGTAAAATATTGAAACTTATTCTAGGGTAATACAGCTGTACTTGTTTGCTTGCCATCTTGATAATCATGTCTTTGTTCCTAACATTTCAGTTTGCAAAAGCATATACTTTGTTTAGTACATATTCAAGTAACAATTATTAGACCAGTTTAACGGTAATAATTATATACATTTTGTTATTGAGACAAGTCTTCAAATGATGTCCATTGTTTATGTCTAAAACAGTAACATTTCTATGTCTTTGTGTAATTTACAGCCTGAACAGGTAATTTGTGTTTTGTGAACACTTGACTGTGTTTTGTTTTTGTGCTGTTTGCTTATTTGTTTCTGTGTTGTGCCATATTATCAAACATATCATTTGCCAAGCAAAATACAACCAATGTACTACAATTATTTTCTCTAAATTAGTAAATAATTGATAAAGTCATACTAAAATTTAGATTTAAATTAATAATATCGGGACAATTTTTTTTTTTAGCAATATGCTGGAAGGGACCGACCAGGGGGGAGACCAAAATGGGTACAAGAATCTCTTCCTAATGTGAGTATAAACAGAACTTTTTATCAAATTGATATCCGTAACTCCGTGAAAGACCAAATTACTCTATTTTGTTTCAAAGTTCACTTATAGTAAAGATTTATTCAATACAAAATGATGTAAATAGTACCGAGTTTAAATACCATTTTGGTTTTCAAATTATCTTTCGAACATACTGTAAGCTTTGTGCGTGGACTTTATGATTCAATAAATTCCAGGAATATTTGTGCTAAATGTGTTTCTGAAACAAGTTTGGTTCTGTTAGTAATGAATTTCGGATTTGCGTTTAAATTTGATAGTTTGTAGAACTTGAACCGACTGCTCTAATCTTTGGCATATTATATACTTTTGCCTTGGACGAATTTGTTGAAGGCAAATATCTGATATGTCATGTCCTCATGTTTCTAGCTTTAATTATTAACATCATTATTTCCGTACATATCAAGCATATTAAGTTTAGATTGAAGAGAAATGATTTGGGAATTAATTTTGAAAGTGTTTGGATGTTGTTTTCTTTTAGATAAAATAAGTTCATCATTATAACTTGTGTTAATTTTGTTTTGAATAATTCATTTTGGCTTATGATGAGATAATTATGGGTAATGTTAAGAAGCAATTGTCATATTCCAGATGTAAGCACTTTCCCAATTTTTGTTACAATCATGAAAATCTTTTTTATTGATTTAATTTTATATGAAATTTAAGAATACTGACAGAGGACGTTCTCCAATGAAAACACAGCCACCGACTGATCAATATCAGCAAATGTTAAATGAGAAACGCAGAGAAGAGGCTAATATGAGGTAAATCCTTCTGATGCAGTTGCATTTCTTATCAAAACTTCTGAAATATTGACTGATTGATTCCTTCATATGATGATATATAGAGGTGACAATATGAACTATAATTGTTTAATGCTTGAATTATTAATATGATGCAGTGGATACAAATTGATTGTTTCATTGTCCAAGATGTCCTTAAATTTGATGTCACTTGGTCCTTGTGAATCTTGTCTTGATTTACTAAAGCGACATATGGTGTTGATGGTAATGAGTACAGATATACTAAAGCTACATAAATGATATGAAATTATGAATACATGAAATATTATTTAAATGTAATCATATAATTACCGGTATTTGTATTTCAGGCGTTACGAGGATCCCGAATACCAGGATCGTTTGGCCCATGGACGAGACCGAGGAGAAGCTGGCCAGGTATGGAACTTGATATATTTATGATATTTACTTTATTTAAAAATGTATTCATTGCATAATTCAAATTCTAAAATGACTGCAAATGAACACATACTTTTAACATGTTTATTTTCATATAAGACTGACTGTTCAAGGTTATTCATACTGTTGTTTTTTTTATGCTCCCCGAAAAATTTCGGGGGAGCATATAGTCGCCGCCTTGTCCGTCCGTCCGTCCGTCTTTCCGTCCGTCCGTCCGTCCCCTTTTCTTGACCGGGACATAACTTTGAAACAACAAAAGGTATCAACATGAAACTTTGTAGGTAGATAGATCTCATTGAGTAGAAGTGCAGTGCACAAGAACCGTAACTCTGCCTTGCCTAATTTTTGAATTATTCCCCTTTGTTTATTTTTACACTTTGAACTTTGTCCGGGACATAACTCTAAAAGTATAAGAGGTATCAACATGAAACTTTGTAGGTAGATAGATCTCATTGAGTAGAAGTGCAGTGCACAAGAACCATAACTCTGCCTTGCCTAATTTTTGAATTATCCCCCTTTGTTTATTTTACACTTTGAACTTTGTCCGGGACATAACTCTAAAAGTATAAGAGGTATCAACATGAAACTTTGTAGGTAGATAGATCTCATTGAGTAGAAGTGCAGTGCACAAGAACCATAACTCTGCCTTGCCTAATTTTTGAATTATCCCCCTTTGTTTATTTTACACTTTGAACTTTGTCCTGGACATAACTCTAAAAGTATAAGAGGTATCAACATGAAACTTTGTAGGTAGATAGATCTCATTGAGTAGGTGTGCAGTGCACAAGAACCATAACTCTGCCTTGCCTAATTTTTGAATTATCCCCCTTTGTTTATTTTACACTTTGAAATTTGTCCAGGACATAACTCTAAAAGTATAAGAGGTATCAACATGAAACTTTGTAGGTAGATAGATCTCATTGAGTAGAAGTGCAGTGCACAAGAACTGTAACTCTGCCTTGCCTAATTTTTGAATTATCCCCCTTTGTTTATTTTACACTTTGAACTTTGTCCGGGTGATAACTCTAAAAGTATAAGAGATATCAACATGAAACTTTGTAGGTAGATAGATCTCATTGAGTAGGTGTGCAGTGCACAAGAACCGTAACTCTGCCTTGTCTAAATTTTGAATTATCCCCCTTTGTTTATTTTACACTTTGTACTTTGTCCGGGACATAACTCTAAAAGTATAAGAGGTATCAACATGAAACTTTGTAGGTAGATAGATCTCATTGAGTAGGTGTGCAGTGAACAAGAACCTTAACTCTGCCTTGCCTAATTTTTGAATTATCCCCCTTTGTTTATTTTTACACTTTGAACTTTGTCCGGGACATATTTCTTAATGTATGAGAGATATCAACATAAAACTTTGTAGGTAGATAGATCTCATTGAGTAAGTTTGCAGTGCACAAGAACTGTAACACTGTCTTGCCTACTTTTGTAGTTATTGCCCTTTGTTCATTTTGACACTTTGAACTTTGTCTGGGACATTACTCTAAAATTATAAGAGATATCAACATGAAACTTTGTAGATAGATAGGTCTCATTGGGTGGAAGTGCAGTGCTTAAGAATCATTACTCTGCCTTGCCTTATTTTGAAGTAATTGCCCTTTGTTTATTTTTACTTTTTGACTTTTGTCCTGGACATTACTTTAAAACTATTAGAGATATCAACATGAAACTTTGTAGGTAGCTACATATAATTGGATAGAACTGCAACGCTTCAAGAACCTAAACAAAGCCTGGTCTAATTTTGGAGTTATTGCCCTTTGTTCATTTTTTTTATACTTTCCTGTGTCCAGAACCTTCTTGGGGAGCATCACCCGGTTCAACCGGTTCTTGTTTACAATATCTTTATTAGATACATGTATGTCTCTATTATTGGATTTATTAAAGCATGTTTGGAGACCAAAAAAGACCCCATAGCATTTGGCGTACCTATTCATATGCTGTCCATTTTGCATTATCTCTGCTGCAATGTTGATAAGAAAGCAGGATTGTAAACTAAATATAGATAAAAGTTAAAAATATTACTATTTTGTTTGTTTTATATTTCAGAGATACGGATACTAATGTACAGAATGTGACAAAATGTTAACAATCTCTTGGAAACAATCGGAAATGAAGAATTTATAGGGATGTTTATACTGTTAAAGAAATAACACATTTTGAACTCAAAGTGCTGCTTTAGCGTTAATTAATGTGCTTAAATTAAGTGCTGACAATATCAACCTTTATGTTAAACTGTTATTTCAGGAATTTATTACAGACAATTGTTTTTACATTACATATCCATGTACTTTTTTGCCGTCCATATTCCGTCCATATTCATTTTGTATGCCAAAGTTGTTTATGCTGAATATTTTTTTGGCATAAAAACCACGTTTGTAATGTACTTTTTTATATGTTTTGTTTTGTTCATTTTGTGTACAAGAGGCTTTTCAGAATGATGATACCATGGCAATTATATACTTACGCAGCGTTTTAAGTCATATTTTTTTAATTTTTTGGTTTTTCGATTTTAGACTTTTTGCACATTTTTTATATTTTCATTGATTTATAAAATTAGAATTGCCTTTTTTAGTTATATACATATTTATTTAAACTTCCGTCCATCTATTATTGTTAGTTATATTTATTTTAAATAGATCTATTTAAGTTACTTATTACAGAAGTTGTGTTTTACACATTCTATAAGTGTGATATGGGCTATGCCTTATTTCTATTTCTTAAAATGTTTTAAGAATGATCCGTTACTGTGTACTGAAGTGGTATATGCTTAATAAATGTTTAAGTTATGTATTCATTTTATGTTCAACTTCAATTGATGATTTTGTTAAGAGAGGGAAAGAGAGATAATTGTTTATATGTGTTACCTGACTTTTGTCTCAAGTTGTGTGCCATTCGTTTTTGTATTTAAGAAAATCAGTAATAACAATCACAATCAGCGGATTTTATTGTTACATTTACCAAACATACATATTCAACATTCCATTTTATTCAGGTATATACGGTAATGTCTGTGATAAAAATATCAAGTTGATATTCATTTATATTAGGTGTAAATGTCTTTGTTGTTTTTTTTATTTTAAATCTTAAGATTTTTTTTCTGAATTTTTTTCTAAACTTATTCATTAAACTTAATAGATCTGGATAATGTATTTCTATTTCACATTGAAAGCAACTGTAAATACAGACTAAAGACTTAGTTTGATGTTTTTCGATGATATTCATAAATCGTAATTGATTTCTTAGTGACTTTCTTTAGTTGCTGTTTTTTAAGGTCAGCAGACCAGTGATAAGTACACTCATAGTTTATTGTTATATAAAAAGTATTACTATAATTCTGATATGTAGATAGTATGTTTCATTTTCTAATATTTGGTATTGTTTGGACATAACATGCAAGTGAATATCATTAAAATAAAATCCAATAAGTTCATATAGTTGTAATTAGTTATTTATATACATGTATATGTTTGGTTCATTAAGCTATAAGCTTAAAATGGACACATTAAGAAAAGATATACGACGTTCTTCATTGAAACGCAAATTTGAGAGGTGACTGTGTATACCCTATAACAATATTGAAATTCTCGCATGGGGAGCTCCCTCAAGAGCAATGAAAACAAACTATAATACGTTAAAATATTTTCCACATTTGGTTTGATTTAGTCTGTTTAAGAGAGATATTGGTTGATGCAACGCATTTACAAGCTGCTTTCTATCCTATAAATCATGTCAACAGAGCGAACTGTGTCTTTAGTTCCATTCGTTTATTGGGAGTTAATATGAACTCTGAAGTGGGTACAGCAAGAAACTTAAATATCTTATCTGGTGGGTGTTTGCTATCAGTTAATGAGTGCGACATACTGATCAGCATGTCTTATAATTCTCATTCAGAAAAAAAAATACGCAAGAATTACGTGTTCCATAGCTGATAGGTTACTGTTTTGGTCACGTTAATATTTTTACCACACAACTTTCAGAATTTTAACTGATTTATTTACAATTCGTATATACATGTAGATCTACTTATATGTAAGTGCAATATTATAGATACATGTAAATACATATAAGGACAGATACTGTTACCAAAAAGAATCGCTGGGGTCGACAATAAAATATATATTTATGGAAAAAATCTCTCTTCACAGTACCTCATTATATCCAAGCAATCTTACCGTTAAGCAAAAGAAAAAGGTAAGCAAAGCTCTATCCGAAAGTACCGCTCAAATTATTCAAAATTACAATTAATGAATCATTTTAGAAGATGTTTGTACAATTACTGGTTTGCCTATGTTCATTTGTCTACATTTGTCTTTTGTCTACATTTGTCTACTATACATTTTGAATATACAGTTAATCTAGACACTATCACAGCTTCTCCTTCTGGAAGAATCCTGCTTATATTCACAGTCACAATCCTTAAATTCTATCAATGCATCAAAATAAACAGACGTCCATTTGAAATCTGATACTGATACGACGTCATCACAATCTTCAAAAGATGTCTGTGACGTTGTAGCGTTCGTTTCATCAACGTGATATGACATGTCCTCGTGTTTGCCATTTTCTACGTCATCATCCGAGTACTCGCTCACAATTATTACTGGACAAACTGTTCCAGCAGCAACTTTTATATTATCCAATAAATTTAATGATCCTAAAACTGCTTTAGTTCTTTCAACAGCAATTCTGTTCTTATATTGAGCGGTTTGGAATCTTTCTCTATTCACATATTCAGAGTAGTTGTACTTGGAAGATTGCTCTTCGTCGTCATTTCTGTTATATTTGATTAATAACACTACGATAGTGATAGAATAAAATGCAATGACAACAACGATGTAAAAGAACGCTTCTACCTCAACAGTCTCTTCCGGTTTCATTGTCGTGGTGCAGGAACATTCATTATGCCTGGATTCATGACCGTGCTTAGGTGTATTGGTTACATTTATATACATGGTCCTTCGTTGACTAAGAAATTCCTGACCAAATCTTTTCATTTAAGGATACGCTACAAAAGAAAATTAAACAAAAAAATCTTAACAATTTTAAAATAGAAAAAACAATCATTTAGTGATGAAATAAGTAACGGTACTTTTCTGAGAAAAAATACTCTTTAATTGTCCTAACTGTAGATATTGAATATGTTCTGCTTATTCAAGTGCGCAATAGGTAAACTATCAAACTGTTAAATATTCATTAAAATTATTAATTGGATTCTTTCAAAACATCTAAACATTTAATTATTTTATAACCAAAATTTTAAATATATCTATCTCTTTAAATTCGTCACCTAATTTAGAATATTTTATGAATAAAGCTTACTAATATATTACCATTAAAATATTGAAACTTACATTTCATTTAGTCCGTAAATGGCAGATTTCTGCCTCCGAGGAAACGTTTGTACTCAATTGACAATACGTCATTTCTTCCATAGTCAGTCTCTACTAATATAGAACTGAGATCGTAAAGAGGGAAACCAGCATTTTCTTCATAATAAATCACTGCTAGACGTAAGCGATCCCCAGGAGGGTCATTTAAATTTTATAAGCTAATTTCAATGCACATGCTCGCAGCAATATTTGGTGACGTCCTATGTTATTGGCAGTTTGGAACTGTCAAAATAACTATATAAATAGATTAGCAACCCATAACAGAATAAACAAATATTGTGTGTTAATCAGGCAGCTGAAATAAGTTCCCATGAAGATTTTATCTCATATTACTTCTGTTTAGATTTAATATAACGGTGTACGAACTTTAAGAAATTGCATTTTGATGATTTGGGTTTCATTATAATTATATTACTTTAATCACAAACTTCATTGCAAGTTATTGGATGCCTCGCTTAAATATAGTTTGTATTTCTTAATATAGTACACGTTTATTTCTGAGACATTGCACTGTCGATAAGACGTCGTAATGAAATTTAACAAGACAACGAAATATTTCAAAGCGAAATATCCATACTTATATCTCCATACTTAGTTTGATATACCAAGTAACTAAATCATATTCCTTTTTTCTTCTATAATTTTTTGTGCATTGCAAGCCTTACGCTAGGTTTGTTCGCCCAGCTAGGTGCTGTTTCAGGTTTCATTTGTGACTTGATATTATCGGGGCAGTATTCTCCTTCTAAAAGTTCACTAGTAGATTAAAATGTTTAACTAAAATACCAGCAAAATATAAAAGATATTGCATCTTAGGTATTTTCATGACAGTTCAACCGAATTTATCGTTTGTCTCTAAGAATTGTTTAATCTTAGCTGGTCAAACAAAATCGTAATTTCAACGGACCTTTAAAATAGACCAAGCCTTTTTAAAACACCTCAACCGTTATATCTAAATACCGCATATAAAAATAAACAAATGTAAATTTCATTTGCTGTATTGAAAAAGTGTCAGTTTCAGGTTTCAAATATCTTAAACATGAAAAAAAAAAAACACAAAGGAATACGTTATTGTTATATTATGTTCTGTACTAAATGAATGCTAGTGTGGTGTGTGTTAGACTTGTGCATTTTTTGTTTACGAAGACATTACTAAATAATGCATTCGAAACGATTAAAATTTTTCGTAAGGATAGTTTTGATATTTTCTGTGATATCAAATGTTCTGTTCTGTTTAGGAAGTGTGTATTACATTTCAAACTGTAATGGTGTAGTTTTAAAAGATATGGCACTGACTGGAACTGGTGGTGACCAGGGCGACACACCAACATGGAATAATATTAATCATCGGAATGTTGAGATGTTACCGCAATGGTCCAAACTTAACATAAGTGCTCAATTTCCATATGAAGAGATAAAAGAAAACATTGACACAGTGTGTCCAGATCGTCCACCACAACTTGGTAATGACTATTCACCGTTTTTAAACATTTTCACTTGTTAGAAACGCGTCGCATGCAAAGCATTGAATGTATGTCTTCTGTTGATACAACAAAATTTGCTTTATATGCGGGTACCATGCTAAGTAAATTATATACTTGTTAAAACACTTCGTATTCTATATAAATCTAACTTGCAAGAAGTCGGTTTTAGCGTAAAGTACATTATAGGTTTTGTAAATTAGCATTTTCCACTGATAATATGTCTTGTTTATAGAACTGCATCAATGCCGAAACATCGAAAATGTAAACATGGCATATATCAAAGAATTATTCAAAATAATTTATTTTCAGCCCATCAATATTCTTAAGCTTTAGAACGGTGTGACAATTTTGACTTTTATTCAATTTTATTCCTTAGTTGGTAGGATGAATATAAGTGGTAAGGTAAAGCCAGAGGATGTGTTCAACGTTACCTCACTGAAAATGGTTCGCCCAGGTGGACATTACATCCCAGCTTGTAAACAGGAGGAAAAGGTCGCTATAATAGTGCCGTACAGGTAGGTATATTATTATTATTATTATTTCAGACGGGACTGGAAATATTTGTCCGATAGCTGTATACTATTTGATGTAGGTTTGGACCAATAACTTATGCGCAAATTTTAAAATCATTTGCTCAACCCGTTTTTAAATAATAGAATTTTTATTGCGTAAAATGACCAAAAAGAATTGAAAACCGTTGAAACGCTTTTCACTGAAAACATGCTTAGAATCGTACAAAAATCGATATTCAAATCTGAGTATATTTCATTATCAACCTTTGCAGATTTTTTTTTCATTTTAAGTGTTTCACTTGATCTATGTAAGAATTTCAAATTTTATATTTTAAGACTTTTTGAATTCACCGGGGTTCCTTTAAATGTTAGTATCTTATAAAACACGCAGACTAACATACAGCGTGCACTTTAAAAGAATTTTCCGATTTATTTTAATGTTCTAGAAGTCACCAGAGAATTGTTATATTTATAGATATATAATTATTTAAGACAAGATTTCATCCGAAATATATTACTGTTCGAAAAAGGCAAAACATGTATTTGATAGTTCTTATAATTTTAACATGATTGTAATGTGATTATTTTAGAGACAGAGAGAATCATTTACAGATATTGCTCTATCACCTGCACACGTTTCTTCAGAAACAACAATTACATTACGCCGTGTTTGTTGTTGAAATGGTAAATAGATCTACTATCTTCTTAACCAGTAGTTGATGTCTATAATTCCGTTGTTCAATTTTAGTTTCTCATACTTCATGCAATTCATTATGCTACTTTCAAAGGTAGATATAAATAAAGAAACGCTTTAATAAGCACATGTTTTTTCCTAAAGACATTATTAGTTGTAGCTTTGACGAGAAAATATGATTTCGGTTTTCAGGCGTACCCGACCCAGTTTAATAGAGGTATTTTGGCAAATATTGGTTATCTTACATCTCGAGAGATTTTGAATTTCACGTGCTATATTATCCACGACGTTGATTTATTACCAGCAGACGATAGAAACCTTTATAGATGTTCCGACAATCCCAGACATCTTTCTGTCAGCTCCAGTAAATATGGATACAAGCGAGTATATTAATTAATGCTTCTTTATAAATGAAAATTAACTTCAGACTAAAAAAATCATGGATTGTACAATATATTGACAGCATTATTCTTTGTAAGGGATGATATTTCAATGATACAGGTTGTTTAATAGAATACCAATTGAGCAAGTTTAACATACAAATGAATAAAAACAATTAACACTGAAACTAGTATCTCTCTGTCTTTGATCCTTTGCATTTATAGATACATGTTGAAAAAAGACAACACCAAACAAGACAAAAGTTTTCGATGATGAATGATGATGTAATTGCCTATACAAACAGATTTATTTTGGCAATGTAAGTTAATTAAGGATGATGTCCTATTTGAGAGATGTTTAACGCGTGTATGATATTATTTTATGTACAGGTTACCTTATGGCCATTACAATGGTGGAGTTGTAGCATTCACAAGCACACAGTTTGAAAAAATTAACGGATTCAGCAATGCTTACTTTGGTTGGGGTAAAGAAGATGACGATTTACATAAACGGTAATTGACGAATTTTGTTTCTACAAAACATTAATTACTTATAGTCATTTCATCGCCAAACAAAAGATGAATTTAAGTGAAAATCCGGACAAAATGTGATCCCTCCGAAGCATTAAATACAACAAAATCTCATGAAATTGCAAACTCTGTTTAATTGAGTCTTTACATGCGGGATAATGTAAAAGTGCCGCATCCATCACGCCCCTTAGTAGTACCGCCTGGAGCGGTACTCAATTTCAACACTTAAAACTTAAAAACGTTGTTGTTTTCATCATGTATAATAAAATGTCCCTACATATTATCTTATAGGATCTTAAAGTCTGGTTTTAAGATTGACAGACCTGACGCTAAAATCGGAGATTATGAGGAAATAGTTAGACAGGATATTCAAGATCTCACGAATCCAGATAACCCAATGAAGTAAGAAAACTATACATAAATTTATCTATAATTAATGAAAATCATTAATTACTACATGTAATTTCAAACTTAGTTGAGCCTATCACAGCTAGTCCCTATGATCACCTCGGCCGAGTCTTAGCTGTGTCTTCAGAAAAGTTGATACATGCAATCGTTTTATAAATGATTTTTTTAAATGTGTGCAGATGAGTTGTGTTCGTTATTATTTTTTATTTATTTTTATTCCTTTTTAAAAGACACATTTTTCCGATTCGTTACTTTTTATGTCACAGTGAACAAAATCAATAATTTTTGAAAACTTTTCAGAAGTTAAAAAAAAGTGGTTAATGTATATTGAAAGAAAGGAAACTTGAAAAAATGAATAACACATTATTACTAAGTTTTTGCATATATCTGTAGGGACAGTTTATACCTGTGGGCTGAAAAAAGGTTTAAGAATGACGGAATCAATAGCGTTCTTTATCAAAGAATTGCGCTCGAATTTCTACCATTATATACGTGGGTATATGTCAACACAAGTGAACTGACCGTCATGAAAGTAAGACAAAGTTATGTAAAAACAAGTGATTATCAAAGTATTGCAGGCAATACAAAAATCCCTTATTGGTTATTGAACCTCATAACGCTAATAAATGGGTCAAAGTATATTGCTACTTTTGAAATATTTTTAGACTATTTGTCATAGCAACCAGATTTTTTTTTCATAGGAAAAAAAGAAAAGAAGTGCATAATCTCTACACTGCCATCTCGCCATATTTCAAGTTTCATTAGAATATTTTCAATACTTTTTGAGTTTTCACGGACAGACGGACGGGAAGTAACCCTTAAAAAAACCCACCTGATAACCCGATCGATAGGAAACTAATAATGTGTTTTTATTGGGTTGCACGAACACAGTATACGTCATATGGCGACTTTCCGGTGCCCCTCTACGCGTTATTACAGACACAAATTGGCACCTGCGTAGAATCATTAACGTTACGTTACGTAAGTTACCTGGATAGCCTTCTCCGAAGACGCTCGAGCGGATCGAACCTACAGGTAACAGCGTTGACATGAAAGTGGTTTAAAGTAAACCTTAACGTCTGGGTCACAGACGCCCCATGTATATAACTAAATAAGTGTAGTTTGTATACATTGATAATAATAATAATAATTCTGGTTTGAAGGCGTATGATACTTCACATAATTTATCAATTGTTTTATGTTGATTTTCCTATATACTGATCAATGTGCGCTCACAAGGGCCTAACATTTCGTTTCTTTGTCTTTCAGATGATAAAACATATCGATCCTGGTCTAAAAGAAGCGTTTGCACGTGTGAAGAAAGCCTAATATAACACCTTATTGGGGATGTTGCAACAAAAATTAATTTCATTTCCTGTTAATTGTAAATTTTATTACATTACAAGTCATTGATGAAATACAAATTGGCTTGAAGTAATAAACAAGAACAAATTTTGTTTAACGTTACAGTACATTTTACATCAAAGCAAAAGTGCACAAGATTCCATCAACATAATATGCTAAAGTCATTCATGTATTATTCAGTCACGGCTATACTTATATTTTATGTATATTTTTGATTTATATCAAAATTAAATATAATTACATGTACAAATAGGCATCCATAATTATATTTTCTTTCCTCCACTAACAATGTCAAGCACCACTTACTATTGTCAATATTCTAGGAACTGACTAGTCAGTGTATGAGTGCTATTTGAAGTACACTGTGGTAACACACAGAACTTGAATTATAAGTGGTTTGACTAACCCGTTTTTAAAACACTATCATAACAATACGAGAATAATATAAAATTTTGTTCCTTTGTAAAGTGGTATTGAAAAATGTGTACTAATAATCAAAGTATCAATAGAAACGATAGAATGTTGTTCTTTTTTAACGAAACAGCTGTAGGTAACATAGTTGAAAATACATGTATTGTACATGCTTATTGAAAACATGCTTATGGAATCCAAGGTGATGTATAACAAGAGGGCCATGATGGCCCTGAGGTCGCTCACCTGTATAAAGGCACCCGGAGCGGGGCCAGTTAAACACCAGGCCTTTTATTTGAACAAACTTGGAAGACACCCATTAGAAGATGTTTCACAATGTTAAAGTTTTTACTACACACATATAATGAAAAACAACGATCTACCCCCCTCCCCCCCCCCTTTGGCAGGGCCAATTTTAACCCAAGGGCTTTTATTTGAACAAACTTGGTAGACACCCATAAGAAGATGTTTCATGCTAAACATCAAAGCTCTAGCTCATTGGGTTTTTTATTAAAGAAGATTTTTTAAGTTTTTACTATACACATGTAGTTAAAACCAATGACACCCCTGGGGCGGGGCCAATTTTGACCCCAGGGCTTTTATTTGAACAAATTTTGTAGACAATTACTAGAAGATGTTTCATGCTTAATATCTTAACTCTAGCTGTTTGGGTTTTTTTCAAAAAGATTTTTTAAGTTTTTGCTATACAAATATAAGGAAAAATCAATAACACCCTGGGCGGGGCCAATTTAACTCCAGGGCTTTTATTTGAACAAACTTTGTAGACACTCACTAGAAGATGTTTCATGCTTTAAAAAATCTAAACTCCAGCTATTTGGGTTTTTTCAAAGAAGATTTTTTAAGTTTTTGCTATATCATATAAGGAAAATCAATGACCCCCGGGGCTGGGCCAATTTTGACCCAGGGCTTTTATTTGAACAAATTTGGTAGACACCAATTAGAACATGTTTCATGCTAAATATCTTAGCTCTAGCTTTTTGAGTTCTTTAAAAGAAGATTTTTTAAGTTTTTACTATATGCATATAGGGAAAATCAATGACCCCCTGGGCGGGGCCAATTTTGACCCCAGGGCTTTTATTTGAACAAACTTGGTAGACACTCATTAGAAGATGTTTCATGCTAAATATCTTAGCTCTAGCTCTTTGGGTTCTTTAAAAGGAGATATTTTAAGTTTTTACTATATGCATATAGGGAAAATCAAAGACCCCCTGGGGCGGGCCAATTTTGACCCAAGGGCTTTTATTTGAACAAACTTGGTAGACACTCACTAGAAGATGTTTCATGCTTAATATCTAAACTCTAGCTATTTGGGTTTTTTCAAAGAAGATTTTTTAAGTTTTTGCTATACACATATAAGGAAAATCAATGACCCCCGGGGCAGGGCCAATTTTGACCCCAGGGCTTTTATTTGAACAAACTTGGTAGACACCCATTAGAACATGTTTCATGCTAAAGATCTTAGCTCAAGCTCTTTGAGTTCTTTAAAAGAAGATTTTTTAAGATTTTACTATATGCATATAGGGGAAAAATCAATGACCCCCTGGGGCGGGGCCAATTTTGATCGCTAAATATCTTAGCTCTAGCTCTTTAGCTTCTCTAAAAGAAGATATTTTAAGTTTTTACTATATGCATATAGGGAAAATCAAAGTCCCCCTGGGGCGGGGCCAATTTTGACCCCATGGCTTTTATTTGAACAAACTTGGTAGACACTCATTAGACGATGTTTCATGCCAAATATCTAAGCTCTATCTCTTAGGGTTTTTTAAAAGAAGATATTTAAAGTTTTTTCTTTCGGTTGCCATGGCAACCAGAGTTCTGCATGGAATTAAATTCTTTGAAGAATTTTTAAAGGTGACCACCAAAGGAACATTCCTGTGAAGTTTGGATGAAATTGGCTTAGAGGTTTATGAGGAGATGTCATTTAAAGTAAAAGTTTACGGACGGACGGACAAAAAGCGATCACAAAAGCTCACTCTGTCACTTTGTGACAGGTGAGCTGAAAATATAGGCGGTTACCTAAGCTTACAACATTTAACACACATGACTGAATAAATAAATAACAAAGTTTCGTGATGTAAATACTCCTCAATTAAATATACATGTACTTTACACAATCTGGGACAGAATATATGTTATTCTGTCCCAGACGTGTAAACTACATTCTAACTTCTGATATATATTATTATTGTTATCAAGCTGGTTCAAGTTTGTGCTTATTCATGTAGTTTTTTTCTCCGATTTTAACAACACATTGTTGGTCTTATGTCGGCGGGCGACCCACCTGATCAGCTTTTTCGGATTAACCAGTAATTACTCAATTCTCTGCACGTGACCGACAAGATGGTACAAGTAAAAATAATAAATTTAAGACATGTTATCCATGAAAGTTAATGGTAGAGTCATTGGTTGCTATGAAAAGTCAATTTTTGCTATTTAATTCATTGGTTGCCAAGGAAAGTCATTGGTTGCTATGAAAGTTCAAGGTTGCTATGGAAAGTCAACAGTTGCTATGGAAAAGCAAATGTTGTTATGGGAGTCACTGGTTGCTATGGAAAGTCAATGTTTGCTATGGAAGTCATTGGTTGCTATGTGGACTAAATGGTTGGCATGGGGGTCACTGGTTGCACAGGAAAGTCATTGCTAGTACAGAGGTCAAATATTGCTATGGTAAGTCAATAGTTGCAATAGAAATGCAAAGGTTGTTATTATAGTCACTGGTTGCTATGGAGTCATCTCATAGCAACAAGTAGCTATGGAAAGATAATGGTTGCTATGGAAAGACAATGGTTGCTATGGTAAATCACCGGTTGCTACGGAAGTCACTGGTTCCTATGGAAAGTCACTGGCTGCTGATGGACTCATTGTGAAATGTCAATCATTGCTATGGAATTCTATGGTTGATAGGGGAAGTCAATGGTTGCTAAGGGTGTCACTGGTTGATGTGACCTGTCATTGGCTGCAATGGAAGGCATTATTATTGACAGGGCATACTATTGACTGTCACTGGTTGCTTTGGAATGTCATTGGTTGATATAGAAAGTCATCTTGCTTTTTTGGAAAGTCAACTGTTGCTATGGAAAGTTAACATTTGTTATAGAAGTCACTGGTTGCTGAGGGAAGTCAATGGTTGCTATAGAAGTCACCAGTTGCTATGGAAAGACAATGGTTGCTATGTAAGTGTAATCAGTTGCTATGGAATACAATGCTTGCTATGAAAAATCAATGGTTGTTATGGGTGTCACTAGTTGCTATGAGCTGTCACTGGCTGCAATGGAAGTCAATACTATTGTCATAGCATATTATTGACAGTCACTGGTTGCTTTGGAAAGTCAATGGTTGATATAGAAAGTCATATTGCTTTTTGGAAAGTCAACCGTTGCTATGGAAAGTCAACACTTGCTATGGAAGTCACTACTTGCTGAGGGAAGTCAATGGTTGCTATGGATGTCACTAGTTACTGTGGAAAGACAATGGTTGCTATGGAAATCAATGATTGCTATGGGTGTCATTAGTTGCTATGAGCTGTCACTTGCTGCAATGGAAATCAATACTATTGACATAACATACTTTTAACAGTCACTGTTTGCTTTGGAAAGTCAATGTTTGATATAGAAAATCATATTGCATTTTGGAAGGTCAACTGTTGATATGAAAAGTCAACAGTTGTTATGAAAGTCAATGGTTGCTGAGGGAAGTCAATGGTTGCTATAGTAGTTACAGTTGCTATGGAAATACCATGGTTGCTATGGCAGTAACCAGTTGCTATGGAAATACAATGGTTGCTATGGAAAGTCAATTGTTGCTATGGACGCCTATGATGAAAGGCAATATTTGCTATGGGAGTCACTGGTTGCTAAGGAAAGTAACTAGTTACCATAGGGGTCGCTGGTTGCACTAAATGTCAATGTTGTTATGGAAATCTTATCATTTCTGAGAATATTGTCCCTCGTATTTACAACTGTACCTTGTTGTGATAAACAACAATCTACTTAAGAGACATTCTTGACAAAATTATAAGTTAAAAAGGGGCATAACTCATAAACTATTGCTTTCAGAATTTTGCCCCTTGTCTTACAACTACAATTTTTTATGCTTATTTAATACTGTGTTGATAACTTTAAAATTATTGGAGAAACTTTTTATTCGAAACAAACAAGCTAAACAAGAGGGCCAAGATGGCCCTAGATCGCTCACCTGACCCATGGAATTCATCTGAACAGCATCCTGACCAAGTTTGATGATAATTGAGTCAAAAATGTGATGACCACTAGAGTGTTTACAAGGTTTTTCCATATTTCAGTGGTGTGACCTAGTTTTTGACCCCTAGGTGACCCATATTCGAACTTGACCTAGAAATCATCAAAACAAACTTTCAGACCAATTTCCTGGATATTTGGATCAAAACAGTAGCCACTAGTGTTAACAAGATTTTTCTATTTTTAGCTCCTGTGACCTAGTTTTTCATTCGAACTCATTCAAGCAATTACCTAGACAAGCATCCTGACCAAGTTTGATGATGATTGAGTCAAAAATGTAACCACTAGTGTTAACAAGGTTTTTCTATTTTTAGCTCCTGTGACCTACTTTTTCATCCGAGATGACCCATGTTCTATCTCATCCGAGCAATTACCTAAACAAGCATCCTGACTAATTTTGATGATGATTGAGTCAAAAATGTGACCACTAGAGTGTTAACAAGGTTTTTCTATTTTTAGCTTCTATGACCTACTTTTTCATCAGAGATGACCCATGTTCGAACTAATCCGAGCAATTACCTAGACAAGCATCCCGACCAAGTTTGATTACAATTGAG